TCCGTTGAAGTAGCGGGAATCTCGAAAATCGCTATTCTAGCGCTCGTTTCGCGCAGTTCAGCTGGTCGTTCAGACTCCTTACAAAGTCATCAAATACATATCCTGAGTCCTCCATGAGCTGCAACTGGATTTCTCTCCATTCCCCGCTCACGTTCGTGTTCAGTGTTCACATGTCCATCGAGCCTTTCCAAGGCGACACGGGATGCCTCTTTGTGTCCGTTTTCCCCCGTTGATCGTTCATCCACCTGGATGCCTACTCGGATCAGATCGTCTAATGCAACTACTTTATAGCGTGCCCTGGAATGTTGATATAGCTCTAAACACAGAACAACTCGAAACATGAATGAAAATAGGGGTTTCTATTAGTGTTCAAACCACGCTTGCTAAGTCTACAGTTTTTCCCTCGTATTGCCAAAACCATTATCCAACTTCCCTCCTGACATATGTACTCCTGACATCCTCCCAAGAAATCCCGAGTCCCGGCGTGGTCTCTGTCCATGACACGACAGCCCCGACGCCGGCGTCTTGAATACTATCCCGCTTCAAAGACGCCCCGGTCCTCGACTGGGCGAAACCATACTACGAGGGCGCGTGACCCTGTTCGAGCGCCTTCCCGGACAGCGGAAGTGAAGAATGTGTAATATGAGGCAATGCGCCACGCGGGGATCGGGAGATTCCTATTGGCCAAGGCGCCGGGGTCGCCTCGAAGCGATGGCCGAGTGGGTCCAAGTCGGGGTATTGCCATATTCATCGGCCGGGAAGCGTGTGGAACGGGAGGAAGGGGGCGCCCCGTCATGCTTGGAGGTTGTAACGAGGTTTTGCCTCGAAATGGTAAATGGTTGTTCCCCTCTGGTGTCCTGGGTTATTCCTCCTCACGCGGCGAGTTAGCGTCCGTTCATTATCATTCGAATCGGGCTAGTCCATCATTGAGCTTCTCACTGGTTCGTCTTAGTTCAGGCTTTAATCTGAGCTGCTTGTTACCTAGTCCCAGCTGACGCATCCCCCGACACCGACGTCGACGTGTGAGTCTTCGACCGCAGATTAGTAGCTTACAGTAGTCAGCTGCTCATTGAATTCATCAGAGTTCCCACTCCGCGGCGGCTACGTCGATTCGTCCGCGTCGAAGGAGGCCGAAAGGAGGTTGGAAGTGCTTAATCTAAACACGCAGCTTGGAGGAATCGGGGAGGCAAATTTCCGACTTGTCACTTTGCTGGGTAAGTGATATGTTTTCAAACTTTGACCCTCGATCACTTTCATGAACGAGGTTTTGTTTCACAGTGAAGGTTGACATTAATAGCGCTCATGGACAATCTGGGGGAGTCGAGCAAGTCCAGGGCTATTCGGCATCCCCAGATGTTTAACAGCTTCCATCTCTTCGCCGCACCGTTCAAAATCCGTCCCTCATATTAACCGCCGGCAACTCACCTTGTCAACTAACCCTCACATCAGAAGGATTCATACGAGTCTAAGGATAAATATATAGATAGGCACCACTCTTGCCCAAGCCGCTCCTTTCGTCGACCCGTTTCACGAGCTCCTGATTTCAATTCACATTTTTATTAATGTAGGCTCTAGAGTATGCTATAGAGTAGCGCAACCACCTCAGAGTCATATCCGAACCCGACGTGAACGTAACGAGGGAAGATTGAGGCTAATATCGCCCTCATGACCTCCGGCGAATGCTCGTTCCTTCTACCCTATCTGTAATGCCTCCAGGTCAGTAGTTCCCTATCTACCCGCGGCCCAGCTCGCGAGCATAAGGCTCTGAGCTCGGCGATGTATGTCGTCTTTTCCGCGATATATATCGCGATATCAATTGACCATGCTGCACGCTGGGCTACCTGAATCCCACTATTCAGCAGTAATTAAACAGCAGATTTACCCCAAGCACTCGTCCTACGCTTCTCTAGCCAACTAAGTAAAATAAATTCCGACTATCAAGCTTGGGCTCGGAATTCAAGGAAATCCAACAACTTGAAGCGGAGCATGCACATGAACCTATACCCTACTCACCCTCAATGACAGTCACTGGGCACCACTTATCACTTTATCAGCACAGCACGGGCTCAGCACCCTGTCTTTGAGCTCTCGATCTGTAAGCCCGTCCAAGTCAATCAGACATATGGTGGCTGGTAAGCCCCGAAGAAAGCCCAGTTGGGTAGGCGGACACATGACCCTGTCTCCGCGTCCCAAGTCGATGCTTAGAGTCGTGAGTCTGAGCGTCAAATGTGTACCCCACTTCACCTCGCTCAGTCAGCTTGCTGCAGGACGATCATCGCTAAGCTTGTTATCCACAACAAAGTCGACGTTCGAATGGGTAAGCTAAGTTCGACTTCAACTCAGACGTCGACGTTTAGGCAGCAAGTGACGTCAGGCCAAGTGACAAGGTCGGGTTCAGTCGTGTAGCACGCGCGCTGTACAAGTAGCGGCTATCTACTATCCATCACGATCAGGGATGCTGGTGTTCAACGCCATTAGGGACACCAAGCGGCCTCTCTCGCGGCCTCGGTGACTTCGCGGAGTGCCAATCCGAAGTGCACCCAGTTAGATAGTCTCGGTAAGTGAAACCGTCGCGTGTTGTGTATCCCATTGTTTGAAGCAATTGAAATACACAGGAGAGTTTTTGCATGCTGCTCTCGTCCATATGCTCGTCCGCTCGTCGAGCAGCTCATAATCAGGTTTAATGATGCCCAAAAAATTCTAAATCGTACCGATTCCCGAATATCTCTTGTTCATATGCAGAGTCGGGCGGCGGTGGCTCATTTGTGTATGTCTTTTCAGAGCATTTGCTCGATTCGACTCTCGATTTATTCCTTCAGTCTCGAGAGCGACTCAGAATCTAGAAGACGCTCATATTTGGCAACCCATAGGAATTAGACGGTTTCGTGATGACAAATTGAAGGTAAAAACATGAGAAAGCTGGTCTCTCAAGGCCAGGTAATTGGTCATAAATGAGCAATCTCAATCAATCAACTCGAGACGAAGCATAATAACAGTAAGTCCGCGCATTAAGACGAATCCGACTTTTTCAGGTATTCGAGCACTCCCTGGACTCGAGGGTTCCTGCTGCTCTCTATCGTGCCACGAGCAAGGTGATCTGAGATGGTAAATCAGCGAGAATCAAGATATTCGAACGGAATACACGAACCTGCATCAGTGGCTCTCTCGGTTATAGCAAAATAATGAGGTCTCCAACCACTCAGTCGAAGAGACACCCCTTCAGTTGAGGTACCTGGTTTCCATCCTAGGGCTTCCGCGACTTCTTGCCCAATGTACAATGTTTGACCGTCTAAAGTCACGGTGACCTCCTTCGCGGATTTGTGATAGTAGACAGCGTGCCGTGGAATACGGCGAAGAGCCCTGCTGGTTACCGTTAGAAATGGGGGGAGCATTATGGTTGGAAATGGTGAGAGACGGTGTGAATCTGTTGTGTAATTTCGAACTCCGCTCTGTCAACAATTGCAACAACCATGTCCGCGCACACAGCTCGCCTTGCTCGCCTTTTTACGCCTGAGTATGCACGACGAATCAATGCACAAATCGTTTATCCTGCTCAGTCAGTGGTCGTCAAACCGAATGAACTCGAGTCTGCGCTCAGTCGGCCACTTAATGTGTCCATCTATGAACCTGAACGTCATCCGGGTCACCTCGCCGCCACTCTCTCATACGGAATCATCAAAGGCCACCCTTTCTTGGATGGCAACAAACGCACTGGCACGTTGCTTTTATGCTCTGTGGACAATGGCAACTGAGCTTGACTTTTAGGCTTCTTTTTGGCGAATGAGTACCTGCGGGCAATGGGCTTTCCTGGTCTAGCCGACCAAGGAAAATTAGGCGAGGTATACGAACCGATAGCCAAAATGGCTAATCGGTATATGGAGGTTGCTGCTGGAAATATGGAGGTGGACGGTCTTGCAGATGCTGATCCCAAGTGAGATCGACCAGTCTCCTCAAACATTACGAACGGATCGTTTCTCCAGGTCGTCGCCGTCGTTGTTTTCCCTTCCCCTATCTCTTGCGTCGGCTGCAAGATCATGAACCCGAGAGCTTTTAGACTAATATTTAGCCTGACTGCATCTATGCCAGAGGACCCACACCTTGCTCCGAATCAATTTCCACGGCCAGTCGCTCAGTGCTAACACGTTGTACTCAGGAGGATCGGCGTCAAAAAAACTTGAAGTCTTTGAAAGCTTTCATAGTCCGAATAACAAAGATGGAAATTCCGTCTTTCCGCACCAACGCCAATCCAGCACCTGAACATGTCATGCCAACCCGACCCAAATCACTCCAGGCCCGGCGCCACTCTATCTTCCCTTGGGCCCCGCGCCCGTCAGTGTCCCAAAAAATACTCTGCGACCATCGGAGCGCGGGTTATATCCTCCTCCTTGTCTTGCTCTTACGCCTTTCTTCTTCATGGCTGTCACCCTCAACGATCAGAATCAATCATCCTCGGCGAGTTCCATCTCCACTCTCCGCTGTTCGCGCACAAAGGCTCAAGTGACAAGCGCCCCACCCTCGTGACCTGAAATCATCGTCCTTTGAAAGCCAAATGATGATGCCTACTCCCGAGACGCCCTTCCAGAGCGAAGAGGAAGGACTTCGATGCGTAGTGCTTCGATGAATTGGACAACGCGCCATGTTGTCAATGCCGCTACAAGTTTCAGCCCTAGTTGGAGCTGCTGAGGTCTTTAAGGTTAGCGTATGTGGGTAAGAGGGCCGGCGTCATGCAGAGATGAACGCAGCATTACCATGACGTTTGAGCGGCTCTCGGATTCGGAGGACAATTCTCTTGGTCGGAAGCGGAGCTCGTACGGTGAACAGCGGGCGATGATCATTTTCCCGAGTGCTGCGTGTTGCTACTGCAGGACAATAAATTCTCCAAGGGTGTAAATTTCAACAACAGAGCTCCACGGCGTCGTGGAGCGCATACGCGCGCCTCGGGCTAAGGAGGCGCAGCGGGCGTATCGGACACAAAGGCAAACACGCAGGAAATAAGCGAACACGTCGAGCAAAAGCATCCTATTTTTAGAACAAGAATTTCTATTTTTAGTCTCGCTAGATCCTTTTGCGTTGCAGTTTGTCACCGTGACACTCCAGCTGTAGGTGATGAGCTTTCCTAGAAAGGCGTCCTTGAGGATACTATAATATGATGTCCGTCATTACAGGCACTTGAATTGCAAATCAAGAATGGTAACGTGTTTCTCTGAAACCAGTCTCAACAAACATATCAGTATCAGTCATCAGACAGTGACTGACATCCAAGGAGGTTCTTTACCCCCCGAGGCTTTCGTAACTAGCATAATCCGACCCAAGCGATCTCGTCGCACGCGACTAGTCGGACCAACTGGGAATATCTTCCCCCATGCTTATGTACACCGCAATTTAGACACAACTCAGACGAGACTAGGGGATGCGGGGCTAACGAGAAGGTTCAATCACAGAAAGTGCGCCTCGAGGAGATGGAGGAGAAAGGCCCCGATCTGACTGCCCTGAAATACGAATCCTTAGCCTTCTTTGAATTGGCAAGGGGGAGGTGAGGAATCCCGCCGATAGGAAATAGCGTCTCAGAAAGGCAGGGCAGTCAGTCAGCGAGCGCTCCTAACGTCAAACCACTCGGTGTAAACAGCCGCCGAGGCGCCAACTTGATGGCTCTGAGCTCTCATTTTACCTTTCGTTATGGCTGATTTTCATACATACGTACGACAGTCGACTGCGGTTAGAGAATAATATTCGCGGTTGCGCCCATGTCAGTGTCGCGGTTTCCAGGAAGAAAGAGACATTCGATATGCACTTTCTCATGGAGAAGTGATGTATCAATGTGTAGGAAGAACATCCCGCGACGTCGTTTATCTATCCCCAGTGATCATCTAGTTACCTTTACTCACACTCCACAAAAGAAAAATCAAACGGTTCCTATCCTCCAAACAAAACAAGATTCGAGCAGGGCACCCCGCGGAGCCGCACGCCATTCTCCCTTCCCAATAAAACAGGCCGCCCGAACTGTCAGATAATGGGCTTAATGGGGACCTATTCGTGGTCGTATGCATGTTCTCGACCGCCCAATAACAGTCATTCACAGTCACTCTTGAAAGTATCAACTGTCAAACCAAAGCGCTGAAATCAAACTCACGGAAACAGATGGAAGCCCAAGGACAATCATGCGACGCAGCTGACGGCGGGCAGCCGTGTTATGTCCGACCCGACCCGGAGTAAGACGTGCGCCACATGATATCCTTTCTTGGAAAACGTCGAGGCGATCACTTCGAAAGAGTGCCGGTTCGGAGTCCAGAGCTTGCGAGGTCTGAAAGGGGCAGGAAGGGAATGGATGGGCCGTGGAGTATAAATGAGCGCTATCTAGACTCACTCGTGTACCCTCTCTAGACACGTCGAGCCCCAGCAAAAACGCCACCCGGAATGCAATGGAAGCATAATCAGACGCCTTCGAGCCGCCGGCATCCGGTATTCCCTCCATGCGCCACAGGACATCCGGATATCCTTTCTGGGACTGTACAGACAAGGAAGCTCGCGACGGTCCGAACTTTCACCTGCTTCGCTAGACACAGCCGACTTCCAAGTGCAAAAGTCTAATTTCTTTTCTCTAGATGAGTCTAGAGCTGAATTTCACCTCCATACTGCGAGATAAGTAAAATCACAGGATGGAGGACTGTAACGAACGAGCTCGGGTCGAGTGGTGGTTCATTTCGAAGTTCAAAACGACACCGCTGAAAACCGGCTCAAACTCTAAGGGTCGTTCGCAGAACTCGACTTTCCGTGTCTGGCCCTGAATACTCGATGCGCTATGTACATGCCACATCTCCTTTCTTGGATGATGTAGGGCGGGAAGTCGTGCCGTTGCAGCGTGCCGCGTTGGTCTATGCGTCCATTACCCGTACAACTTCAAGATGCGGGTACGTTCGAAAAGGTGAGCTGCTTGAATTGGCCCGACATTGCTTGCCTCGTTCGAGCTTATATTGGATGATAAACCTAGGTGAGAATGGCTGTGAACTTTGGACTCTCAGTTCGGCGTGCCGGTCTCGTCATGTCCAACTCATCATCACCTCCGCAAGATCCATCATCAACGTGGCGCGCCACGGTTGCACGAATTTGCCTGATGAAGTTAGCGGCGCATCAGGCACGCCGTCGGTCCGTGACGTCGCGTGCAAGGAGGGAATGCACGCTCTGGTCGGAGGGAGGAGGGCTCAGAAAGGCTTTCCCGCCCTGCATCGTACAAGCGCTGGCAGGATGAATACAGAGACGTGGCGGCGTCAGATATTGGGCGGTTGGGAGGAGGCCGCCTTCCCTTCCAACAATGATTCTGTAACTGAGGCCAGCTGACCACGAAGCAATGTATGCCGTCAACAGTTTGTCACCCTGCGCCAGCGAAGACCCCCGCTTGGATTGGTGGTCACCTCGTCGTAACCCGTACCCAGCAAAACGGCGGTAGGTATGTATGATAAAAATCGATGAATGCTTGACGAATGGATGGTGCGGAGCCGTCGATGGACTGCGCCACACCTGGTCTCGCTGAGGACCGTCTCCGGTGTGTCTCGAATGTCCTGTAGGTCTCTCCGAATGGCCGGCCCTTATCGCGGACATTGTATTCACAAGCACTGAGCTCATCTATCAAATTCTCCACAGCTTCCGGGAAGTTTTTCGTAAAGTATCCTTCCAGTTCCAGCGTCTGGCCGCTCAGGCTCGCCCACGGCTCTATGTTGTGTCTTCTATCCAGGGTGGATAAGGCTTTGATTTTTAGGTTTTACCCGCCAATCGCGGTTCTTGCAAGACGCATCCCGCGAGGGACGGCGGTCCATCAGGCCCGCCACAAGACCGAAAGGAGCAATTTTTTCGGCATCAACAAGACAAGAAGCGCGAGAAAATTTTCTGAATTGCATCATTGACCATACACGAGCGCCAGCGCGACATGCGCCCCTTCTCTAGCCCCGCAAGTGCACAATCCCTGCGCTTTCCAGAGAATTTAGGCCAGGACTAGGTCCCTGCTATCAAATAGTCGCCATCACTACCAATGGAAAAAGGGACTAGAGGGACGTGGCGCACGCGCAGGTTCGCGCGCCTCCCAGACTTCCTAGACCCTCCGTCTCCACCCCGCCCGCGTATGGACCCTATGCCACCATGCAATTTTCTGATATATCTCGCGGGTGTGGGTTGTTGGGAAACCTTTTCCGCCATCTTCAACCTTGACAGGACACCGAAGGTGCCACTGAGGAACCCGTCGAGTTATTGTTGCGAGACGCTCAAGCTCAAGCTAGGTTGGACGTCGAAGACACGATCGAGGATCCCGCTCCCGGTTCCCTTTCTCCGCCTCTGCATCTAACCTATCTGGCTTCCTCCCTACACATTCGTCGCGGGCGAATCCTATCTCGAACGAGCACCTGCAGCTGCGAATCGAGCCGAGGCACGAAGCCTGCCTGATTGTGCCACCTCGTGCCGTGCAAGAACCCGCCGACATACTCTGACATACCGCTTCAGGTAAGTCGTGTGCTTCGGTTGTGCGGCTGGGGACTAGATGGTTTAATGGATGCTGAGAGTGGGTGTTTGGGGTGCACGAGCTTCGTTCCGAGTTGTGCATCTGTCGTCTGCGCGGTGTCGTTGATGGTTAGCCTTACGTTGGCCATCGTGGAGACGACTCATTGAACAGAAACGTGCCGCGCGTCATAACCCCCAGAAAGATTTGTAGACTGACTCCTCCATCGCAGACCCACCGCGCTATTGAGTACCACCTCCACGATGAACGCAGAACACGATCGGACACACGCACAGGTCTTGGAATCGACGTAAGTCCGGAACACCTGTTTCGTTTCGCATCGATAATAACATATGTCTGTATTGACCCGACATACTGGACTGCTCTTCCCAGCTCCTCATTTCCGTCGTCCGACCTTCACATGCCCCGCGTCAAAAATATCTCTGTCCCCCGTCTGCAATGCCAGATTCTCTCATCTTTACACCCAGCGCCCCCCGAATCGCCCTCGACGCTGTCTGCCATGATCAACACCGCCAGTGTGGACTTGAACGCCGATGGCAATCAAAGTAACATCGATCACATAACCTCGCTCGAGCGATCTCTTGTGAGCATTCGTGATAGCTTTCCGATATGATTTCATCTAATCGTCGATACTCGTGCAGTGCTCGAACTTCATGTGCTGCGGTGTCCGGCTCGCCGACTTCCATGCGCTCCTAGAGCACTTCGAGGAGGACCACATCATGGTGCTCGCGCCCAACGGAAAGCGGATTTATCCTCCGCAAGGTCTTCGATCGGCCCCTATGCACACGACACCACCCAACCTTGCGGCGCAGCAGCAGACGCCGACGCCTGGCTCCTCGCGTTCCTCGTCGGTCACTCCTTCGGAGCCGGCGCCCCCCACGCCAGTGTCGGCTAGTTTGTCGTTGCCCGCCGCCGGACCGTCGAAGCGCAAGTCGAGCGTTGCCATCGCGCCTGTGTACACACCCTTCACGCCCAGTTTACCCGTCGACCCCGCCGACCCTTACTCAGACTCCACGGACATCACGATGGCGATGGGCGAGGACGACGCGGTATTCGCAGAACTGTACCCCACCTTCTCGAATACCGAGATCGCGCGTATGGCTTCCAGCGAGCTTTCCCCCCTGCCATCTGAGGACGAGGAAATGTCGGATGGGAGCACGAGTGCCAGTCCTATCGACATCGACGTGCCCATGAGCCCTATTCCGACCTACGTCTATGGTGTCGACAAACAGCCGATCACAGAGATCCCGAAGACTGTCAGGTTTTCGAAGGGTGCTGTGGGTGGGGGCTCGAGGAAGGTCTCTTCAGCTTCTAGTTCGAAACCAGGCAAGGCGAGGAGTCGGTATGGCAGCGCCGGTGGTGCTGTACGGAGGAGAGAGAAATCATTCAAGTGCCCCGTAAGTAGCGCATATATTTTTTGTTTCTTGACCCATTTCACTGACTTGGGATGCCCTCATTTCATATCAGACTCCAAGATGTACGAAGGTATGCTGCTATTTCCGCTTTCTCACTGATCATGCTCTCTAATTTCGAGTTCTAGTCCTACCTCAACCCCAACGGCCTGAAATACCACCTCGAAAAGGGCACCTGCAAATTCGACGACGACTCCGAGGCAGATCCCGATCTCTCCATGAGCGACGACACCAATCCTCGCCAAACGACGCGCAAACATCCATCTCCTACGCCCGTCGCGTCTACGTCCACCCTACTATTGCCCCCAGCACCGAAAACTCAAAACCAAAAACCTCATCCCAAGCATTCTTCCTCGACCGCCAAGTCCGACGATGCGCACGCACCTCCACACGCGCCAGGCACCGTGCCCGAGCACGCGTCGACCATGCATAACTCGAACCCGAATAATTCAAATTTTGATGGTCCCAAGAGAGATATGGACACGCCGAGCACGCGTCGTGCGGGCCCTGCTGGGACGGGTCCGGGAGGTCCGGCGGGGGACGAGGATCTACGTCCAAGTTCAAACGAAATTGCGAATGGATTGGGGTCGGCATTGGGGTACTGCCATCCGTTGGGCGATGAATGTTCGTCGGTAGGGCAAGAGCAGGGGCAGAAGGGAAATGGGGCTCAGCTTGCAGGATCCTCAACATCTACCTCGCAGATCCAGCCAATAACAGCACCGACGACGCTCACGGTGCCGCTCTCGACTCTACCCCGGCATCAACGTCCTCCAGCGCAAGAACCTACGCCCTCTTCAACGACCTCAACGTCAACGACCGCGGCCACGCAAGCGTACCAGTATCAGTACCCGCCCGGCGCGTACGCGCACACCTACGCGATAGCCTATGCGCAGCGGGCGGCCTACTACACGGCGGGCTCTGCCTCCTCGCCCGTACCCTCCCCTGCACCACCTGTGGCTATGACCGCTGGGTCGTCGTCTGCTTCCGCCCGGTCGCAGTGAATTTCTTTTCTTTTCTTTCGCTTTGTTTTCCGGTCCACCCCCTTCGAGCGCCGTTGAACCCCTCCTACTCCGCTCATTCCCCAATCCCATTCCACACGCAAAAGTATCTCTCTCTTCAGACGACTTTGCCCAAAGATCATCTCAGCGAGTCAGCATTCTGTTGTATGTCATCACCAATCGCCTTGTATCTCAAGCTCGACCATTTCTGCCTCGACGCATCTTCCATTCCATCTCTTATCATCCTCGGCTCTTCATCCATCTCATCCATCCTGTATTTCGAATGCGATTGTTCCATTCCGAACCGCCTTTTCGTCCGCCCAAAAGCCACCTGACTCGTACTTACGCTTACTTACGCCTCACGAACGAACTGATCGATTGCAGTAATCTATATCGCTGATCCATCCATCTTCCGTCCATCCGTCTTATTGCTTACAGACGCACTGTACGATACGAATACTCACTGCTGCATGCCGCCGCTGCATAGTTATAGCTTACCCTTACGCCTTTTATCGCACTTGCTCGTATTACGCTTACGTCCCCCTCTTATCTACGACTCCTCGAACCAGATACTCGCTGACGTTGCAGTACTTGTATGTAGTTTTCATGGGTGATACTATCATCGTCCTCCACCGACTCCTGCGTCATCCCTCCTATTGTGAAGATTCTAAACGCTGTCTCAACTGAAGTTCTGACTCGATAGTGATGATCCTTGAAGCTTGAAGCTTGAAGTCGAAGCTTTGAAGTGGCATGCGAACGAACCCCCATTTGACACGATTGGCGGGGTTTGTTCGACAAGGATTAACTGTCTTTCCTTCATGCCAGGCATGACATTATCTTTTCTTCTCGTTCTCTGGAGAGCTTGGCAGAATGGGCTGCGAGCACACGAGACGAGTCTAGAAATGTGAGGGCCGTGATCAAATGACAATGACCCGCAGAGGTTCATGAGGAGGTTGTTGTCGCTTTCGAACCGTCTTAAGCTCGATGGTTGGTTAGGCATGCTCTGTCCTTTTAGGTTATAAAGTTACACGGAAGGATACAAGACGTGCTATCCTTCTCCAGACCGTTGACGTATTCTGCAACGTTGCGTATTATGAGCATCTCGGATCGACGGAGTGGGACGGAACTGAGCGTCGTGCATAATCGTCATCGATATCTCCACTATGGGGCATCGGAGCTCCGTCACTTCATTGACCTGACGGATTTAGTGAGAACACAGACGATTTCTTTCCTAGAATTCGAATTCATGGTACGAGCTAGACGCTATATTACTTTTACAAAGTACTGTTCCCAGTGTCGGGCCTCGCAGTGAAGGGTCAAGGAACTCCCAGAATTTAACAAATCTTCGACGTTCTAGCGCACCAGGATGTCTACGAGGAAGAACTATGACGCTGACATACTGACAAATGACACAGTCACTTGACGTGCCATTTTAGCGCCCGTGGGTCATGGGACCGGCGCTTCTCGAAAACCTGCTCCGTATCGATCCGTTTTCCCTAGAGTTATGAGCTTCTCGATCTTCTTTAATTTCTGGGGTGATGACGAAATGGGAAGAGATAGAGATGAACTGCGGCGATAGCTTGTTGTGACTAATTGATGTAACATATCCAAGCGAAGAGGACCGGCTGTAGTCCTCGAAATGAACCAGTTCGCGCTAAATGATGACAGAGTTCTTATCTCCTTACTTCCTACAAGAAATCAAAGTGGAGATAATAGCGGTAAAATGCTACAACAGTAAGGCGTAAGAAATTACCGACTCCCGAGAGTCTGATGAATCAATTAAAGGTATTCCCTTTCACATATATGCACGCCGGGCTTCATGTATCTAGTATTTTTCTTCTCGAAAGCGGAACGAAGCTCCAACACGATGGAAATTTCACGATTCTGTCTTTCGGGCTGGAGTCACCCTGGTGCACATCCGGAATCGCTTGCGAATCGTCGGTCGTACCCTCACTTCCAGCCAATTATTTCTATGGGTCCTACGCGATTGTAGAAGACGATGGGCAGGTGGCGGAGGCCGTGGCGTGTCGAGTCACTGGAATACAGGAATGGTTTGCAAGAAGCGCTAGCTGTCCACTCAACCTTTCCCTATCGGAAGCGGACGCTGGTGGCTTCCCTCGTCCTGATTCAATCATCCCAGTATTCCTCAGCACGTCCAATCGCTGGAAAAATCTGACGTTAATTGCACCGCCAGACCGTCTCTCAAGTCTAGCTGCCGTCAGCGACGTCCCACTTTTGGAGTCCCTCACGATTATCCATGAAGGATCCCGGTCCCCAGGCCACTATCCATGGTTGGACATTTTATGGGAAGCAAGCAACCTCCTGAAGGCACCAAATCTGCGGGAAGTGACTTTTCGAGAAATTGTGGTCAATTCCTCCCCCACTTCCCTTGAGGTGGTCGCAGCTCACCTCTTTCTCTTTCGAAGGGCCTCATTCTCCCAAGAGAAAAAGAGGGTCGCCCATTCTCAACATTGCTCGCATGCTGCAACCGTGTGTCCACCTCATCAATTTACGTCTTGGATGTCTTTCGGACATCGTGCCTTTGGACTACGTCGATGACGCTGAAGAAGTTGATGCGTCGCTCGTACTCGTTCTCCCTTGTCTCGAACGCTTTGTCTTCAAGGATGAGACTAATGAAACACGGCACAAGACGAACTTCTTCGATGCGTTGCAAACGCCCTCACTCAGATGTTTTGACATAAGGGGAGGGTTCCCATCCTCATTCCTTTCTCGAATCCCCAACCTCAGGGAACTCCACCTGTGTCTCTATCAATTCAAGGATAACCCAAAAGCTTTTATCGAATTGCTTCATCTCTGCCCACGATTGACCTCGCTTGTCATGGCAAAGGCCAACGTTCACTGGAGCACCGACCCGAAGATCCGAATTCACATGTTCGATGATAGCATTCTCCAGCTGTTCCTTTCACCCAGCAGCAGTGATGGATCCTATCTCTGTCCGGAACTCGAGGAATTCGAATGTAGAGAATGCGCCGGGTTCTGGGACGAAGGCATGATCGAGTTTATTACTCGAAAGCGAGACGGTTCCGTGCCAAATGTGGCCAAACTCCAGAGACTGCATGTAGAATTTGATAGGCCGCAGACATCATGGACTGATGAACAGAGTCAGCGATTCGTGGAGGATGGGTTGCGACTTTTTGTTTCTCACGTTGATCGTGATGTGTATTCACGGCCTACTTTCCCTGCTTTTGTAGGTATTAGAAACTATGAACTGTGAGTACGTGTCTTATGTAGCTGGAATACTCTGGAATGATGGTTGGGTGTTAGCAAAAAACCAAGCAGCTGTCCTCCTGGATTTTTATGAGCCCTGGCTTATTATGCACTATTTCAGGTGTTCACTTGCAATGTGCGACCCCTTCAGTTCAGGATGGTATCTCGGCCTAGGGCCGTCATTATAAATTGGTACACTTACAATAATTTTACTCAACCCATAGTAGTACCTCACATCATTGTGGGTCACATGACGATAGCATTGTCGATGTCACCGGCGCTTACTGCTAGCGCTTGGCGCTTGGCACCCACCACCATTACTTACCTCCTCGTACGCCAGACATACAGTCGCTTTATGAAGTATCGTTTACCAAGTCTACGTTCTATGCTAGAAAATCAGACATGGATTGCATCAAGATTGTACCCCATTGCCGATTCAGTGTTTCCAGCGCCCGAATTGATCACACCGAGGTTGCCGCCCGGCCGCTTACTAATGTCCAGCGATTGGACCACTACTACAGATGAGTGCTATCAAGCAGGGATTCAAGGCTCTTATCCAGTACTTACCATCACTGAGTAGAATGACGTACAACCGGATTGTAGAGAAAGAACGTAAGTTTTAGTCTCGAAATTTTCTGTATTCGCTGATATGAAACCGTTCATCACCCCGGGATTTCGCAATTCTTTTGGCTCGTATGCATGAACCGTACACCAAAGGATGACGAGCTCCCTCAAATTCAGAAGCTTTTGACCGAGGCATCTCAGAAGCTCAAGGCCCTCGAAGAAGGGATAGATCGTGTGAGGCCCTCCATCCACGAGCTCTTTCGTCAACATTGTGCGTTACTCTCCACCTCCTGGCTTTGGGCATCTCTGCATATTCCGCTCCCGAGTACGATGCGCACATACCCGGAGATGGCTCGTACTGGAGCCTTCAGATGTGCGTTGGAGAATGCGGTGCGGCATAGTAGGGTAGCTGGCGTGAAGGAGTGGTTCGAAAGAAGTGATGAATGTGATCTCACAGTCTCTCTCTGAACCCGCGAAGGCATGGAATCGGACCCACACCCCAAGAAATTCATTTCTGTGCTTCTTCCTCTTTCTCATCTTGGAAGAATCGTCAATTTGTCGACTCTCCGGCCCATTTCCGTTTCTTAGGCATAACAGCCATTATAGACGCTCCACTCTTAGGAATCGCTCATTATCCAAGAAAGCAGGACCCCTCTTGGACGGCTACCAGGAAGGCCGAGTTTGGGAGGAATGCAAGCTTTTTGCGACCCTAAGTACGTGCTGATACAGTGCGATTACCTCCCTCATTCTGCAAGGGACGTATCCGAATGCAAATGCGCCCGTATTTTTTCTACATTGAGGAAATGCACCGCCTTATCTCTGCCCAGAGCTTACTTGAGCTATAAAGCAGTATATATCAAGGCTAGTAGTCTTAGGACTTATTCCCTGGCTCATCCTCCTTCGCACTGCCATCACTCGAAAATCTTAAGTTTCATGACGCACACTACAATTTCACCTGTCTTCCAGCCGCTCGAAACCCCGTATTTCATGATTGTCCGGCATTATCCCTGCTTGCCATCCCTGGGCCTGGATCGGGATGGCATACAGGGTGTATAGGATTTCCAGACCACAAGATCGACGACGGTCTTCTGCGAATGCCCGTTTTACCTGAACCCGACGACAAAGGAAATTACCTATGACCCAAACTGGAAGAATTTGAATACTACCATCGCGCCACATTTGCAGATTATGCTCTGCTGGACGTCATATCGCGCAAACAGGACGCTCCCTCCCTTCACGGGCCTTTGGTCACTAAAGCTCAAGCGGGTGGATTATCCACTTCGGTCGAGCAGTGAGCAGAGATAAAACTGATGAAGGGGGAAATTAGCTGGTTTGTGGAGGATGGTATTACTGCTAACACTTGGTACTCTCTCATGACAACCTCAATTTTCCAGCCAGGTTCTCTGTCTAGGTTGACGTTTCTGGAAGGTGCGAATAAAGCGAACCTTTGGTACTCCGAATAGAGTGGTTACATTTTTTTCTGCGTTACAACGGTCTTGTTTACTGCCTCCATGACAGACAGGACGCCTAGGAACGTTGATAGGAACGCATAATACCAACATATATCTGTCACTTCAAAGTTCTGCATCACCCGGAGCAACACTCGGCCTCATTTCTCTCAGAAACACTGCCCGTCTCGCATGAGATACGATCTCATCCCATTGACTATTTTTCGTCTATGATCAATTCCCTTAGTGTTGACCAACAACTTTTGGACACAATGCACACACCGGGCACGACCACTCCGCGATGGCCGGAACTTCGCTCACCGTCCAGCACGAGCGATACATATTCTCCGATTCTTCACTTTAAATAGCTTGAAGAAGAGCGCGCTTCCCCTATTTCTTTCCTCCCAAATTCCTGTCGGCGATTGTTGCTATCATCCGCCGCCCCTATTCCAAGACGAGAAGTTGATTCTATATCGAGGATAGCATGACATCAGGATTTCCTGTGAAGTCTCTTGCGTTCCCCGCACGGTTGGGAGTGGGAAGGGAGCCAGAGGATGGGTGTGGAAGACCAGAGAAGGGCGTGTGGCTTCCTGACGAAGACTCGGAGTTGAAATTGAGTTGAAAACTCGCCAGGCAGCTTCCTCGTTCCAGATGAAACAAGCAGGAGGCGGAGATGAATAAATAGACGGCAGCCTCAACCCTTAGGTCGAATTAATTGTGAAATGTGTGCACGATTTTCGATGTCAGACGATTTGGGTTCGGAATGACTTGAAGGACGTGGATGTTGTCAGGAAGGAACGGCAAGCCGGGCCTGCGCTTGCCGTTACGCTTGTTTTGCTTACGTAAGTGTCGACCAACCCAGTATGCACGTTGACGCTGACCATGTTGAGCGTGCTACTCTTGTTCAATGACTTACTTCTTGCAAAACTATCGAAACCTGTGATGCTCTCTCTCTCTTTGGTCTCGATTCTCTGCGTCGGCTCAGAAGCTTTGTTCCTTGTGGGAACCGCACAACGGATGGACGAACCTCGAAATCTGTGCGACGAGCGTCAAGCGACTTCAAGGAGCATGATTCATTAACGATCCGACATGTTCTCGTAAAACTGTCAAGAGAGATCGGCTTCAAAACGAGGACACAATGCAGCGCAGCAATCTTCGAGACTCCGACTGTATTCTTCGAGTTTCAACCTCAAAATGTGAGTAGCTTTGCTTCACTACCACCCTCTCCTATTCTACTTCTCTTCGAGCATGAGTGTCTCGGGACTAAGCACGGTATGCCTGTTCCTGTCCAGATTCAGGCTCGGCCCTACTGATGCGCCATACTAGGCTTTTCATGACGATCCTGACATATTGTCGATTGCGTAAAGGCGCCCATGTCTCCATTTTGGACCAACTCTCACCCTTCTGTGGTTTATTCTTCTTTCTTTCAGTGTAATGGGACCTACTGGAACTGGCAAAACTTCGGCATGTCGCGCGACACGAGCCCCTTCAATTTACCTTCGACTTACCTGCCATTCTTCTAGTTCATCAACCTATTGAGCGGGTCCAATCTTCGCGTTGGAAACGACCTTGAATCATGCACTGGCGATGTACAGATATCAAAGCCTTTCGTCCTTGATGGGCATATAATCACTTTGATTGACACTCCTGGGTTTGACGATACGAGACTCAGCGATACGAGCGTCCTAAATATGATCGCAGCCTACCTGGCATATTCGTAAATAGCCTTTCCTTCTCCAACTGTCAATTATCTAACGACGAATTTAGACATGAATGCGGCAAAAAATTGACTGGTGTTATCTACATGCACCGTATCCTCGACAATCGTATCGGAGGTATATCGGCTCGAAGCTTTCGCCTATTCCGCAACCTCTGCGGCGATGCGACCCTTTGCAGCGTTATTATTGCGACTACGATGTGGGATCAAGTTGGAGTAGAGGTCGGGGAGGAGCGAGAGAAGGAGTTGGCGACAAAAGACGTCTTCTTTCGGCCTGCACTGAGCAAGGGTGCCCGAATGGCCCGTCATTCAAACACCCTCGAATCTGCTCAGACCATCATACGATCACTTCTTCAAGAAGGTTCGCAGTCGGTCACTCTCCAGATCCAAGAAGAGCTGGCTCGTGGTTTCGACATTTCAGAAACCAATGCGGGGAAGGAGCTCAGTCGAGAACTATTCGAGCAGATGGCGAGACATCGAGAGGAACTGAAGGGACTGATGGCGGAGATTCATGAGGCGGCGAGGGCGAGAGACGAAGAAAGTCGCAAAGAACTGGCCCAAGAGCGCCTCAGGATGGAATCGGTCATCGCGCGACTACAGTTCGACTCGACAAACCTCGTGAGAGGGTACAAGGACGCGCTAACGAAGGTGGAGGAGCGTTTACGGATAACCGAGGCGTCCACAGCCGCTGCATCCCATCTGTCGGGATCTTTCCAGGCTTCAGCGATGCCGGGAACGGTGACGAAGCCCGCGGGAGGGAACGAATATCCAGGGCAGCAAACCCATTCTCCTATCGTTCAGGCCGTGGCAGCGACAGAAAATAGCAATGCCGTCCTGGAAGGGAAGCTCGCCGCCGCCGTACCCGTGGTGGGGTTCTGGGGCAGACTGGCCGTAATGCTGGCTCCCTTCTCTTTGACTTGGAAATAAACGTTCAGAAGCCCAGTCTCTAACCGACTGGAGCTAGCTGCATTGCATTTACAAATATCTCTGGGAAGGAAGGAATCCCAATCCTATCATCCCTGCCTCGCTTTCACATAGCGATGGTCCCGTCCTCTATGGTTTTGAATTGGTATTGGAAACTAGGCTCGAGACATCAGAGATGTGCTTATGGGCCTTCATCGTTGTCTTATCTTCCCGTTGGCCTCAGCATCAAAATCTCTGCCTAGCTCCCGCCCTCTACGGAAATGGAAAATATCTTTGTTTGGTAATTATCCGTGCGTACTGTGGATGAATCGTAGACGCGAGTGTTCTGATAGTTGGGATATGTCAAGTCCGAATCCCTGGCATGTCGGTGTCATAACCGAGGCGGACATCTCGGTGGATAGTAAACGTTTTCTCAACCAATCTCTGTGCCTTGACGTGATCGAAGATATTTCTGACCAATTCATTCTATGCGCCCATCAACTGGATTGGCCTTCTTTGCGAGGCTTGCGTTAGTGGCGGACGACTTCAAGGAGAAATGCTCCCACAGCAGAAGAGGGCGTGGAACTTCTGTTGTTGTAAACAATTTAGACATGGGGAAGCGGGGCTCCTATGGCAGGCGTACCTCCTTTCCCTCCTGTCTAGATGAAAGGCATGAAGGTTGCGGAAGAGGTGCACGCCACACTGATTTACTTGGCACCTTCTTAGCAGTCGACCTTCTAGGATATGTAGAAAATGGAATAAAGGCTAAACTTGAAACGTATAACTTTTCTAGTACTCAAGAATAACAGGGTTTCAATCATGCGACGTTGGAACCGTGAGGTTCCGAAAAACACCGCAGGGTTTAGTGAGAGATGCGCCTACAATATTTACTTCTCGGCACTAACTCGCTTCTTCGTACCACAAAGATATCTCAGATATAAAGCATCAATTGATTGAATCCCTGCGATATTCCTTAAAGAACCTTAGGGTGACATGAGCGAGATTTTGCTCAAGATGCGAATCTGAGCGTCGTATATTTAGGTATGGTATCAAGTGGTCTCTGGCATTCGAGAGCAACTTCTAAGGAAAGAAGAAGAGCACCGTATAAGTAACAAGAACGTATCTTCTTATTCCTCCCTGATAGGCCACCGGAGGGGTGAAGAGATGCTATTCAATGACACCTCGTCGGTTAATTTGGATCAAACGGATACAGCTTTCGGTGTTCGTCGACGCTTCCTCCGCAACGGGTGTACTTGGGAAGTGCTGTACTCTAACAGAGAGATACAGCCTCAAAGTCACCGACTTCGAGCTGCATGCTTATTTACCTATTGTACAGCTGTTGATTTAATGAATAAAAAAGTGCGATGGGGCAGGATCCGCCGCGCTGACAGGAGAGATCAGATGCAGCAGACCGAAGACGACATACACCAAGCTCCATGCTTCCACGACCGCTTTAGATAGTTCGTATTCAAATTTCACGGTTGTTGCATTGTGAAATTTATGCCTCTGGCCGAGGAGGGTTTAAGGTGACATCACAGCGAACATAGTTGTGATATAGCTCGTCAGAGGTCAAGAGGGTGTCCTCGGTGTCCTTGTTTTTAGGATAGAGAAACGCGGTCAACGGCTAGTTTGACGGGGAACTGATATCAGCCCGCTGTCGAAAGATAGAAGATGCAGGGACGAACGTGGTGGAACTCCAGGAATGCGGCCGCTATAGACGAGGGAAATTAGACACATTCAAGGTTTGAATGCCCCGAAACACGAGATAAGACCACTCACTGTGTGGACCATATGCGTTTCCGTCACCGCTAACTCCTGAGCCGCCATGGATCTTCTTGCGTGCTCCATTAGTTGCTTTCGCCAGGGCATTTGAATAGAACATCGCGCCACGCTCTAGGAGACGAGTCAGGACTTACATTAGATTAGATTCTGATCACGCAAGACAGGACGTACGATTGGTATCAAAGGCAAGCTTGAGGCCCGACTTCTTAGATTTCAATTCAACGACTGCGCCCGCCCGTGTCCCACGCTCAGCATCATCAGGGGGACGGAGCAAATCCTTCAAGTAATTGCTCTCCTCTCCAAATGAGTTCAGGAGAATGCGCGTCTCGATGGTCGATTGGGCACTCTCCGAGAAAAGGTAATAATCATCTAAGCAAGAAAGGGGGGAAAAAGGAGATCAGGATGCAGAAAATAACATCAAGGGAAGGAAACAGACCATAGCCGGCGTCCGGGAATTTATCTCCAATTATTTTGGCTGTATGTGCATGGGCAGGCTTTGTCGAGACGGCAATGAAGTTCCCAGTTCCGAGAGCGCTGGAATCCAGCTCGGCAATGTGGTCTGCCTAGGGTGATACGGAAAATCAATTCTCCTTAAATTCAGTACCAGGGAGGAAGTGGGTTCACCGACCTTGATTGTTAACGTATGCTCTTTGATGGTTAGGGGTTCAGGCCCGTCCTGAAGACTTGCATCCAAGTTAAAGCCCCAATGCTACGAGAATGTGAGAAAGACGTCTCGTAAACATCGGAGAAGCTAAACAGACCTGGGTGAGGTTGACCGGTGTGACGGTTTTGGTCTCACCCTCGAGTTTGGCACGATAGACGATAACCACACTGCCGAGACTGTACTCCGCATCCCCACTGGTGGTGATGGGTTTGGTTGGGGATTCAGGGGAGATAAGAGCGATGAGTGCTTCCACGGTCAATTCTCCCGGAAAACCTTGATCTCCAGCAGGTGAAATAAGTCGGAAGATAGCAAACGACGACTCTGGAAGCCCTCCAAGACGAGATAGCTCTGATCTGCTGAACAATTTAGGAGGGTTGTCTTTGGTCAGTATCGTCCAGGGTACCGCGTCGAAACCGACTGGGCCACCGTGCAGCGAAACTATCGGAGATTCTAAAAGAGAATATGAGAACACTTTGGCTCGAGGGTAGTGCCGATACTACCATTTGCTAATGCCTTCAGTTCACTCTTGAAACCCTTCTTCTCGAGAACGTGAGTTCCAACAGGGATGCGATTGGCATATCGTCCGACGATGGAATTCGTGTACTTTTGCGTAACATGATCCTTCGGGGATTCAGGGCCTATAACGACATCGTGTGTCTAGACGCCGAACGACGATCAGTCTATCCAGCTGCGCTCCCCACGCCTGCCACAGAGCACTCACACGGCCGTCAGCTTGTACCAAAAGCTTGTGGATTGTGAGCCCGTAAGGAAGGATCTATGCATCGGCTTAAGCGACGCAATGGGACCTCCAAAGATGTAACCCACTTCTAACACGAGAGATGGGGTAAGAGAAGTGGGAAGTGACAAGAGCACGGGCTTGAATTCTGCCATATCGATGAGAGCGATAGTACTGGAGGGCGATCAAGATTGTCCGAGATGTTTTCCGACTTTATAGATGCTGGCTATGCCCTACGTGCGGGCCGGGCGGCCTTTCCCCGACGATGTCCCGCAATTTAGGAGTCATGGGGTCACCGATTTAAATGTGCATGCTCGAAAAGCTCAATGTTCCAAGCCAGAACGTCCTTTTCCAGGCGAAGGCGCTTCACCTCGCGTGAATAAATCACTGTTTCATGGCGTAATCTTGACGGGGTGGCGAGCGCGCATAAACCGCGACCAGCGCTGGCCTACTTTCTCGACTCTATGAAAGTCCTACGGCATTCAGTTCAAGAGTTCAAGAAGGAAGAGATTCATGAGGAAGAGACGCAAGAGTGCACACTTGTTCATCATTTAATTTACTCTTTCCCATAACGACAGACCAAGGACAGACGGAACTTCAAAAATTCACGGTTGAATGTTGTGCAGAGCACCTACTGCCAGCAACTTGTTGAATGGTATCGATCGCGCTGTGCTGATCTTGCAAATCGCATCATTCAGTCAACGCCATGTGCAAGAAGAGATTGGCTTCTTACCTGTCCAACCCAGGAGAAGAAATCTTAATACGATTTAGTTTGGAGGAGAAGACGGAGGTTTCCGTGTGGCGTCAAATAGTCGGAGCCCTAATTCTTTCTCACGCCTTGATCCCGTGATGCCGATGCGACGGATGCCTATCTTACCTAAGTATTCGCAGACTCTCAGGACGGCATCGTCCGCACTGGCATAGTATTTAAGGAGCTCGAGGAAGTAGGCTTATTTTGTTACCGTCTGTCATGTTTCACGATTTAGGTCCCTATAGATTGCCTTATGTGTGCGCGCTTGGTGCACGCTAAGGATATCTTGTAGCCCGACTCGGATTCCTGTGCAACAAACCGCAAAGGTATTTAGGCTAGGTATTACTATTAGACTCTGTACGCCCAGTAATAAACTCAAGTGTCTCTCGGTCCCTTTATGGCTTGGCAATAAGCACCCCTCTTGTCCGATACCGTCTGTACCGTCAACTACGGCCTATGTATAGGACTTTCCTATGTCGTCCCACGAGATTCCAGCGGATTTCAGGGACCGGAAATTACTTGAAGCCGTGCAACTGGATATAGAAGGCTCGTATCAAGGTTTTGTAGTCCAGAGACTTGGAGCTGAGGACTATCACAAACCTGTGATGGCATTAGTATGATAAGACCTGGAGAGAAATACCCATATGCGATCATTAAACGTTCCATGACGCAGCAATGCGGCAGACCATCCATTGTTCCGTAGACTTACGGAGCTACATCACCCACCGCTTATAAGAATATGAGACCAACGCTTCTCTAGCACCTATTGGTCTTCATGTGCGAGCGCATCGGCGTGTTACTGAAAACTGGTCAGGACATAGGTTATTTTAGGCGACCTAGCTGACTTCTTTGCACAAGTTAGGGACTTGCGGCTCGGTAAATTCGTCCAAGCTAGTCAGTAAATGCGCTATCGCTAGTTACCTGCGGAGTCAATTCTCACTACACGGGCCTGTACGGCTATCATGGAATTCGTGCCTCCGCTTGAAGAACATCGTCCGACTGGTCGCCGTAAAAAAGCAGATAGCAGATTCTGTATCACCTATACCACAGAAAATATAGAAAGTTGGAGACGTATCTTCACGGGTATGGATCCTGTTGCGGAATTCACATTTATGATCTAGGGTGATATAGAAATCTTTTCGGATCACTTTTGATATGGCCTAAATTCCTATACCACGAAGACGATATATATCTCTCCTCCTTCTGAAGAGAGAGGCGAAGGAAAGCGCCGTCAGAGAAGCGAGCTTGCGGTGCCGATCAGGTTGTCCAAATTCGTGCTCAATCAAGTAAATCGCCCTGATCGTGTGGCGTCAGCAGAAAATGGAAATCCATTTATTGTCAGGGCGGGCACCTATTTTTACTTCCTTGGAACCTGAAAAGGAGCCAAAGGACATGACCGGGGAGCAAGGGATGGAAGAAAAGCAGTACTTCCGAGCGGCGCGTTTTCTTCTCATTTTCTTCTTCTCAACAGTATTGTCTCTCCGCCACCCACGGAAGACGTAGTACGTCGTACAGTTGCCACGAGTCTTCAAATTTTGTCTTGGGCGCTCAATAGGAAGAGATAGCTTCCATTTTTGTCCTCAATTCAGCCTCTTTCTTCCTATCTCCTACGGTTAAATCAGCGTCGGACGCACTGAAGCCCGAGCGCTCAAGTGTCAAGAGTTTCATCCCCATCCCCACCTAAATCAGAGGATAATCTGGACTACAATCATGGGAAAAGCACTGATGCGGAAAACACAGTCAACTTTGCAGTGTAAGCATGACAGTTCCAGTCGTCAGTTGGCAATGTACAGTCACCATCAGGAATGCAGCTCCCCAAAACCCAAATGGCCCCATTCTCTGGGCGGTGAATAACGGCAACAAATATATTCCAACTGCTCTGACTGATTATGAGAGTCTCCTCGAGTGCGATGCTCCAAGGAGCACGGGCGCAGGCTGTGTCCGTGGTAAACCATCTGGACATTGCAATCGCCGTAGCTGGCTACTGGATCGATAATCGGCGGTGAGTCGATATCGTGTCCTACTGCTGCCGCGTCCTCGACAATCTGCAGGGTATGACGCGAGCGCGATGTCCCATTTAGGCGCTCATCGCGCTGAAACTTGTTAGAAACCACTCCAATGTCAGGGAAATCACGTCTTCTTTGGCGAGGATCATTCTTAAAATACGCATGGGGTATGGCTATCTGGTGTGCACAGGAAAGCAATGGTTGGAATAAGATGAGGGACGTTGGGGGTCAAACGGTGGGTGCTTACAGATATTTCGTCCATAGTGTGCCTAAACGGGGATATTTTGGAGGACGGCGATCAATAAGCTTTCTGATCATAATGGGCTCGTTTGAGTGAGCTCAAGATTAAGTTAAAGGCGCTCAGCCTCTAGACAGGATTCCAGCGGCCCTGGACGTCATTCCGGCAAGCCGCACGTTCGACCGACTTGTGCATTTAAATTGGGAGACGTGCGCAAACTTGGCGACTGGACGACAGGTCGTCGAAGAAGTATGTCCGAGAAATGGCCCTTTAGGAAGGACCATACAAATGGAACCATTACCAAAGGACAAGGCTTTTTCTTCCGTTCAGGTTCACAAGAGATCAACCATCATTTCTTCGCAGACTCTTTGTACACAGCTTTTATCGTACATACAAACGTACACTTCTAATAAGATGATTACCATCGTAGGGCTTTGGGATTTCCGAGATAAATACCAAGGCAATTGATACAGATATTCTATCGACTCTGTCGTATTCGTGTGTGCATGGGAGAGATGGGACAATGGGAAAGATGAGAAAATGGGGGAAGGAAAAACGAGGCAGAAGAATATCAGAAAACGTACTGGATGGATTTGTTCAGCTTCCTCAAATACAACAAAGTTAAAATGAGAGGCTACTCACAGGAAAGGCGCTATTGGGCGAAGGCAATTTGTAACCGCTGTTCACTGCCTTTGAGTCCGCTGCTGACGCTATCGCCACGTCCCAGTTCACGCCGATGACCGGCCCGGCATCCAATGGCGAAGGATGACCTTCGAAAATAGCAAACTGATCGGCATGGTCGTTAGACCCGTGGACCAGGGGAAACTGCGAGTATGGCGGATAAGTTTGCGAAGCCGTGTCGGACATGTGTGAGTGCGAGTGATTCCTGAAGTGCTTGTTATTGTACAATTGGGTGTTGGAGGCTGGAGAATGCGGGCCGGAGAAGTTGACGGGCGACGACTCTGAGAAATGCGGGAGGGAGTGGTTTATGTTAAGGTCGAACGGCTGATATGTCCCGTCGGGAGATGGGGTGGATGGAGAGGTGGAGTCGGGCGAGTATTCAAAAGCCATTGGGGATGACCGAAAGGACGACATGTCGTCTGTCGTAATTGATGAAGAAGAAGACCAGTTCGAGAAAGAGTCGATGTGATAGAGATGGGGCTTTACGTCGACGGGCGACTGGAAGGCCGATGTCGAGAGAAAAGGGAGTGACATTGACGGTGATGCAGGTGATGCGCTTGATGAGGACGAAGAGACACTCTCGGTCTTTCGGCTGAGATGGTAGTGCAACCCCTCGGACGACTTGCGCCTTGGGCGCGCATTACGTGAGAGATCAGAATTGAAGCGTGTGATGCTGTTATACCTAGGAGTCGCTCTCGATGAGTGCTCTGCTTGTCAGGAGGCACGGGTCTGAACACACCTGTTCTTCGCAGACAAGCCTGTTCGGCCTGGGAAATAGGTCTTGACAATTTTTGTCCAGACTTTCCCATGCTCGGCAACTGCGCGAAGTAGAAGCTCATCCTGCAGAGCAATGGGAATCAGATGAGTACTTGCAGAGCATGAAGAGTGGCTTACTGCTTCAGACGACCACGTGGTACGATCAATGGCAGGGTTCAGTGTATCAGTCCAGCGTTTGGCGCACTCTAATGCATAATAAGCCGTCAGGTCATCAGCTTAAAATGGGAAGTGGTATGACATACGATCGCTGTTCCTCGACTGCACAACAGAAGCGACGAGGGACCATCTAAGTTTAGTTGAGTCAGCTTACGGTTGGAAACTAGCCTTCATCATGAATATTATCATACCTGGTACCATACCGCTCGATGCCCTTGACCAACTTCTCATCCTCGTCTGGGGACCAGCCACCCTTGACAACGTCGGAAGCCATCTTCGCGAACCATCTCTTGCGGCAGTCCTTGTTCGTGCGATTGGGTACGTGCTTCGCGATTGCATGCCACTTGGAGGGGTTAGAGTTGTTTGGGTCCTCTGGGGTGGCATTGAGAACGGAAGCCGTGAGTACGAGTGCTGGATTACGCACCTCTAGCAACGGCGTCGCGGAGGAGCTGGTCCTCCTTTGCAGTCCAGGAGCGGCGTTCTCTGGAGAAGAGTTGACTTGACATTGGCACGGGTGAGTGGAGGAGGGGAAATGAGCGCCTTGGGATAGAAGAATCCAAGAGGACATGATGCGCTTAATATCGTGTTCTGAAGTCGGCACTCCAATCAGGACCAAGAATGGGGTAAAGACCTAATAATCAGACACCCTTCCCACCGCAGAATCGGGATCAGTAATACGTTGTGATCTGAGCAGAGCAGATTTGGAGTACGATCTCGATTCTTGTTGGGGCATGCTTACGAGGATTTCCGATGTCTGCTGTTTGTGCAAACGAAGGTAACTGTAGCGTGGCTTGCATATGGAGTTACTAGGCTTGTCGTCCGCATGCAGATTGGCCGTTCTTCCGTGCGCGATTGGATAAGAAATATTCTGCGGACGGCGAGCGGGCGGCCAGAGGATTCTGCTGCGATTTCGAGTACCTGTGCTATGCGGAGATTCCGAGAAGACCTCTGCGGTACAGCGCAGGTGTAGGCGGTGTACTTGGGTGGTGGGAGAGTGTCGGTTGCTCGATGACATAAGCGACCCAATTGGGCTCCCTCCTACTCCTCGGGCCTAAATTTGGGGTCTTGGCTGTTCCCTTGCGTCTGCAACTTTGCAACCTGATGGATATAGACATGCTAATGGGAAATGTTCCATTTGCAGCCTGTGACAGCCGTAGCCTTATTTCTGATATCCCAGGCAAAGATAATTATCGCAGGCTACCCATGCGTGGCGGGGGGCATCTGATAACTATCGTCCTTCATTCCGCCATCCCATATGCACTCGTCACTGGATGTATTGCATTCAGAAACTATAGATCCTTACTGGAACGAGGATTGATGGGCGGGAAATTACACGATGGATTTACCCATCGACGAGGTTGTTCCAGATTGACGCTTCCTCAAACGCCGCCGCAGAATGGCGCTCCGCTTCCAGTTTCAGACGCCGCACGGTCGAGCTTGCGCTTGGATCTTCCACGTATTTCCAAACCTAGTGCATTCACTGGATTGTGGCAAGTCGGAGCCAAGGTTTACGACCCGCTTTCGTACCGGCCATAAACTCCGCCTCCGACCGAAAGGGGAACGCATCAACTGGGCGATCAGGTCGCGGTGATGTTTAGTAGTCTTGAAATCTATTTGTGACCTTCGAGGAGGGCGGACTGTTGTCAGTCCAGGTGCGGTTCTCACGGTGGCATACACCATGGATTTGCTATTGACCCTTCACTTGATCGCTTCGGCGAATTGTAGTCGGCGTTCTCGAGACTGGGGCCGCTCACCACTCGTTCCAAACCCTCTTGCCTAACACGCGCGCTGAGCGCGATGAAATGATTTGCACGAAAGTTGGAAACATGGCTCCCAGTTCTGCGACGACGCATCCGGACATAACGGTAAGGATTTAGACCAGATTTTTCCTGAGTCATAGATTCCCCAACGCGGATTGACGGCGGTCTGATGCTCTCTCCACACAAATGCTTCATATGGTATTCATACCACCGGTGATAGATATACAATGGTGAAGAAAAGCGGATATCCCAGTCATGTATTGATAATCGACTCAGGATTTCTCCAGGACAGGTAAAAAAAGAGAGCCCTGACGCCCGTACAGCTCGGCCGACAGCGAGCGGGTCGTCAAGAGAAGACCTGTCGCCGCCGTCTTCGAACTTGAGGCAACATTAAAAGTGTAAGATTGTTTCGGGTGGCGCCCAACGCTCGTACTACCCGCTACTGCTGCGCAGGCGTGGTGCGTACAGTTAGGATCAATGGAGTACAAACTTTGTCGACGTTTCGGGCTTTTGCGAAGCGTCGCGGACGCGCCACACCACCGTGTCCGGAAATTCCCACCCCTCATCGGCAATTGATGCTGAAACCCGTATGCGAGGACTCTTATTGGCGTGGTATCGAAGCGAGGTTTTCTACAATAACCCATGGAGTGTTCATTATCTTCGCCTTATGGCTCAAAGGCCGTTGGCCTCAGATTTCAGATAATCTCGGCTGGTGCGCAGAACACATCCCTCTAGCCCGACGGCCAAAACGATAAGATTACGCATCATAAACGGCAGAACCTCCGAGAAGGTCCTCATTATTCTCTAGGTTTTCGTCACCTCCCAATGCATGAGCACATCCGCGCGGATTGTCTTCGTAATCCCCCGACGCGTCAACACACAAGCCAATGGCCTACGCTGACCGTTGGGGCAGTGCCAGCCCACCGCTCGAGTTTCCTCGGCCGATAATCATCAAGCCATGACTCGATACTGACACGGCGGTGAATAGCACCATCTCACTCGAAACCTTGCCAACCTAGAGCTCATTGGGTGCACATGCAGCTGTCGGAATATACGTCGCGAGCTGCTCCTGCGATATTGAGTGGAAGTTTACAGATGCGTGATCCCACCAGATATAAAGCTCCAGCGCGCTTGGTGACGTATCAAGTGGGCGGTTGATGCATCTTGGTTAGACCGTTTTATGGCAGGCGCGACCAATGGTGGTGCAACTGTCAAGTTGTGGTACCGTCGGGCTATTATCTATCAAGAGCTTGGCTAACGACTATTGGTCTCGGAGGGGAAGGCGGCGGCACGACAGTGACCTCGAGTTTCGTAAGGATTTGTATGATTTATTTGATCCTCTAGGTCCTCCCACGTGCGTTGGTATCAACAGTCGAGGACGTTCGTCGCCCTGCACATGAGAACGTGAGCGCCAAAAGGGTGGTAACGACCATGACTTATTTACCTAAAATTTAGAGGGCTCATACTCCCAGAGAACGGCTTCGTTATCTTCCCGCGACAGTCTTCACTGGGCGTTCGAAATGCTCTGATGGTGTTTCTGCGTTACAGACAAGGAGGTGCCTATAGAATTTATCCAAGACCTCGCCCATAATGGAACGACCCTACATTCACGGGCGCTTCGGGTCCTTGCTCGCTATGGTCGTCCCTGGAGCAAGGCGCGCTCTCAAAATTCGACATTTTCAAAGGTTCCAACAAGGCAGTGAGATCGCTGTGCGCTCTTGGCTTGATGACGTTGGCCGAGTGGCTGGATGATCGCAAGTGATGGTTATCCCTCACCGTGAAGTTTGGTTCCCAAGCTGTCAGAAAGTAGACCAAGTCTTTCCGGGCAAGCAATTGAAATGGGGGAGGCTTTTATAACTTTTGGGAGCCTTGAGAAGGAGAGTTGGGCTTTGATCAAAAGAGAAGCACAACGAGCAACAGAGTTTTCACATCAACAGTGGAGAGACCGGAAATGTCTATCAATGTTCTATCCACCTGATGATTGGCAATTTGTCTTAAGTAAAGGTTAGATCTCGCTTGCAAATTTTGTGGACAACTTATCTGCTAAGCCCTGCCTGCATGAGAAGGGGAAAGAAGGACCAAGAGTGAAGTAAGATCGCCCAGAACGGACCGAGCGCATATTTTCTCCCCACCGCCCACAGGCAGATAATCCTCTCGGGCGCGCGCGGAGGCCCAGGGACGGCAAATAAAGGCAGACGTGAGCCAGCGATCAGAACCGACAACGGCACTTCCAATGTCCGGAACGAACAGATAATAAGAGCATGTCGCGAGAAGGTGTGATTGCGGTAGTCCACGGCGCTTCTCCTGGACGGAAGCAGTATCGGTTCAAAAAAAGCTCTACCTTACCAATAGGCTACCCGACACAGGTGGAAGGCGTATTAGCCAACTGTCCACTGGAAACCGGGGACGATTATTAAAGGAGATTATGGACCTGAAATCGTGGATGTTGAATGATAAATGGATAATGGCTTGGCGGCACGATTAGATGTCCTCCTCTCGAAGCGAGCCTTGGCGGCGGTCCTTGGCGCAGCTAAGGGACTAATTGCCACATCGTGGTCGATGGAAGTGTTTGAAGGTGTTGGTAAATACCAGCAAGCAGTGACGAGGATGGTTCCACGAGGACCGCCCCGATATGGTTTAGCCAAGAAACGACGGGCGGGGATGTCATGGACCATCGCCGTGAGTGTCCTGGCCCGTGTAACGCCTCAGAGCAGTAGGCGGCAGAGTGAAGGTTAAGTGGCGAAAGTTCCAACGAAACTGGGCACCGGAAATCAAGCACCAAACATCCAATAGGGGTGTGGTACCACGATAAGGGCAGCCGATTACAGAACATGAACGCAGGAGGTGGAAGATTCGAAAGAACGCTGAATGTTGGGAACCAACCATTTGAAGGTAAGCCTTCCGTGGTCGGTATCTTAATCCATGAGTTTGCTCTGTGTCCACGCAGATCACGGAATCCAAAGCTCGAGGAACAATGGGACGTACACATGGGAGAAAAGCAGGAAGACGAACAAGAAACGCCGGAGCCGTCGTCACCGCAGAGAAGGACGATAAGGACGAAAACGGACACATGTGCGTTTGTATAATTAGCGAGGAAGTGAAGCAAGGTTTGTCGAGTTCTGGAAGGTCGAGGACCGATGGCACGGGGGAGTCGCCGATATCGAGTCACAGAGGTTCATCTGCCCCAGAAAGAAGTATTCGGTGCGCCGAAGTCGAGAAATCAGAAATGGGGGATCCCGACCCAGACCTCGGGTTTGAGGGGAAATAGCTCTGGCGCAGGAAGGTCTTGCACACAGCCTGCTAACGTACCGTCGGCTTCGGGCAGAAATGATCGTGTAAACAAGTTATTCTGGGACATTATATCCTGGTTGTCGTGAGGGATTCTGCAATATTTGACGCGGTCAGAAAGGCTTCTCCCGTCAAAATGGAGCAAGAATGAAGCTGATCCAGTTTGGCGCGCTGCGTAAGATGCCCAGATAAGTATTCCCCCAGACCTGAGTGCCTCATGTCGTCATTGCTCATTACCCCCAGACCGGATAGTGGTGCAGCCCAGAGATGATAATGACATCCCCGCAGTTACACGGCCGTCCCAAGCTGAATGCCGTTCACGAAGCAGCGAGATAAAGATAAAGGCAAAGAAGTCCTGGCGAGATATTTTTAATCCAGATAGCAACGCTTGAAATCAAATAAGGAGAGGACCGGTAGGCATGCAGGTACCTTGCGAGGATGATTGTGGTTGGTGACAGAGATTGAAGCGTGACCTGCGCGTCTGGTGACGGCTGTGACTCGTCGCGTCGCGCACGTGATATCAATTTTACCTGCCGATCGCACTTTCGATATTCATCGCAACTCTCATCTCCCCTTATCGCGTCGAGTTCAAGGATATTAGACACCCTCTTCGACCGCCTTAACGTCCACATAGATATGGCCGAAATCCATGATCAATTCGATACCATTCTCATCTTGGATTTTGGGTCTCAGGTGCGCTTTTTGACCCTTATCTTTGTGTTCTTCTTTGTAAGACGGACGATGCAGTACAGCCATCTAATTACAAGAAGGTGTCGCGAACACAATGTCTACGCCGAGTTGATGCCTTGCACGACCAAACTTCAGGACGTCAACTTCAAGCCCAAAGGTTAGATCGCTTCATGCAATAGTGACATACCGCGGACCATCCTATCCTCCAGGAATCATCTTGTCTGGATCGCCATATTCTGTATACGATGAGGGTTCTCCGCATGTAGACCCCGCCGTATTCGATCTCGGAGTTCCGATATTGGGAATATGTTATGGGCTTCAAGTCTGTCTTCTGCTCCGCTGATACGCCCTGCCCCTCTCTGACACATTGTATTGTTCCTAAGGAAATAGCCTGGAATCTCGCAGGAGAGGTGTCGAAATGCGACCATAGGGAGTACGGTCCGGCTGATATTATCATCAACAAATTTGGGAATGGCGCCGTTGACGCTCTCTTTGAGGGGTTCGGGGAGGAGATGCGGGTAAACTATCATCTTCTGAACGACATGCGTGGGTTGGGCTGATACCACTACCTTTAGGTTTGGATGTCCCACGGAGATCAACTTTCCAAACCACCTCCGGATTTCCATGTAATTGGACACACAAGGACCGCGCCGTATGCCGCACTCGCACACAACTCGAAGCCATTGTACGGAATTCAATTCCACCCAGAAGTTACACATTCACCGAACGGAAAGGCCGTTATTGGAAGATTTATTTTGAATATCTGCGGTTGCCGTCAGAACTGGACTATGGTGCGATAGAGCGTCTATCTTATCTTAGGGAAGTACACGTGCTGAAGTTTTTTATATCTAATTTAGGAGGAATTCATAGGAAAGGAAATCGCGCGTATTCGCGAAATATGCGGACCGAAAGGACGTGTTATTGGAGCAGTTAGCGGTGGGGTCGACAGCACTGTTGCGGCGAAATTAATGCACGAAGCTATTGGAGATAGGTAAGGGATTTAATGATTCGTTAGAAAGCCGGCGCTTTTTCTTATTTCCCGATGCCAGGTTCCACGCTATCATGGTCGACAACGGTGTCCTACGGCTGAACGAAGCCGAGCAGGTGAATGTCATGCTCAACAAGGACCTCGGGGTCAACTTGACCGTCGTCGACGCCTCCGAGTTGTTCTTGTCTCGCTTAGCCGGAATAGAGGATCCGGAGCAAAAACGAAGGATAATCGGCAATACGTTTATAAACGTTTTCGAGGCCGAGGCGACAAAAATCGAGGCCGCAGCTGAGGAGGAAGAGAAGAAAGGTGCCGAAGCAAAGGGTCGTGTCGAATGGCTTCTCCAAGGAACCCTCTACCCGGATGTAATCGAGAGCATCAGCTTCAACGGACCAAGTGCGACAATCAAGACTCATCATAATGTCGGTGGTCTTCTCAAAGACATGAAGCTCAAGCTTATTGAACCTCTACGAGAACTCTTCAAAGGTAGGTTTTGAATTTCCTCGCATTTTACGGCACAATCGATACCTCCCTTAGATGAAGTTCGTGCTCTTGGGCGTCTTCTTTCAATCCCCGCACAATTGGTTGGACGTCACCCTTTCCCCGGTCCAGGACTTGCGATTCGTATCCTTGGTCCTGTCACTCGCGATCAAGTCAAGATCCTTCAATTAGCAGACAACATCTACATCGAGGAAATCCGAAAAGCCGGACTGTATGACCAAATCGCACAGGCGTTCGCGGTGCTCCTACCTGTGAAAGCCGTGGGTGTTATGGGAGATCAAAGGACGTATGAGCAGGTACGAGTAAACAGTCTTTCCTTCACTTGTCGAGGATAATTTATCCGATCGCACTGACTCCACGGCGCCCTTTTCTGTACGTTATCTTTCTCTCAGGTCATCGCGCTTCGTGCTGTGCAGTCTGAAGACTTTATGACGGCTGATTGGTATGTCGGCTCCTTTGCGACCGTATTTTTGGCTGGCTAGGTTCAGTGACCGCGCCGCGCTCATCTTGACGTATGTCGATCTCTCACCCCAATAATAGGTTTTCGTTCCCCGCCGACGTGCTGCGCCGTATCTCGTCCCGCATTACAAACGAAGTCGCTGGTATCAATCGTGTCACCTATGACATCTCCTCGAAACCACCTGCAGTAAGTGGTTTCGCGTAATGGTATGAGTCTTGCTTACAACGCGCCCTCAGACGGTTGAGTGGTTGTGATTACAAATGGTTGCTCTGACCGAGCATAGATTTAATGGGGAAATGCCATAGACGTACAGGTTGTGTATCTTTTGACCATGCTAGGTGATGAGCGCCCGGATGAGCAATGGAATGGGCTGGCATTGAGCAGGCTGTCGGGTTGATAAGATTGTACAATAGGATTGAGGTCGCCATGCAGAACCATTGCTCCTAACCAACTATGCATCGCTCCATGCAGTTTGCGACTTTCACGTACTTATCGACTTCTCAATATAGGTTCTCCACCATGAAGGTAAGGTGGAATGGAGAGTTCTCGAAAGCATGGAGCTATACGAAGAGAGGACGGACATAGAAAGGAAGACCCACCTACTGAGGCAGGATTAAGGTCATACTATCAGTCTCGAGTCGGAGTCAACGAGGTGTTTCAACATGTGTGTTAAATCGGGCTTTTGAATTCAGCATTCATTCGCGAGGCACAGGCATGGCCATGAGAAAGGAAAATGGCTTTAACATCTTAAATATCTTTACCGAACACAAAATGAAAACAAGGTATGTGTGGCGGTGATATCCCTGCTTTTCAAAAGTAAAAAGACACTGAGGTCGAGCGGATGAGGAGATACCACCTGTTGGATCAAGAATCGTCACTCCGGAGCGATGCATACTCGCTCTGTGGGGTTGATAGGAGAAACTCCTTTCCGCTAGGATTGGAGGAAGAAATTGAAGAGAAAGCGGTTGGTGACTAATGAAGTCCAGGATGAAAACCCAGAAGGCGAAAACGAATAGCGAGGCGATCGAACACCGTTCAAGGATAGATTGTTCTCCGTGTTGGGCGTAGCATCCAACGGCGAAACACAGCAACGGTGCGGGGAAGCGGCGGCTTCTCCAGGAGGGGATTGGAGTCGGGCTTGCCATAGAGCTTATTCAGGCTACCTAGGTCTTGTGAGAAGGTGCTTGGCGAATATGGGCGTCGTGAGATGCAGCTTAGCTATCTGTGGGAGGCTCTGCGTTGTGCTTGATCCTGTAGTGTAATCGAGGGGTATTGGAGGCCCCAGAATCATCGGAGCTGTTCAAGGGTTCCTTTTCCGCCAGCTCCTCGAGTTTCTTTGACTAACAGATGGAAGGTGCTTTGATAGGCCGTGACAGTCCTCTGACAGTTGCCCATGAGCAGCGAGGTCAGTTAAGAGAGGGGAGAGGAAAACATGGCGCGATCAGGGCCTGTTCTTCTCATGCTAATGGCACTGAGATCAGCGTTGAATCCCAGGCGCTGTCACCAAGGAAGTGCGACAGACGGTGAGAGCGACCGCCCATGTGGGTGGATGGACGTACGCAGACCCTCCTGTATTCGCGGAGGACTGGGTGTAGAGCGGGACATGAACACCAGCTGGAAGCCGAGATTGGCACCCAGCGAAGCTATCATCACATCATCAGCGGTGTGTTGAAACCAACGCTCCGGAGTAGAAGGAGCCTACATGAAATTGACGAGGAGGCCTGGACTGGCTAATCCGGAAATCAACGTCGCCCATGAAGGATGGACGCAGGCACAGTAGGTTTGAATTCAATCACTGGCCACAAGCTCCTCGCGAAATGGGCGCCGGCTTGATGCTCAATAGAAGCCGCTAAGGTCCTGTCAACGCAGTCGGGGGAACGGGCAAATAGTGAGCCGATGGTTCCTTGAAAATGGACTGACGTTAGATCATGATCAATGCCAACTGCTTCAAGACCTCAAGGGAGGGAAGGTCGGCGTCGGGAAGCGTCACTGGTGTCTCTATTGCTGAGGCAAGATACGTGAACGTAGGAACTGTAAGTAGGATCGGGTGTCTAACTTCATCAGGTCGGAGGCTCGATATGAAATCTTTGCCATCCATTTCCGTTGAAACTGGATTTTGGACCGCTGCATTGATAGACGTAGTCTCGAACGTGGGGGTAGACAAGCATGCATAGGTACAAGCTAACGGGCGACCCTCTTGCCCATCCAGGATAGTGCGAGCTGTAAAAATGGTGAAGTGGTTGAGCAAGACCTTCCATATCAAAGTCTACGACAACGCACCCTTGTAGGCCAAGGTTAAGCGAATGTTTGAGCCTATACGCCCGCCCTCTGTCTGGAAAATCAACCTCCATCCTATCCCACAACAGTTGCGAGGGTACATGCCAGCACCACAGTTCCTTCCAGAAGTTCGACGAATTGCAGGAGCAGGAGGCAGCAAAGGACCATGAATGTCGAATGTTTTAACAGTTAGGATCTTTCAACCCAGTTCCTTGTTGGGTAGGCGCTGTCCTGACCTGGAGCTAGGCAAAATTTGTTGAGAACCGTGATCAAGCAGGAGGCAGCGGAAGGTCCATCTCGGTGGCGGTGGTTGTTAATGAACAAGTTGGACGACGCGACACCAAACACAACACAAATCTTCGTCCTCACCACTACCTGCACTTCCTCGTTGTTGTATATTCTACATATTCCTTCTAAGCATGGGTAGGTCAAGCCCGTCCCTCGACGAAACCGCTAATGATAATGACTTTTCGCAGGTATCCCGAAGGTGTGTCCTGCCACCGAGCCGGAAAAGCATACACTCAACTTGTCTTAGTTCTTCCGTTACATTTCGTACGTTTCTCCACAATTGAGCATCGAGGCATCTTGCTTATGTTCCTGAAGAGAGAGATATCCGTTGACATCGCAACTCATCCAAGAGAACAAGATTCCGGAATTTGGTATGTTCGTATGCACCCACTTCTCCAGAACCCACCTTTGACACTCTCTGCAGACAATCTATACCTAGATTTCAATGGAATTATCCATAATTGTCCGCTCCTCGCCTAATTCTACCCTCTCTTAAATGTCTGACCCAAGCATTAGGCTCTCATCCCAACGACGAGGATGCTCATTTCCGGCTTTCAGAGGAACAGATATTTACGTCTATCTTCGCTTATGTCGACCACTTATTCGGGAAGATAAAGCCCAAGAAACTCTTTTTCATGGCAGTGGATGGTGTCGCTCCTCGCGCGAAGATGAATCAACAACGGAGTCGACGTTTCAGGACGGCGAAGGAGGCCAGAGAGGTCCGGGAGAAAGCAGAGGCCAAGGGTGAGAAGCTGCCGGAAGAGAAGGCTTTCGACAGCAATTGTATCACACCAGGTATGTCCGCGGTCGAATTGTCTCACATCTCACATCCTAAATGCTACTAGGAACGCCATTCATGGTCCGGCTCTCCGAACAATTGCGTTACTTCATCAACAAGAAGATTACGGAGGACTCCAACTGGCGCGACATCCAAGTCGTTCTTTCTGGCCACGAAGTGCCAGGAGAAGGCGAACACAAAATCATGGAATACATTCGTTTGTCACGCGCACAACCCGACTACAACCCTAATGTGCGACACTGTCTTTACGGGCTCGACGCTGATTTGATCATGCTGGGTCTACTGAGTCATGATCCCCATTTCTGCTTGTTGCGAGAGGAAGTCAAGTTTGGCCCTTCTTCAAGGAAGAAAGGCAACACAAGGCAAGTCGTTACCGGTTGTAGTCATCGAAAAGTGTCTGACTGTTCAACAGTCTTGAATCAATCAACTTTTATCTGCTACACCTCTGCCTCCTGCGGGAGTATTTGGACCTGGAGTTCCACGAGATTGAGCCTGTACTGCCTTTCGAGTACAATCTCGAAAGAGTTATCGACGATTTTATTCTCCTGGCAGTTTTCGTTGGCAACGATTTCTTGCCAAATCTGCCAGATCTTCACATTCATGAGAACGGGTTGGAGAGGCTTTTTGATGTGTACAAGAAGGTACTTCCTGGGATGGGTACGATGACTTACCTGATGACGATGACCGCACAATGCTAATGTCAATATAGGTGGTTACATAAACGAGAGTGGAACGATTAACACACGGCGACTTCAGTTGGTGCTCAACGAGATGGCGCAATGGGAGCAAGATGTTTTCGAAAAGGAGTATGCAGACATGAACTGGTACAAGGGCAAGCAGGCGAAGCACGTCAAGGAATTGGAGAATGGCAGGAAGAGGGCAGCATTAAGTTCGTCTTTAAAGCTCTTTCATTTTCTCTCTGACTAATCTGCGATGTAGCCCTGACGAAGGGCCAGCGAGAGATTTTCGACCAGGTCAAGGCGTTTGTGATGGAGAATCGAAGCGCTCCTTCGGCATCACACTACCGCGCGGCGCGGCTATCGCTACTCAACCTTTTCCCAGCCCGAGACAGAGCCTTTATCACACGATTATCAGAAGACCTGCACCTCAGCGTCAGCTGGGATGAGTACGATGAACAGGACAACAACTTGGTTACGTGGAGATTTCCACGAGTGTTGGACGACAGTGACGAGAAAGGTACGGAAGAGGGAGGCGATGATGGCGAGTGGGAAGATGAAGACGATGCTGAAAGTCGGGCTGCTGTCGACCGGGTGTTGAAGAAGTACGAAAAGGCGCCAGTTGCTGACCCTGATGCTGAGGGTACTTTCGACGAGAGATACGAGCGGTCTCTCAAGGAGAAGATGGACGAGTGGAAGAGGGGCTATTATACGGTTCGCCCATTTCATTCTTTTCACAAGCTCGGGATGACCTTTTCCCTCGTTCTACAGGGCAAATTGGAGATTTCTTACGACGACCCGAAGGGCATGGGCGATTTAGTTTATAGATACGTGGAGGGTCTGCAGTGGGTGATGCACTACTACTATAGCGGGGTGGCCTCATGGGGGTGGTTCTACAACTACCATTATGCACCCCGCATTTCTGGTATGCAAGCTTATCTCATTCTCGATTCACTAGCAGAGCTGACCTATTTCATCCAGATCTGAAAGGCGTCGATCAATTGTCGTTCGACTTCAAGCTCGGGACTCCTTTCAAACCTTTCGAGCAACTCATGGGCGTACTGCCTGTAGCGAGTATGGATCATATTCCGCTGGCGTACAGAGTATGTTGTGCCTTTGCTTGACATCATGATATTGACCCAATTGCATCGACAGGATCTAATGTATGATCCAAATTCGCCCATTCTCGACTTCTACCCTTTGGAATTCGAACAAGATCTGAACGGAAAGAAGGCTGATTGGGAAGCAATCGTTAAAATTCCTTTCATTGATGAGAAGAGGTTGCTAAAGGCGATGGCCTGTTCGTATCTGGTCATTCTCTCTAAGCCATGTTGCTGATTTTCTTAACAGCTCGCGAGCACCGATTAACTCCCGAAGAAAAATCGCGAAACACCTGGGGACCAAGCACCATATTCCGTTACAATCCGGGCGAATCTACTGTCTATCCATCATCACTACCGGGCTTCTTCCCTCCCCTATATCGGTGTCAATGTGTCATGGAATCCTTCAACCTACCAACGTTGGACGGCCTCCATCTTGTCCCTGGCCTATGCGACGGCGTTGCTCTAGGAATCGAGGCACTCGCTGGCTTCCCATCGATCAAGACCCTTCCACATACGGCTATGCTGGGCCACCATGGTGTCAATGTCCACGGATCGGAGAGCCGGAACAAGTCAATGGTCATCCACATCGAAAACCCACATGAGGGGCAAAAGATGGAGGAGATCGCGAAGAAGATGATTGGAGAAAAGGCCTTTATCGGTTGGCCGTTCTTGCAAGAAGGGCAGGTCGTGGCGGTCTCTGACGCCTTGTTCAAGTACGAAAAGATGGTCGTTACGCCCAATTCGCCGCCGAAAGTGGTTTCGACCCCACATGCACCGCAGGGGTTGGGTCATTGGAAGATGAAGGCGGAGAGGATCGAAACGTATTACTCGAAGAGGTGCGGTGTCATTTCTGGTAACATCGAGGTTTTGCTCCACGTTCGCCCGCTCAAAGGTCGACTTCTCGTTCTCCTTGTGTATTGTTCCGCCGCTGATCCCCACATCACCAGGCCTCAAACGTCTAGAGACAGGAGCATTTGTAAAGGACTACGAGGGCCCAGACAAAGAGACTGAGCAGGCTGTGCAGATGTGCATCTCGGAGGTTGCCTCAGAAGATCCACGTTACGTGGAACGAGAAGCCCCTCCTCTCGCTGAAGAATTTCCCGAGGGCAGCAAGGTCTTCTTCCTCGGCGAGCACGCGTACGGAGTTGCTGCGCAGGTCTCTTCAACAACGGAATCGACTTTGTCAGTCATTCTTGCCGTAAGTTAGATCTGTGGGGTTTCCGAACCATTGTCGCTGATTATCGAACCGCAGTTTTTCCCCTCGGAGAAGGCAGAGAACGAGAAATTCAAAGCGATTGTGGAGAACCGAAAGGCGGGGCGTTACCATCCTTCTTTCAAGGCAGCAGAACTAGTCGGTATTTCGGGTCGAGCTCTCGGCAAGATCACCTCCAGCTTTATGGTCATCACCTCTGACAACCAGAAGTCCAATCTCGGCCTTTGCCTGAAGTACGAAGCGAAGGCATTGAAGGTTATCGACTACTCAAGGAAGGAGGGTCGTACCTGGGATTACAGCGAAAAGGCTCTCGCCCTGATCAGAGAATACAAGGTTCGGGCTCCTGCTCTGAAGTAACAAATACTCGATCATTCATTCCCTCTTCTTTAGGAGACCTTTCCTGAGGTCTTCCGGATATTGGATGGGAATGGCGATGGTGATTGTTTTTTCCATGGTTTTTTGTTCTTTTTTAATTGCCATTTACCGCAGCAATGGCCAAGGCTGCTCACATATTCCCGAGTTCTGATCCAGATGGGAAAGTCAGGGAAATCAAGCAATGGTTGAAGACCAAAGGTGTTCGTGATTTCGAACCCGTATCGCTCTTCTGTGACCAGCTCAACAAGGTGGGGACTCTTTGACTGCCTAGTTGTGTCAGCTTATTTTTTTCTAAAAAAGGAATCCGTGAGCGAGATCGAAGCCTTGGCTGATGCGTTTACCAAAGACAAGCCTCAAATTAGGAAGGCCATGGTGAAAGGCATTCCCCGGCAAGCCGTCCTCAAGCCCGCACATGCTGTTTATCGTCTTCAAAACCAACATTTCTCCCTTGGCGATCGTGTAACTATGGTCCGCGATTCTGGTGGCGTGCCCTTGTCTGTCAAAGGTGTAGTCATTGGGCTCAACTCGAAGTCCATGGATGTTGTCTGGGATGTTCCGTTCATGTCGGGAGGAACTCTCGGCGACAGGTTCGTGCTTTTTCTGTACACTCAGATTACCTCTATGTCTGATGTCCACGCATAGATGTTCGCAGTATCGTGGCTCGACGGTCGAATTCAACACTTGCCTTAACCTCACAAATCCTCAGTTTGTCACCTCTACCAATCCCAAGGCACCGCCTCCCGTCCGCAATAACGTACCTTTCAATCCTCGATTCGGTCCTCATCCGATCATTCCTCCTGCACCAGCGCAACAACCAGCCGCTGGTTTCCGTTCAGCACCAAAAGCACAGTGAGTATAGGGCCCTCACGTCTACTCAACGAAGAAGTGTTGACTCGTCGTCTCTGCTAGCCAACCTGCGCAAGTGCATATCATGGCCAATCCTAATCGTGGTCGAGGTGGATTCGTGAATGGCCGCGGAGGTCCTCCAGTCACAGCAGCCCAAGTTGTCTCAGTCGGGACAGAGCCAGTTCACCAAGCAACGGTTGCGAGTCCTCAAGTAAATGGTGGTCATAATCACGTCTATCCACAAGCTGGACGGGGCTTCCCTCGAGGCGGACGAGGTGGGTCCGTCCCAGGGATTCGGGGTGGCGGTCGCGGGTTTATTGCCAACGACCGAGGGCGGGGTGTTCCAGGACGCGGGTTTCGAGGACGCGGAAGAGGGTCGTTTGCTGCCCCTCTGCCTTCATAAGCGCGTCGTAAGCCAATCATTCCCTACCCCTTGCATTAACCTCAAGCGCCTTTATTGCGATGAGTGACGGGTTGTCTTGATCATCGTTTGTAAATAGGCAGCCCTGTTCCAGCGGGTCATCTCTCTTCAATTCAATCCTTACTCTTCTGCTTCCTGACCTTTCAAGTTTTCTATCGATGCGGGCCTAATTGTGAAGGATCATTGTGCCCGAATGATTTTGCTGGGAGGAATGCATCGGACGTCGGGGCTTTATCCATTCCAACGCAACATCCTCCATTATATGCCAGCACTATCAAAGTGCGATGGATAAAGAAAGAAATATATGATGACAAAAGATTCCATGGGTCCCTTCTGCGGCAGCCCGCGCAAGTTTCGAAGCCCTGCAAAGCCGCAAATACCTTGCTTATAATCTCCATGTGCGGTATATTTCTTCAACCGCAATTTAACCACTTGACAGTTCTGACAGGAAGCTGAAAGGTGTTCAAAATCCTCTTGATATCAGCGAGGTTACCCGTTAACTTCCTTGTCCGTTTCCCTGCCCATGTATATCTACAACGAAAAGATGCACCAGAACCCGTCGTTGTTCCTGCGTGGCCAGTCGCCCCCTCCACCCTGTTCTCCTTTTTTTGCACCCCATTTCCGCACCTTAGGGAAGGATGGCAAGTCCAGGTGCTCCTGCTGTTGATGCGGCACCCAGCGTGGTTCTGCCACTGTCTGGTGACCCGCCTCAAGCCGCGGATCGCAACCCACCACTGCAGCTCTCGTCGTCGGAAGGAGATGCATTCAGGTCAAGGGAGGGGAGTCCGCGACATATTTTGCTCGACGCCGAACCCGGAGCACCTGGAGGCTCGCCACCCAGAGATTTCTTTATGTCCCCCACCAGCGAAAGGTTTGGCAACGCTGATTTGCACCGTAATGGCAGTACCTGGGACGGTGAACAACCTCTGCCTCCTCTGCCTCCAGTTCGTCTCATGGAGCCTTCAATCAGGCGGCATAGAACCGTGGACACGCGTGCATCTGTCGGACGTCGATCTAACCTTGATTACATTATATAGTCCCAATGATGGAGAGGAAGGAGGAGAAGGTGAGAGTCAGAAGGAGTATACTACCTTCTCACAATACTGATAAGAAAATTCCCAGCAGAATGGCATCGGCTTCACGGTCGGAGAACGCCTGCAGCCCACCATAGACGTGGCTCTTGCTGAGCGAGACAAGTATGTATCAAAGGCGAAGATGACTGGATACGCCCTCAATGCGGCTATTGGAATGCAAGTTCTCCTGGGTTCGTTAACCACTGGATTATCGGCTGTTGCGACGGCAGGGAGATCAGTACGTCTTGTGCGTTTGTCTACCCAGTAGCATTGCAGTTTACATCCACTTTCAGGCGGCGGTTCAGACGACGATCCTTGGTGCGTCTCCTTCGACCTTTTCGTTCCCAAAATGAGATCGGCGCTTATGTGGTCGCCACCCATCTCGTTTTTCTAGGTGCCCTCTCGACCATTGTCGCATCATACCTTGCCCGCGCACGAGGTTCAAACGAACCTGAACTCTCCATCACGCGAACGAAAGACCTTGAACAATTCATTCGGGAATGTCGGGCATTTCAACTGGATAACGGGCACTGTAAAGGGGATCAATACGACAATAGGGGGAGTCAGAGTGGGCGATTTTCGACGATTCTGGGGCGATTCTGATGACGGTTTTGACACGATTTAAAATTCGGTTTTTGCCAAGAATCGGGCCAAAACCGGCGGAAGACTCTGACCACCCCGATTCTGGAAACTCATGTTTTCATGCAATTTCCATCGTCTTGTCTGTTTCGGTGCTGTCTTCCCTTGGTATAAGCAGCCCTTTGTAGAATCCTGAGTATGGAAGCTGCGATTCATGGATAATTCAACTGCCTGGGGCTCCTATATTTTTTTGGCATTTTTCCCTCGCCGCATTGTCAAGTTTTGTATCAATTGCACCGAAAAAAGGGGCGAGATGATGAAAGAGCGTTCAGATCGTATTCACCATCACAAAAAATGATTTACCAAATGTCCAGACCAACGGGAAGAAGGGGCAAATATATTTTAATGAATTAATCTGCATATTTAAGAAGGGGGAGGCGAGTGCACAGAACCAGAATCGCCGATTCTCGACTGCAAAAGCGGCTCCAGAGGCGCTTTGCGATTCGGGACGATTCACGGTTTTCACACGGTTCTGGGGCAAACGATTCTGGTCGAAATCGTTTTCCAGAACCGTCCCAAAATCGGGCACTCTGACTCCCCCTAATGAGTTGACAACATTCCGCAGGCGATTTGAGGAACTGTTGGGCAATGCCAATGGGTACGGCTCTATTTTTTCCTGGCATTCGTTCTCTTCGGTGAATATATTTAATCCAGGGAACGGAAGCTAGCCCCTCCAGTCTGACCGTCATTCCTTGGGGCATCTGTATCTACGGCAAGCTTTTTGTTATATCTCTTTCCATGTTCTATACCAGCATATTTATCCACTATGTTGTGCGTTTATAATCAGGATCCCCTTAGTTCTTCGAGCTTTGCTGTGTCCCACAAATATATTCCCAATGGATACGTTTGATGATGGAGTTGATTTACTCCTCATAGATTAGCATCTCAGAAGCGCCAGACCGTTTGGGAAAATGTTTGGAGCATGTACCAGATATTCGTGGCCGCAACGGTCAAAATTGCGAAGGTATTGATCGCCTGAATGACACACCGTAGCTCTTTAGAAGGGATACAGATGCGGCTAGGCCCTATGCCAGTCGACGGCGAGTTTGACGGTCATTCTACTTACTTCCGTAGCCAATGATGGTCGCTTTAAGAGATGTTTTTCTCCGCGTTCCGGTGGCGAGCGGAAGATAGATACCCTAAATCTTCTTGAAGGGCCTGTTAAGTCCGCTGTTGTTCTAAAATTTGTACTTCGAGTATCACTTGCAGAGGTAGGTCCGTTGATGGTGGAAAGTCTCTGTCCAAGACAATCCTTTGAAGGAAGAAAACCGAATGAAAGTTTGTTGCATCAACGTACTGTGACTACCGTAAACACGAACACACAACTATCTGGCAGCACCGCCACTGATTAGGTGTTCTTTCAACATCTTAAACTTCGCAGCGCAAGCGTTACGGTTCGCCGAAGACTGGACACCGGAACTAAACGGCTAACGCGACTATGACAACAGGTCTCTCGAATGTCGAGCCTGATCTCCCCTTCTATCCGCTCTCCATCAGTGCCCTATTCGAAGACGTACTCTGCCACATCTTCGAGAGGATCGCGACAATGAACGACGATGGTCGACCCCGAAGTTATACGGATCCAGATTACTGGTATATCATGCACACAAGAGCCCTCAACAATCTTCGTCGAGCCTCTCAAGTCTGCCGTTCGTGGCGCCAAGTTATACTGAACTCGAGCGTCTTCTGGGGGCGCGTGGTGGACATAGACCTCCTGCAACAACCAACCGGCCACTGGAAGGAAGAAGTAATCAGGAGGTCTGGACAGGCTCCGCTTCACATCAAGGGGGAGTTGAATGCCTATCGATACGGAGGCTTGTTCGTGTCTCTATTGGAGGACAATTGGGATCGGCTCGTGTCACTGGACGTCTTCATAAGAGCAAGCAATTATATCTCACAGAGACTGATGTCGGATTTCTTACTGCGGCCCGCAAAACGACGGGAGATTTTCCGATTGGATACTGACGGAGGATACACACTGTCACCATCGCTCAAATTGTTCGGCAACAACACTCCTCACCTCCGAGTCCTATCCTTCTATCAACTATCTTTTGGCCTACAAAATATCTCGCTATCAAAAATATAGGAGCTCAGGATTTCGCAGGATAACCCCCAGATCCGCACACTCTCCATGACGGATCTCTTTAATGCGTTGGCACATATGCCCCTTCTCACGTCGCTGACTCTTGCCCGCGCTTTTGCTCCCCTTGCCCATCTTGATGTTGAATTTTTATGGCATATCTCCCTTCCACTGTTACAAAAAATTACTATCTTGGATTGTGAGGACATTTGCATACATACCCTCCACCATCTTTTCCCTGCGTCTGGGTGCTCCCTTTACTTTCACGCGCTGGATTTTCAAAGAGCACTAACCATTACAGATGCCAATCTTATACTTCCGGTCCTCAATCGCTACTTTTTGCTCTACCTTGAGCAACATACTCCAAAACATATAGCGCTGCGGCTGTCTTCAAACGGGATTCAAGTCGCTGTACTGCCTATGTCCCACCCAAGTTCAACGCGAGCGTTCTTTTTTACACTCTATCCCTCAACAAGAGGATTTGCACTCACCCTTCCCGATCTTTCCCGCTTCCTTTCATTTCCCACTGTATCAAGCCTGAGGTCGATGAAGATGGCTTTTCAAGAGACCCCTTTCAGTGGAGATATCGGCCAATGGGATCCTCCACTTCTCAATTTCTTCCTATCACTTTAAATACCGCTTGTTCTCGTATCAGTCGCTCACCATGGCAGATGTCATAAAGGGTTGATTTAGAATGAGCTTTCCCAACTCGAACGAATAGAGACGTCATCATCCAACCTCCGTCGAATTCTGAACAAACTCGTTGGCCATCCACATACAATCTTTCCATCCCTTCAATATCTCGTAATCCAATTAATGGAACTCTACTCTCCTCTTCCAATCATCCAGATACCATTCACGACATTCCTCAGCTGGAGAATTCAACAAGGCCGACCAATCAAGACTCTTGACCTTACTCCTTGTGGCCGTAAGCTCCCTGACATGAGGTTTCTTGATCAATTCGTTGGATTAGAGGTGGTTTGGAGGAATGAGGAGAACCAAGGAATTCACGAGTCGTACGTTTGTGGAAGTGGTGATCCCGACCTTCTCAAGTACTTTGACCTAGCGTACTTGGATTCGGCCATCGAGGAACTGACGACTCCGTGCATAGACGGGCTTGCTGAAATCTAATCTTAGCGGTACCTTTCGTCACCTTCCACGTTTGAAGCGATGCTACGTTTTCAAACTTGGCTCCCACCACCATCATGCTCCTCAAGCTGCGCATGGTTCAGATTTGAATTTAAGCCAGTCGTGCTCTCCTCGTCTCCACACGTTGCACAGGCCGCGATTTCTGTCTCGGTCCAATCCGTCCAATCCGGGTGCAGGCTGTATGGCGAGTGCGCCGATCCTTCAGTTGCGTGAAGACATTCTGTGGTCCATATTTCTGTTCCTCGCCGACATGGAACAGGACCACGAAATACGCGACGCTGATCTTTATTCCTCTTCCCAGATAACCTACGATCGTGCCCTCCCCACCCTCCAACGAGTGTCACAGGTGTGCTCTCTTTGGCGGGGGGTTTTGTTGTCGTCATCGTCCTTATGGGCACGAGTGGTGGATTTGGACCTGCTTCAGCAGCGAACAGATCATTGGAGAGAAGAGGTAACGAGGAGGACAGGGGAAGCGCCTCTGGTCATCAAAGGACGAAGAATCACCGACCCCGGAGCCTCTCTCATCAACTGCGTTGTGTTCTTCTCCTCTTTTCTGCGATCGAATTGGAAGAGAATTCGGGTGTTCGACGTCGAGGCGCCGATTGGAGAGATGTTTATGCTCCCCGGATCGCTCTTCTGGGGTGTTTTGCAGCAACCAGCGAATCAGTTAGAATACTTTCGGCTGGACACAGGGCTCTGTTTTCCACTTACACCTCCGATGAAACCGTTTGGAGGAGAGACCCTTTACCTTCGTTTCGCGTCCTTCACCCTGCTCATTTTCGAGTTCCATGAACTGCCGTGGCTATCCCGGCTTCGAGAACTGAGGCTGGTCCAGTGGAGGGGCATGGAGTTGACGTGACGATCCCGAAGATGGTGGCCACCGGGAGGTCCTGGAGTACTTGGAGCTGCGTTGGCAGGACCGGCTGCTCGACGATGAGAGGGAGTGGGATATGTCCGAGTTGGAAAGGCAGGACGATGATGTGGACGGATACCACCCTGTTCCTGGGCGGTGACAGGTATGTTTTTCGTAGCGCCAGAATTAGATACTAATTTGCACATGACAGCAAATGCAAAATATGTAAAGTAGTCCTTTTCAATCCAATCAATTTCTGCTTGCGAGACACGTATGCACGCCCACGGCTTGCAATGATTTTTACGGACAACGAGATGCTCGCCTTTCTACTAGCGTAACCTGCCTGATATGCGGCTTCTCGATTAATTTGTTGACTTGGAGGTGGTTTGGCGGAGCGAGGAGAACCAAGGAACTCATGAGTTGTACACGCGTGGAAGTGGGGATCCTGACCTTCTGGGCTCAGGTGGTGGGTGTGCTTAGATTTAACCACGCCGTGCACTAAGTTCGCTGACATCTAATCTTATCTGACTATCGGTACCTTTCGTCATCTTCCCCGTTTGGTTTGACAAGATGCTACGTTTTCGAACTTAGCTCCCACCACCACGAAAGATGCGTTTGACGGACCGTGCTCCTCGAGCTGCGGATGGTCCAGATTTGAATTCAAGCCCAGCACCCCCTCCTCGTCTCCACACGTCGCACAGGCCGCGATTTCTGTCTCCGGGGTCCAATCCGGGTGCAAGTTACATGGCGAGTGCGCCTATCCTTCAGTTGCGTGAAGGCATTCTATGGTTTATGTTCTTGCTCCTCGCCGACATGGAGCAAGACAACGAAATACACGGCACCGTCCTTTATTCCTTTTCCCGGATAACCCATGATCATGCCCTGACCACCCTCCGACGAGTGTCACAGGTCTGCTCTCTTTGGCGGAGGGCTCTCCTCTCGTCCTCGTCTCTATGGGCGCGAGTGGTGAATTTGGACCTCCTTCAGCAGCGAACCGACCATTGGAGAGCAGAGGTGGCGAGGAGGACTGGGGCAGCACCCCTCGTTATCAGGGGAACCGCGATTACCGACCCCGGACTTTCGCTCATTAACTGCGTTGTGTTCTTCTCCTCTTTTCTGCGATCGAATTGGAAGAGAGTTCGGGTGTTTGATATCGAAGGGGCAGTTGGAGAGACGTTTATGCTACCCCAAATGGAATTCTGGTCGGTGTTGCACCAACCTGCGAAGCAGCTGGAGCACTTTCGGTTGGACACCGGCGTCCGTTATACCCTTCCACCCCCATGGAGACCCTTGTTTGGAGGACATGCCCCTTCCCTTCGTTTCTTATCCTGTTCCCGACTCACTTTCGAGATACAAGAGGTGCCGTGGTTATCCCAGCTGCGAGAATTATGTTTAGTGCATTGGGAGGGGTATGCTGTGGACTTGGCGATCCCGAAGATGCTGCAAGTCCTCAAAGGGATGCACTACCTCACCTCGTTAACCCTGCAGAAGGCATTTACCCGGACCCAACAGGTGCACAACATTTCTCAAGTTGTTTCCCTTCCGCAACTTCACCACCTCGTCATAGAGGACACCCTCGCTACATGCGCAGGGTTCCTAGAGTCCATACATCCTTCTCCACGGTGCTGCTTGCACCTCCGCTCATACGAATCGCTACGGCCGTTGGAGCCGGCAGACCCCAATTTGCAGTCAATTTCACGTTATATTTCCAACTATTTCAGCCAGGTTAGCCCCTCGGGCGTGGAAGTCCGATTACAGAACAGTCAATGCAGCATCCTTGAATCCCGTATCCTCCCCATTCACACCTGTACGAGGAACTTCGCGTTCGACATCACGCCAGAGTACCCAGATATATTCGTGCCCCCTTCCCCTCGTCTCCCTAACCTGCTACCCGGTTTCCTCAACATCCTGTCTCCGCACCCCTTCTCGCGCATTACGACCCTCGACATCGAGTGTGCGCCGTTCACACACACCCTGAGCGGTGCTAACCCCGAGTTCCTCCAATTCCTGCTCTCCTTCGAAGCTCTCGAGACGCTATCGACGATCTTCTCGACGCTCAACCTCGTATTGAACGGTCTCCTGGCGCAGGACGTCGATCTCTTCCCTTTGCTTCGAAGCTTGAGGATACGGGAGATCATCACGGCGGACCTTTCAGGGCCCTACGTCGAGAATGCGTTCACGCAGTTTCTTGGCTCAAGGGCTGAGAGCGGGAGGCCCGTCGAGGTGCTCGATCTTAGACCGTGCGGGAGGAAGGTGAAGCCCATGGGGTTCTTGGAGGCGTTCGCTGGGCTGGAGGTGAGGTGGAGGAATCTGGAAGACCAGGACGAGGAATATACATGTGGGGCTGGGGAGTCGGAGGTCCTGGACCACTTGGATTTGAGGTGGATGGAGCGACTGCAGGATGACGCAAGGGAGTGGGATTTGCTCGAGGGGCTGGAGGAGGAAGGCGACACAGACGAATAGCACCCAGGGGCCAGTTCCTGGGCGATGACAAGGTATGTCCTTCGTAGGCCTAGAACTGGATACTAATCGCGCTTGACAGTCAACTGTAAATCTGTAATCCTTTCCCAATGCTGAATGAGAATCTAATCTTGCAAGCCAATCAATTTCCGGCGGCGCGACGCGTACGCTCACGGCAGTGATTTATACAGTGAGGGGTTTGCGGCTCTGTAATACAACTGTAATACACATACATACACGTATAAATGTGATTTTAAGCTGCGCAGGCACACAATGTCGAATGTGGGGATGTGTGGTTCCTTTGAAATGACGCAAGTGTGTGCTTCGTTCGTGTTCGTGTCCGTGGGCCTGACAATCCCACCGGGCGTGCACTGAAGTACTGACGGTGGAACGCTGACTTGGCGATCGGTGATAATGGAAGAGCGTGTCTGTCGGGGTGAGGCTGGAGGGTCGGTGCGGACAAAATCGAAATTTGCGATTGGCGGACTCAGATTCGTAAGTAGTCGTAAAGACGCGCTTCTTTCAACTTGGATTAACATCCTTTAACATAAAGAAGAAGGAAGGAGGTGATGAATAAGCCTAGCCTACTGGCTTATCACCTTCGAGAAGGACTCGTGGTACCGTTGATGACTGAGCTAGGGAAAGCACCAAGCCCAAGGAGACACGTAAAGGAAGGCTCCTGCATTGTGTTATTCAGGAAAATTTAGACGCCTTGTTCACGACTCAGACGCGAGATGAAGAGACGGGAATCAAAAAATGGAGCGATGAGAAGACGGAGGGGCATCAGAATGTTGTGGGTCCGAATGGAAGACGAATGAAAGATAGGGGAACATTCTGCTCAAGAATTTGAAAGAACTCGGATGCTTGATAGGTATCGCTTGAAGGAGATTCCGACGATTGTAGTCCTTCAGACGTCGCAACGCCTTGTGTCGAGGTCCGAGGTTTAAATCTGAGGGTCTGAAGACTGCCGGTGCACAGTGATAAATTATAATCGATCCATCTAGAACTTCGAGGAGACTGAGAGTCGAGAGGCACCGCAGCGATGAAAAATTCAATGGAGAGAAGACAAAAGGGTTGATGAGTTGTGAGATCAAAGATGCGAGGTTGGCGTACCGAGCAGTGCCTTCACAACCTCAAGACCCTATGTCGTCCTCGACGACCTTGAAGCTTCGACGCGTCGATTGAATAATGCAACATGTACGTGACGACAGCGGGTGCAATGATTACCGATCCCACGTTGACCACGTGGCGCTGATCAGAAATTCAAATTTGGTTAGTACCGAATTCAATTGAACGGCGCAGCGAGACAAGGCGTTTCAGAGAAGCGTTCGATTGGAGGAGATCGGGATGAGCGCGCAGTATCTGTGGGCCTCGCCATCGTTGGTGAAAGACACGGAAAAATGAGCGCAGTCACGAATTCCAACAGCAGAGGGTGGAGATTATAGCGGAAAGCTTTCCGGTCCCGAATCAGACGGGAAACCGGCATCGAATCAAGAGGCGTGGAGGATTCGATCCGGAATGATTAGCAGGTTGAAATTCACGGCCAGAACTTCGAGATGAGTCAGTGGAAGCAGGTGCAACAACCGCTCTGACGTTGTCCCTCTCCGACCTTTAAATTTCCTTGAGACTTGCTGACAAGCAACGCCGATGAAAGATATTGAAGAGTCATCTGGAACAGTCAAAGTCGAGGTGTAAATTGGGCCGCAGTTTGCAAAGTAGGGAGGACAGTGGTCGAATGATGGGCACGAATGCGCAGTCTTCCTCAGCTTGACCAGATGTTGCACATGTTGGAGGATTATTCAGCAATCAAAAATCCAGAAAGGAGGTTAACGACCCTTCACGACACGCTTCCGGGTCTTATCAAACGATAAAAAAGAGAACGATTGGAGATGCAAGGCGCTGCTTGACAGTCTGAGACATCCATCGAGGCGGTGTCAATTGAGGGAGTGCCTGAGGGATTGACTGCGTTTGTGAAGGATCCAAAGGCGCAGCGCATAAAAAGAGGAACGGTATAAAACAAGGGGGTGATGTTTATATCCAGGCCAATGATCATCGAGAGCCAGTTGCCGCCGAAGGGTACGCGTCAGAAGATTGCCGCCGGTGTTTATATTCTAACCCCGAACCCAAATGCAGATATCTAGGATTCTAGCCAAGCTTGCCCCCGACCACGTCCGCCCTTCCCCCTCCAGACATGTCGTCCAACGAAGAGGACTACAACGACGGCGAGAATAGCCAACAGGGATTTCATGGCTCAAAAAAGCGCCGCATACAGCGCGCCTGCGACATCTGCAGGAGGAAGAAAAGTAGGCGTCTTCCGCACCGTCTCTCCACTCCTAGACTCACCCGATGCTCTGACTCCTCCAGTTCGATGTTCGTGATTTTGAGGTATTAGACGGGGTCTATACTAACGTATTCACTTAGGCGATGGCGTGCAAATGCCGGGTAATCGATGCTCAAATTGCATAGCCTATAGTTTTGAGTGCACATATGTCGAAGCTGCGAAGGTGAGTCGTACCGCTTTCTCGCGCTCTCTTTGTCCTCATCGTTGTTCCAGAAACGTGGCCCTCCTAAAGGGTAAGCTCCTACAACCCACCAGCGACGTACAGCGTGCTTAGAGGTTTGAAAGCTATGTGGAGAGTCTTGAGACACGAGTGGAGAAGTTGGAGAAACTCTTACGCCGGGTGAGTTTTTCTTTTCCTTCTTCGATCGTTTGACACTCAGGCAATTGCAGCTATGTCCGGACGACAAGGTGTATAATGAATTGAACAAAACTTTGGAAAAAGATAATTGGGCACTCGATCCACCTCCCGCCAATCCCAGCGCGCTGGTCCAAAATCCTACAGGCCAACTCAAACCCTCTCCTCTCGAAAGCGTGACCTGCGCCATTCGTGCAGCAGGCAACAAAACCGCACCCACACCTCCCCAACCTGAAGACGATGATGACGACAGTACCCTCATCCTCGCCGATAACCTCAAACGATTGACGGTCGATCCACATGAGTATCGATTCTTCGGAAAGTCCAGTGGTGCCATGCTCATCCACACAGCCCTGGAGTTGAAGAACGAATATTCGGGCGTGGAGAGTGATTCCAAGATGCCAGTGCTGGGAAGGCAGCGGGCCGAGTTTTGGACTCTTCGTCCGGTGCGTTCTCTTCGCTGATTGATATGGAATGTTGGCTGGCACAGAACTCCTTGGCTGACTCACCCCATCTCTTGTAGTGGGAAAGCAGGATCAATGCAAAGAAACCTGCCCCCGTGTACCAGTTCCCGGAACCTGACCTTGCCGAGCACCTCATCGATCTGTACTTCGAGTACGTGAACCTCTACCTGCCCCTCCTCCACCGCCCGACGTTCGAGAAGTCGGTGCTGGATGGGCTGCAGCACACAAATCAGAGCTTTGCGTCGGTGTATCTATTGGTATGCGCCGTCGGCTCGAGGTTCTCAGCGGACCCGCGCGTGCGCCTCGACGGCGTCGAGTCGTACCATTCGTGCGGGTGGAAATGGTTCGACCAGGTGCAGGTCGTGAAGAAGTCACTCCTCTCGCCGCCCTCGCTGTACGACCTCCAATTCTATTGTGTACGTGTCCTTTCATTTTTCTTTCCCATCTTCTATCCGTCCGCGTGTTCCATGCGGTGCCCTTTGATTGACGTCATGCTCTTCTCCCATTTATCTCTTTATCCAGCTATCAGTCCAGTTTTTGCAGGGTTCATCCGCGCCGCAGTCGTGCTGGACGATGGTGGGCATTGGTATTCGGCTAGCGCAGGATGTTGGAGCCCATAGGCGGAAGATCCACACGCGGCCAGTGACGGCCGAAGACGAGCTATGGAAGCGTGCCTTCTGGTATGTTCTTCCTTCCCTTCTGTTGGCCGTCGGCGAAAGGGCTGAATGATGTTTCTAGGGTGCTCGTCTGCATGGACAGATCAGTCAGCGCTTCCTTGGGTCGACCATGTGCCATCCAAGATGAAGAGTTAGTTATTGTGTTATTCTTCGGGGTTTGATGGAGTTTGACATGCTCCTAGCTTCGACGTCGACCTACCCATCGATTGTGATGATGAGTATTGGGATGACAGCGACCCTGAGAAACAGTTCAAGCAGCCGTCGAACAAAGCTTCCTTGGTCTCTGCATTTATCTTGCAAATCAAGTTGAACGAGGTCCTGGCGTTCTCTTTACGCACGATTGTGAGATCTGTCCCCTCGGTGTCACCAGTAGCAGACTAACGAATGTATGATTTTCTCGTAGTATTCGATCAACAAGTCGAAGATCCTCCTTGGATTCGTAGGGCAGCAATGGGAGCAGCACATCGTTGCCGAGCTTGACTCTTCGCTCAACAAATGGGTTGACTCCGTCCCAGACCACCGTACGTCCCTTTCCTTATCCATTCAACCGCGCATATATTCACACCTTCTCCCCTTTTCCCCCTCCAGTACGTTGGGACCCCAACCGCGAAGATGTGAAGTTCTTCAACCAATCGGTGTCCCTATATGCGGCCTACTACCACATCCAGATCCTTATTCACCGGCCGTTCATCCCGTCCCCTAGCAGGCCGTCCCCGTTATCGTTCCCCTCGCTCGCAATTTGCACGAATGCGGCCAGGTCGTGCAGTCATGTTGTTGATGTGCAGCGGAAGAGAAATAAGATGCCGCCGCCACAGATTCAGGTTAGTGCATTTTTTCTTCGGTGGTTTGTAACAATTCCTGATTCTTTTGGTATAGATGGCGACCTTCACGTCGGGCATCGTGCTCTTGTTGAGTATCTGGGGTGGAAGACGATCTGGCCTGTCGACAGACCCCAACAGGGAGATGGCCGACGTACACAAGTGTATGCAGGTCCTTAGGACGTCTGAGGAGCGATGGCACTCCGCTGGAAGACTCTGGTAAGTCTTCGACGCCATGGTTTCTACTCACCGTTCTAATTTGCTACTGTTAATAGGGATATCCTCTATGAGCTCGCCTCCGTTGGTGATCTTCCACTTCCCCAACCTAGTCCTCCCACAACGAATAAGAGAGAGCGGGATTCAGATACCCCTGTCTCAGCCGCTTCCTCAACACCCAGCATCACCGCGCCTTCACCAGCCAGCAACGCACCAAGGAACATCGCAGGTTCGAAGCGATTGAACAAGGACGCCTCGTTGGCTGGACGAACAGCGCAGCCGGCGCAGGGAGCAAGGCCTGGCCCAACACCTCCCCAACAATCAGGATCAGTGCAGCAACCACGTCCGCAGCAGTCGATCCCGATCCTCTCGACGTCTCTGGCTCCGACGTCGACGCCGAGCTCCCATCAGGTTGCCGTGCAGCAGGTCCGTGCAGAGTCGTCGTCGTCGGTGGGTGGCATCGCCCTCCCGCAGGCGCCTGCGGCGGAGCTGTTCACATTGCCGGTGTATAGCGACGAGCTTGGACGATTGCCCCTCCATGGCCAAGTCAGGTTCTCGGCACAGCCACTTCCCCAGCAACACCCAAACCAAGGAAACTTCTGGTTTGGGGATCCGACGGGAAGCGGCTCAGTCGACATGGGCGGTGAGCCGATGTCGAGCACAAGCACGTCGAGCAGCTCGTCGTTACACCGCCAGCCGTCTCTTGGACACAACTCGCGACCTAGCACATCTCACCGCCAGCAGCAACAGCAGCAGGCGAGTATGTTCGCCCCAATGTCCGAGATGAGCTCCATGGCGCAGGGGTTCAACATGGACCCGGCGTCAATGGGGATGATGTTCGACTCGATGACACCTTCACTCAGTACGTTCGGCCCACACGCATCGTTCGATATGTCTGGGGTGGAGGGCACGGGTGGTCTCGAGTCAATGACGGGAATGGACCCCGGCTTCAGGTCGTCGGTCTCGATGGATGGAAGCCATTTGCACCAACAGCAGCATCAGCAACTCCCCCATGCGCACTCGCAGCACCCGGCGCAGCACCAACAGATGCAACAAGGCCAGCAGCAGGGTATGAACTATGGCTTCGTGGATAGCGACACGATGGCGATGTGGTCTGCTGCACCGACCGGCTTTGAGTGCGTACTTCTCCCTTTTTTTTACTTTTCGATGGCTCATTCGGGCTGTGTTCTTTTGTAGGCTGGATGAGTGGGGCACATATTTGACGAACGTTAGTGAGCTGACTCATTCACATGGTCAACCTCAACCCTCTGGTTCTGGGATGCACCTCCATCATCCTGGCCCGTAAACCAGCATCTGTTTGATATGTTCGACCTTATTTATTCGCATTCAATCCTCGATGTTGAAGCTCTTGTCCTGAGATAGATTTTCCTTACCGACTGCCGATGTCTCTCCGCTGTCTCTTTCTGCTATTTCGATTTTATCTTTCGTCTCGTGTCTGCTATTCAGTGTGGAATACAAAGTGTATTTTAAATAATCTTTGGGTATATAACTGAATGTTTTGTATGGCACCCTCTACCTCCCAGATAAGATGTAATCTTCTGCGAAGCCGAGGCAAGGCCCATAACGTTCTCCAATCCGTCACCTTTCTTGGTTCTAACCCGTCGCTGTTTCGCCCTTTTCTACCACATCTGCTGAGCTATTGTAATCCCCTTGGGTTGACGGCAATTAAACTCGACTACAGGTATAATATTTCGTGGAGCACGGGCCTGAATAATTCGTCATTGCCCCTCCTTGAGTGCGGCTCGAGGCTGAGCGCTGAGCGCCGAGCCGCAGCGTTTCAGGAATAAATCCCTCGCCCGCCGCCCTAACTACATATCGTCATGTTAGTGTCGGTCAGTTCATCCCGAACAAGGAAAATTACGACTGAATGGAAAATTGGAAGCTCCAAGTGGACTAGGCTTTGCGTTTTCGTCCTGCTTTCTTACGAGGCATGCACGGCCCAGAGATCATGACAAACATCTCTCTATTTCTGACCTCTCTGCGCCCACTGGTGATTGCCGTGAACAAACCGGTCTGATCGATTCCAACGACACAACCTCGAGCATACTTACGTTCTCCAACGGGCGAATATTGGAAGACCTTGGGTGGCCTTCAAGCCAGTTCCGAATACGGGGTAAACTAAGTATATCCCTTGCTGTCAGCGAGACGATAACGAGGGAGAGTTGGGAGGCTGGAGCCAAAATATTATGACTCCTTAAGTCTATGCTCGGATCCGGGGTTCTTCTCTTCTCAACACGCCCGGAAGGTGGTGAAATCCTGGAAGCACTCAGGTTCTCTGCCCAGTCGAAGGACATCTGTGACGGTAAGACGATGAGGAAGCAACTTGGGGCATACCATTTCTGCTCATAAATTCAGCCTCCTTCTCTCCAAAAGCTTCCTTTGGGTCTGAAGCAGCAAGAAGAACAGCCAGGACATTTGGTACTACTTGAACTAAAAATAGATCGCATCAGTTGCACGAGGTTCATAGCCGTTTTAGGCATTTCCTCAACTTGTCCCGAACATCGACCACATTTTCCCAAAGCCACTGTTCTCTTTCTCCAGATGCCATTAGGATTAAATTTCCAGCCATATAGTTATCGCAAGCTCATAATTTACTCAATTTCTACCCTCTTCGACAGTTAAAGCAGTTCAACCCTCCTTCGATGCTCCTGACTATCAGCACACTAGTCACACTCAACGCGAATTTCGGAATGACGCTCGTTGATTGGAAAGTGAGTAATGGTTCTAATGATGCCTACCAAAGTTTTAAATAGCACAACTCCCGATTAGCGAACGTCAGCTGGTCGCAAATGTCTGGTACAACCGACGTCGACCGCTGAAACACCACTTCCTCGACCAGAAAACTGGCGAATACGCCATCAAAGGACCGAGCTGCGTTTCAATGTCGTCCGAGAAGGGGTTCGAACGTGGTCAGTGACTGAAAGCTTTCGGATTTCAAAGGACGTCTGACAATCGTTTGAGTACTCGACGATGAAGTGCATCAGCTGATCCTCTCCATCGCAGGCTTATTTGCATGGTTCCCTCAAGGTCGTTATATTCAATGAGTAGACCCTCCTTCCTTCCTGGATGCGGCCATCGCCTCTTCAGACGAAGGACGATGCCTTAATCGTGAGTTTAAGTGTATCACAGAGAGTGGCGGTTAGCCAATCACCGACTGCATTCGAGGAAATGGCTCATGGAGTCCCAGGTACCCCTTGTGGTACCTCACGCCACCTTCCTCGTTGACTGAGAAGGTCGAGTCGGGGCCCAGTTTTTTAGGATTCTCGTTCATCCACCACTCATAGTCGGAAAAATAAAAGATTCTGGAAGACAAACGACAGCGTTATTTATAGGTATGTCCATCCAGCCATCTGCCGAAGCTTGAGCTGACATGAAATGCGAGTGCCGCGCTGACTGGGTCTTTTTTTAGTCGTTCTAGTGCATGCAGGAGTGCGCACCGTGCCGTAGGAAATGCTGAGTCGGAATGGCTTCAGATCGCCATCTCGACATTTCTACCCTTCCTTGCCCGGACATAATTTTCGAGTTTAAAAGACAGTGGATTTTAGCGGCCCATTGACGTCGGTTTCCGATCCCCCCTCCTTTCTACTCCCTTCTATACGATGTTCGTCCGGGCCCTCTTCACGGTTCTGCTTGCCGTCCTCGCATATGCCACTCCTCATAGGCGACAAGAGGCTCGTGTTATCACCAGCTGCACTAAGCCTAACACTGCTGCCTTGACTTTCGTATGTCGTTTCTCGAGCGCCCGGGCGCCTAGACGTTGACTCGTTTGCATATCAGGATGATGGTCCCTGGGTCTACCTGTATGGGGGTCGTTTCACAGCTCTCGTCTTTCCCCCAATCCTGATCATACTTTTAGTTATGATGTCAGCAAGGCCCTCGTTGCTGCCAACGCGACTGGCACGTTCTTCTTCAGTAAGCAATCCAGCTATGTTGTGTTTCGAAGACATGAACTCACCGGCGGACTATTCAGACGGCAACAATTGTTAGCTCTTTCTCTCGCCCACTCCCCGCCATGATTGACACCGATTCCCAGACGCGTGCATCTACGATGAAGATTCGGTGAAGCGCGTTCAGTACGCCTACCAGCACGGCCACCAAGTCGCCTCTCATACGTGGAGCCACGCCGATCTGACCACTCTTACTTGGGATCAAAGTCAGTATTTTACGCTCCGATTTTCAGCTGCTTGTGGACCTCATCGTGCTCGTTATTTGACTTGACAGTTCACGATGAAATGTGGCGCGTCGAACGTGAGTGGCAGCTAGCAATAAATTAATGCCCCACTGAATAATCATTGATCGGCCCGCGTTCAGAGGCTCTCCAGAAGATCGTCGGTGCCTATCCAGCGTTTATGCGTCCGCGTATGTTCTTCGTCAAATTGTCGTTAAAGGCAGGACTAACAGCGGTCGATTCTCGCCAGCTTACGGAAATTACAACGACCTTGTTCTGCAAGCGTCCTACATCCGAGGGCAGGTCGTGGCAATCTGGGACTTCGAGTAAGCGCTTGTTTCCGAGAAGTTTGACTGTACAGGTGCTCACTCCGTCTTTTATTTGAAGCTCGGGAGACTCGGTCGGCGCGACCGCCGCCCAAAGCGAGTCATCTTACGATCAGCTAGTTGCTCGCCACCCTAGCACCATCCTGGCTCTTAATCACGAAACTTACGGTACAGTTGGCTTCTAGTTTGTATAAAAATATCGAAAGTTGATGCAGCTTTCTTCTTAGAAACTACGGCGCACGTTTCCTCTTGCTCATGAATTATCCTTCACTCAGACAGAACTCATAGGCATCAAGTCCTCCCATACGCCATCCAGAAATTGCAAGCTGCGGGTTACAAGCTCGTCAGTCTCGCGGAGTGCACAGGGCTGCCTGCGTATCAGAGCGTCGGCGCTCCTGGAGTTCGGGATGTGAGACTTCTCATCGTTGAAATATGTGTTTAGCAGGTCTGAACTTTTTTTTACAGTCCACTTGGCATTGCTAGATGGATTCAAATGCAAACCAAGGACTTCTGCACCTACGAACTATTGGACTGTGACTAACGCTCCACGTAGCTTCGATCTTGGACCATCGTTTTGACCTGTCACAGACGTTAACGAGCTCTGTTTATGATCTACTATCGTATCCTTAAATTTCGTTGTAGCGCTGAGTAGGACTATGGACGAGTAACTGAATTTCCATTCCCTTTTCGTGTGACAAGTCAGAGAGGAATTTGTTGGCATCAGGTGGTCGCCCGAACAAACTGCAGTGGCCATGCGTATGATGCTGGTGTACATTTGACTGTCTCTTACTCAAATATTACGTTCTGCTCTCACCCTCACAAGCAACTTGAAGCGACGTGGGATGGGGAGAAGCCATAACAAAGCACAGTGAACTTAGCAATTGCCAACCCCCTTAGATGCCTCCAATAAAGTCAACAAACATTTTAATTGTGATACAAGATTTACAAGATAGCATACGAGAAGTACAAAATCAGGCACATTATGTGGATATCATATCGTGAATTGTGCAAGACCATGGCCAAACGACAGGACAACTACTACAACGTGCGATAAAGGAAGAAAGATGGGACAGTACACGATCAAAAGGCATAATCGAGAGCTCTTAATCTGGCTTGTGAGGTTGATAATGTGAGAATACTGAACGTCATGGTAGCAAATTTTCCGCTAGCTTGTGTGCAAATACTTGATTAAAGGAAGGTACCCGCTGGCATGGGGTCGGGCTCCGCGTTGGTCTCCGCAACTCCGGTAGCGAGAATCCGTCCAGTGAAGCGATATTTCCAGACGAGGTAGGGCTGTAAGAGTGTGGGGTTGCTGAAGGCAATGAAGCTGTTCTGAGCGAGGAAAGTGACGACAGCCTTGATCCAGAAACGGCAGCCTCGCCCCTGTGGGGTGAACCTATACTCCAAAAGACGATTATTGTGAAGCGCTTGATAAATTGTATACGGGGTAATCTGTTGTTGTGCACCGAGGGAGAATGGGATCGCCATTAATCCCCTGTTTGTAAGACGATAGGGCCTCGCGTCGATCCCGAGACGCAAGCGGGTGCTGGTACGGGACACCTTGACAGGGTCAAAGATAATGCAGACGTTGTCCGACAACGCCAAGAATATACGCCAATGATTGACATATTCGGTGCCGAGACTGGCAGGGGTTGCGACGATCGCGGTAACGCGATTAGGCATCCCAGGTAACGTCGTCGCCAATATAGGCGTCCCGGAAGTGTGCTTGCACCAGGTTGGTACTGTGGACCATCGGCTCATTGGCGGAAAGAACCATGGAAGATAGAAGTGAGGGTGGGCTAGGTGTGGCGAGGTAGACGGCACTAAAGGGCGATCTGAAGCGACTGGGATAAACCTGGGAGGGTTCTATAGAAAAGAGAAACTGCAAGACGAAGGTTCCAAATGATTTGTTCACCTCGAGGCATCCACATGGCTGATGATTCATTCCAAGTGTGACATCCAGCGCTCTATAGCACTTGACCGAGGATTTACCTTCCTGGGCAGCGCCCGGAATTTGATGACCTAGGATCCAACGCAGTAGACCAAAAAATCCGCAGGAAGGCCCACGAGCATCCGGCCTTGTGATTGCTTGGTCTATAGAGTACATGCAAAAATACTCTCATGAAATTTGATGAAACTTTAATCCAAGAAGATGCGAGTTGAAACGTTGGCTGTTGGCGCCTTCTTGATTTGGAACAGCTTGATCACAATAAGCGCCCACTCTACACAGCAGCAGCACCACAGCACCAACACGGATGGCAATTGAGGGATGTAGGAGCAAATTATCACTCTTCAGCACAGTCAAAATAAGCATATGATGAAATGTTTTCTTGACGTTATCGAGACGAATGTACGCGGTTCGAGTCCAACTGCGACGAGCGACTAAGTATTACAATAAAGCCAAAAGACTTCACACGCCAATTGGCAATTCATTTCCCTGAGCTCACAAGGACTCATCCTACCGTGTAGGTGAGGGTAAATGAGTAAGACTGACTCGACCCCCACAGAAAACTTGGAATCCAAGAGTTCGAATTCATCGATTCATCCAGTGAATATTTGAATTGACACCAAATTAGCACGCTGTGTAGATTCCCGGTTCGAAATTCCAGCAGGCCGCCGGTGACGACAAAATCGGTGTACGTAAAACTTCTGAATTTGTGGACGTCAGAAGAGTGCCAGAGACGCTCTGAGAGAACTGGAGGCAAGGGTTAGTTGTGCCCAGCACCGAAGCCAAGAGCAGACATGTGATGGGTCTGATCCAGTTAGTCAGCAAGCTGGTGTTTCGTCATTCCGTGACAACTCTTCCTGAACTTTGAACGCCAACTTGTCTAGGCATACGAAGTCCAACATGCATATGGTGGAAGACTTGGGGCAAACTCCAGACTTTCCTCACACTTCGTCTTACTGGCGCCCTCTCCCATATCCGGACCACCCTCTCTGGAAGAATCAAGCCCTCGAGATCTCCCAGCCGGTGAACCCTGTGTCAACTCTTTCCTCAATCGACCTTACACTTTGCTCCAGTGGAACCTCAACAAACATTCCCATTTTCTTCCTACCTTCCGGCCATCCTCATTTCATTTTCTTCTCGAAGAACGCCATCTTCCGCCAGTGGACGGACTCAGCTACGGGGGACAAGAAGCCTGATATCGGCTTCATGCTGCACAGCAATCATTCATTGACTGACCTCTGGAGTCTGCAGTGTGGCAATTAGGGCTGCCAACCGAACCCATGTGCGACGGTAGACGGCAGCCGACGCACGGCACGGGTAGCCGAACCGGAACCATTCCTGGGATTCCCTCGCCAGGACGGCTGGACCATTCACGTCACCCGTCCAAGCCGTGTATTGTCGGCCGGTGGAACCCGTCGACGGGAAGCCGGGTTTGGGGGCAATGAGCGAAGCGCGCAAGAGTGCGTGATGAGCGCTAAACCTGTTACGAGTCCCGAGACGCCGATCTTTTGACTGCCGAGGTTACGGTGCCTCCAAGAATGACATAATATGAGCAAGAGGGATGAGAAGGATGTTGACGAGGGGTCGAGTGCCTGGCATTTCTTGGAGATACATGTCGTGGTACACAGTTTGGCACTACGGAATAGGGGATGGCACTGTTCACAAAACCGGGCTCAAGGAAAAGGTGAAAAAGTGAAGAAAGAATTTGTATCTACATAGCAAGATGAAGGCTGGGAGCTCTGTGGCTGGCAGAGGTGCTTAGAGATGAAGCCTGAGGTGATGTACACACGCTGGGCCAATCCAGTGGTCTGAAATTGTCCTATGGGCGCTTGATGTGTCGGTCGCGGTGCACTCTGGTCTGAGACTGGATGACTATTTTGTGGCAATCACCCTAGTTGAACTCAAAAAGAATATTATCCATCATCTCACCTGCCAAAGGTGGACACAGTCGGAGAGATAATTAAGCAATGCATTTAGGCGCTGATCAAGGGACATTTACTTAATGTTACCGGGTTGAAGGATGGCCGTACACGGCCGTGTATACTTCCGCCCCGACCCGACGGCCCAACCCTTTCCTCAAAACCCGGCCGGTGCTTGCCCACTTGAACCCGACCTTCAGCCGTTCTTGGACGGCCGTCACCGTACCCGGCACGGTTGGCAGCCCTAGTGGCAATATCCTTGAATGTTCCTCTACTCATCTCCCAAGAAACCCGTCCCGACTCCACTCTTCTCAGAGTGGTCTACGATTCCTTATCCCTGCTTGGTTCAGAAATAGGGTGGTTTTTGATCCACGTTCGGAATTGCTTGCAGAGTTTATACCCACAGGAAGGAATCGGCAACATATTTGCATCTCTCGGACGCACCGCTGCACGGCTTCTCTTTCATGACACTACCTTCCATTTCACCCCACGCGGACTGCTTGTCCCAGCTTTGAATGTCCTCACGTCGATCCAAATGATATGCACCCGAACCAGCATTATTGACGTCTTTCCTATTGGGCCATCCGAACGAAGACTTTTCGATGGCCTCTTGTCAAGAGCGGCTCCGGACGTTAGAGATTGCCCCCCTCCATCAGACATCCTACTCGACGCATTCCTTTCGACAGTTAAATCCAACCCTTTGTCCATTGCATTTTGTTGTGACGATCAAGTTGGGTCAGCGCGAAGATTACTTATGAAAGGCTGTATTTGCTTTCTCATGGACTAGCAAAAGTCTTGCACTCCTACCAGGTTTCAGCGTCGCACGTCGTGCCCATTTTCTCGACCTCGCCTCTCGACCTTACAATATCCATGATCGCCATCTTGCTCGTCGGCGCCGCGTATATCATTCTTCCCTTCCCAAAAGTTGGCGAAATTGAAGAGGTCTTGAATCTGGGTGAGGCGCGTTCCCCAGTAGCGTTATCTCGAGAGCGCCGTTCTCAACTGTCCAGTTTTTCGGTCAAAGTCATCGATCCTCAAGAACTTCTACACGAAAGCTATCTGGGCTTGAGTAGTACAGAAGTACTTCCTCCATGTACCCTCAGCCCCGATCAGACTGCCTTCCTCTTTTCGTCATTCGAGGATGTGGATTATATTCGCACCTCCCACGCACAAGCAACCGAACGACTTCGTGCCTTGTTTGACTCATTCAAAGTGACGATGACGAGCCGCGTCTTGGTTATACCTAACTCATCAAGCCGTATGGTGCATGGAATCCTATGGAATGTCTTCTCGGTGCGAGATTCCCTGATAGATCATCCATTTTCCTTGCTGATCCAGTTCATTAGCACGGCGCGACTCTCTGTGTTTCCTCTTCTGAAAGTTCTCCGCTCAGTTCCATTACTTATAGCCACTGTTCGCATGTTGTCCTCGATTCGGATGATGCCTTACAGAACATCAAGCAATTCAGAGAGCAGAGCGATCTTAGTGATGACTCGGCCTGTAAGCTGCCGATCCTGATAGTCCCAGATGAGATTACATGGGATAGTGGTTTATTTGAAAATGCCATCCAGGTGCGTTGTGAAGCTATAATTCAGTTGGAGCGTTCTAAGATACGTTGCCGATAGTACAATGAAACAACCACAAGCTTGAAGTAAGGGCTTCATATATCTGATGCTCTTATTCTCTCCTGACGACTCTTCAGGAAAGAACCGGAAGTCACTATTCAGCATAAAATCGAAATTCTGTACCAATCCCCCTCCCAGGCCCTAGACGTTCTTGAAGTTCTCGCTTCTATTCCGTCAGGACAGATTCTTCATCAAACTGGGTCGATTATCACGAAGATACGGGATGACCTTGTCGTCAAATATGGCTGCGGTGTTTTCCATGCTGAGGCAGCAGCGATGTTGTTCGTCCGCGAGCACACCCAGATCCGCGTCCCAGCCGTCCATCTCGTTTTCCGACACCGCTCCATGACACATATCGTGATGGAATACGTGGATGGCACTTCGCTGGATCTCTCCTGGCTGGATCTCGATGACGACCGCCGGCCAACAGTGCTCTCCAAAGTCTCCGAATACATCCAGCAACTGCGCAGCATCGAGTACACATCGTCTCACCCAGGTCCCATCGGCGGCACCGTTTGCCGCGGGCCATGGTTCACTCTCTACAACGCAGGTCCCTTCAGCACCCACTCAGCCTTGGTCGCCTGGCTCAATCACAAGCACAAGGTTGGAGGAGGGGCCGGAGACGGCTTCTCCGACGCGTACAAGCTTGTCTTTACGCATCAAGACCTTGCCCCCAGAAACTTCATGCTCGACAAGGACGGTCAATTGTGGATGATTGACTGGGAGTTGGCTGGGTGGTACCCAGCGTACTTCGAATATGCTTGCACTGCTTCTGTACGCGGTGCTCCTAGTGACTGGATCGACGCCCTGCTTCGCATGCTTGGACCGTTCAAAGAAGAGTCCAGCACGCTTGAAAGCATTACTGGGGCTCTCGAACGTCTTCCCTTCGCATAAATACCGTGTTTTCAAGGCTTGGACTTCAAGCGGAATGGCTTTTCATGCACCTGTAAGTAGATACGTAGAGCTAAATTCGGAATGGCATTTTGTCCTTCAAGCATAAGTACTTGCGAAATTTGGTCAAGGGTAGACGTATTCCTGGTGGGAATTATAGGCACGCTCGTCTTTGGTCTCCGCCGCCATCTTCCCTCACCACACCCTAAGCGATGAAAATGACCATAGACATTCTAATCCTAGGAGCAGGCTGGTGTTCGACCTTCATGATTCCCCTTTGCGACGAGAAATCCATAACTTACGCAGCCACATCTCGTTCCGGCAGAGATACTACTATTAAATTCGTCTTCAACGCGGACTCAGATGACCCGGAGCCATACACCGTCCTTCCCAATGCTCGTACCATCTTGATTACCTTCCCCATCGACAAGAAGGGCGCTTCGGAGAGGCTGGTTAGACTATACAGTCAGAGCAGGGGCGAGGGCGGTGACGTGAAGCCAAGGTTCATCCAACTCGGAACGACGAACATGTGGGGGGTGAGTTTGCCGTATCTTGTTCGTGAAGATGGTATTTATCATACTCTCGAGGGTTCGCGTCTGACTCGGGGCCAGAATGCGCAAGGCGCTGATGCAGCTGTTCAAAGTGGCTGGTATGACCGTCGCTCTCCTTACGCCCCCACTCCCCGAGCCGAGGAAGAGGCAGCATTGCTCGCTCTATCACCCGCCACTCCTACCACCGTTCTCAACCTCGCTGGACTTTGGGGAGGGTCTCGCTCACCGAAGAATTGGGTTGCGAAGATTGCACCGTCAAAAGAGGCTCTCAGGGCAAAGGTCGGCCCTTCGCCATACCCTCGTCGATTTAAGGCTGACTGCGATGGCAGGGGAGCTTGCATCTGATCCACGGCCTCGACGTTGCTCGCTGTGTTCTTGCGGTCCATAGTGACTTCGCGAAGGCGCAGGGCCAGCGCTGGGTACTCACGGATGGCCGTGTGTACGATTGGTGGGACCTTGCATCGGCCTGGGGTTCTTCTCCTGTCCCGACTACGGAGGAATCCTCCTCGAATCTTTCGTCCTCTGAAGATCGTGGACCACAGGCCATGTGGATCCGAGAGTTGATGGACGAGGCCGGAGTGCGGGCGTTACCCCGAAACGTCGAATTGCTTGGTCGCGCGTTGGATTCCAGGGAGTTCTGGACGACGTTTGGGTTGACACCGATAAAAGCAAGAGTAGAGGTGTAGCGACGGGGTGCTGGTGCTCATTGTGTTACGGGGACAAGATAAAGGGAGAGAATAACAGCCGGGGAAATAAACGCCCACTTGGTTCAGTCGGAGAACAAACCGCGACCCTGAAAACAATAAATGCTGTTTCGGTTATCTTCCTCTACAGCAACTCTCAAGTGCTAACACAAAGGACTGTTTTGCGGTCTCCAGAGGCAGAACAAACAGTAAGCCCCCTTTGACGTGCGTTCCTTTCACGTTTTTTAATCACAATAGTTTCTAGTAGAGTTCCTTGTCAGCGGCGTAACCAACCTGCACAGCATAAGTATTCGAGCTCATCGTCCACCCCGTAACCCACAAATGAAATCGACGTCCTCAACGCCAGCGTATTTATCCAGGAAATACCTCTATCCAGAACCATCCGACTCGCTCCCATTTTCCTGCATGCAGGCTTGCGTTTTTCTGGGGCTGTGCGGCCAAATCCTCTCCGACTACATGTACTTCATCGCGTGCTGTGTTGTCCTTTTCGCCTTCGCCATCGGCTGGACGGTCTGGTTCCGAACTTCACGCCCCAATTGTACAAACGTATTTGTCTCAACTCCACACCCTGACAAGGTCAACATCGAGCTCGGCGGCCTGTACAATCAAGTCGCGTGGTTCGAGAACGCGACGAAATCGTGTCTTTCTTCAACACACCCGCAAATCTTCTACAACCATCGCGCAGTTAAGCTCGCGATGCGCGTGCACCTCAACGAATGGCTCACTCTGCGGGAGTTCAGGCGGTACTTGGATTGCCTCATTCCCGAGCCCGACGCGGGTGTCCGTGCTGTACCCCACCTCGATTTGGAAATCGAGATCCCCGCCGCGCCGAAGGACAAGGTTGGGAAGCCTTTCAACCTGGGCCTCGAGCGCTTCACTCATCTGCGCAAGCTGACTTGGAGAGGCCCGTTTGTCGAGTACGCGTTCAACGCGCCAGGCGATCTGAGCAACTGCAAGTTCTCACGCCTGCAGGAGCTCCGCTTGGTTGACTGTGTCATCACGCCGGAGACTCTTGTCGACATCTTGAAGGTGTGCCCGCGCCTCGCTTCGCTCGAGGTCGAGCAGTGTGGTGTCCCGAAGGTGATAGAAATCCATCCCAGCGCCTCTAGACGATTGCTTGACTTCGTCATCGAGCCGAAGACCCTGCAAAGGGTCTTCGCTGCTTGCCCGTGTATTGTGCCTCTGACAGTGTGTCCACCAGGGGGATTTAAAGCCCCTAGATACTCAAATGACACAACAAGCCCAATACCCCCATCTGCGCTGCCTTCCATTCTCCATCACCACAACCTGAAGCACCTTCACCTCTCCTCGTCAACCAGCCTGCAAGGCTTCTTCAAGAACCTTGACCTCCCCGCGCTCGAAACCCTGAGCCTCCGGATGGCACCGTTGTTGCCGGCGATGGAAGAGATCTCGAAGTTGGCAGCGCCTTGGCGGACGCTAGCGCACTTTGAACTTCAAGCTCCATTAGATGACTACACGCTCTATTACCTGCAGAAGTTCTTCTCGGCGGAACAGACATATTGGGGTCGACGCCATACTTTCATCGATGATCGCCGGCCATGGGCCGTGGTCGGTGATTCGTGATTTTTTTTCTTCTCTCTTCTCGTTGTTTTCTTTATTGTTTTCTTGCTTTCCCGCTTTCTCGGCTTTCTGTGTTTTGAGTTACAGTTCAACTCCTCTACTGCTCCGGTTTCCCTATATTATCTCGTTTTAATTTTTCAGCGCTATCTTCTTTCCTTCCGCATCTCTATCAAATTAATCATGGCCGTGGACTGTATCGCAATTTGTAGAAATATCTGCTCGTCTTGTTCAAAAAGTGTAGCACAGCGGTTTGTATTTGTATCGTGTCTACTTCAATCCATACTCGGGGGTGAGAGGGGGTGTGGATTCCTTGTCAAAAAAACTCTTGGTGTGTATCGCAAGACCCAGTTCGAGAAGAGGATCGTTGAAATAACGCTTCCAGCGTCGATTTGTCGATCGTGGAAGCCCCAGCGGGTTCTCAACAAATCACATTGACTTTCATCGATCGCTGAACATGGGGTAACGCGACGTGCACTCGACCTTCCACTTCACTTTCATATTTTGTCGCTGTTGTCAGAACGATGTTGCGGTCGCGCTCAAAAGGAGGTGGTCTCAACTCCCCTCAACTTCTAGGATCCATGTCAATGAATGTCGGCACCTATCACCGAGGAAATGCACTTACGATCCACAACGCCAGACGGCCCTCCATGACTGCCCGAATCAAACCCTGCTTCGCCATCGTTGTTTTTCTGTTACTCGTGGGCGCATATATGCAGTCCAGCATGCATTTCAAAAGGCGGGATATCGGACGCGTCGATCGTTCAGGCGAAATGGGCCGAGTCGAGGAGGACTTGGATGTTCTGCAGGTGGAGAGTCCTGGTATCGAAGACGCGGATACGAGAAACGCGATGTTAGGGCCGATGAAGATAGAGGCGAAACCAACGGCGCTGTCGACGCGACCAGGGTGGAAACATCCTCTCGTAGATCGGGCGATCCTCGAGAGACTCGAGCGAATGCAGAAATTCTTCGAGCAAGGCTACGACGACCTGTACAACATATTTCCAGCACCCTCCAGCTCTCAAACAGAAAATCGTTGGCCACCTCGCGTTACACGTATTCCCGAACGGATCCATCGGTCCTCCTCTCTTTCATCGGCGCCCAACCTACATTCCAAAAGCAAGACCAAAGACACAGCCGAGGATAAAACAATTTGCGATTCGACAACACACCCGCGTCCATGTCGCTTCCTCCTCCCACTCAGGGTCGCAGAGCAGGAGTCCAAGGCGCGCATACACTTCATGCAAATTGCACAGCTGGCAAAAGCACTCAACCGTACACTCGTCTTGCCTAACGTAGGGAAGAGCAAGATCGGGGCATGCTTCAAGTGGCCGTTCAGTAGCTACTACGACATGGACTCTCTGGTGGACAGCGGGGATGGCGGAAGAGAGGGCATTATGGAGCTGGATGACTTCAAGGCGTGGTTGGAGGAACATGTCAGAGAAAAGCATATAAGTTCACAGCTGGTGTCTGTTGCGCCGACATTACCAGCTCGTACCAGGTTTCGGAGGGAACCGGTGTTCATCAACGCGGATGTTGTCGTCCATGGATACGAAATCTTCGAGGCGTGGAGGAAGAATCTGCCTGGCTGTTTCGCAAACAAATTCCAGAGGCTCGAGCTGGAGACGTTCCCTGTTTTTATGTCACCAACGGCAAAGGCGAACAGAGATGGAGGAGACCAACCTATGGGCGATTCCTTTGTTGATGCCTTCTCCGCGATTTCGTCGCCGACCGAACAGGACGAGATGCCCAGCGAGGAGACAACTGCAGAGTCAGAAGCCTCAATACAGCGACGCCGAGGGCCCGACGCGCAAGTGCTGGTTGTGAACTGGGAACTCCGACACGCGATCTTCCCTCCTTCTACCCACTCGCTTCGATATTCGCTGCAAATGCACGACCTCGCGGCTCGCTATGCACCTCCCAGCCCGTATCTTGTTGTCCAATGGCGTATGGAGACTGTCGACCCTGGAGTACTTGAGGATTGCGCCTATGGTCTAGTAGATCTTCTCATGCGTCTCCTCCACGATGCCGAACTGGGTGCGAACGTCACGACAGTTTGGTTCGCGAGCGACTATCCACATCCCATTTCACAGCAGGTCCCAACGATGGTCCAAACGCCTCTTGTCGCAAAGTCAGGCACTTTCAAGGACTTCGATGGTAGGCATGGCGCGGCGATTGGGATTCTACAGAAGTCATTTCATCAGCAAGGAGAACTGGGTGAATGGAAGTTAACAGACTTTATCGAGTCATTCGAATTAGACAAAAGGGGAGAAGCCGAGTTGACGCAAGACCTAGGTGTCTTCGGCATCCTGGACAAATTGGTCAGTGAGAAGGCAAGCCTCTTCATCAGTGGTTCAAGTCAATGTAGTCGCAAAAGGTGAGCACGTTGGTCCTGCAAACGTTTCGTCTTGAATCTGACCTAATAAAGCTCCTTCACGAAGCAGGTTATCGAGTCAAGAGAAAATGCATGGGCTGCGGGAGGAAGCAATCTCAGAAACGTTGTTGATACCTTCTGATAGCGTAGCGGTGGTTGGAGATGGTTGGACTTTGTCCTTGGGAGGAATCGATGGGCATAAAGGATATCCTGCATATCGAAGAGAGAATAGCATAGCATGGGTACATAACATGCTCATACCGAGAGCTTCTGGTCGTGATAAGGATGATGCAAAAAAGACGGCACCCAACGTTTACTCTCCCCGAGGGGCCCCCCGTCCGACACCAGCAAATTGTGGCCTGTACTCTCCAGGGGCGGAGTCGTCCTTCTTGCGATATCCGTCACGATCGCCGCCACGTGGGGGGCGGTAGGCACCCTCACCACCACCGGGGCGGACGCCAGCCGGGCGAGGAGGGCGAACTGCCTTTTTGTGTGTGGCAGGAACGATCTCAGCAGGGAGGTGGAGCCTGAGGTAACGAATGAAGCAGGGAAAAAGGACAAGGACACAAGTAACTCACCATCCACGCAGATATTCAACACCCTCGGGTGTCAGCACGTAGTAGTACCATTGCCAGGAGAATTGGGTCTTGACGAAACCCTTGGATGTCAGGCTTTGGAGAGCCTTGATGACTTGGAGGTTGGGGACATCAAGCTCTTCGTGCTTCGGCGCGTTGAAGTCCTTTTTGGCGACAAGAACACCCTCTACACAAGAGCCAGTTAATTAAACCTCGTCCAGGATGTCATATACACCACGCACCCTTGAAGAGGTTCTCGTAGATGATGCGCCTGTTCTGCTTGGGAATAATCATGCTGAGCCGATGGGTTTATTGGTGCAGAAGCTACGAGATCGGCGAGAATTATGTTGAGGAGGGGTTTGGTGGGTCAGAGAGTGTCACATACTGCGATATTCGATTCGCACTTGCTTCCGGCTGTTCGAAGAACACAAAGTCAGAACGTCATCCACGAACAAGTCGATCCATCCAGCTTGTTCCACCACTCCAAATTGCACGAAACAACTTGTCATGGCTTCTCCTGGGCGTACGAAAGTAGTGTGGCAGACTCACAGCGCAGATTTTGAGGACGGTCTTGCGGGAATCTGGAGGTTGACGGGCGGGTCGACGAGCACCAAGGTTTGGAGGTGGCTGAAAGTGTGGTCGTGCTTGGATGCAGCCTCCGTTTGTCGCAAGGCACGCAAGGCACGCGCTTTTCCGGCTCCTTCGGGCCTCTCTTACTTCCTTTCAACCTGCCTTTCACTTTCTTTGGGTGAGCAATTCTGCGGAGAATTTCGACATCGACTTAAATTTTAAGAAATCCAGTATCTGATGGCCACCACACTAAACGAGTCCCTTGAACAGAAAGTGGGCGCTGTGAGGGACCATAATTCGAAACAGGCCGTCGCTCGACTCCCAACCGAAATTTTGTGTTGTATTTTCAGCGAATACATCAACGTACACTTCAGCAGGACTCCGTTTGAGAGCAAGACTCCTCTCGTCTCCTGCTTTTCCAATGCAAATCCGACTCTTCTTAGTCAAGTCTGCTCGAAGTGGCGCGCCGTTGCCGTCAATCTACCCACACTCTGGTCGTCAATCTTCATCTCCATACCCGCAGAGTCCCACATATATCTTGTGCAGCTTTGGCTCCAGCGTGCGAGAGATCAGCCGTTGGATATAACCCTCGACAGCTCCCGAGATCTATCCTCCACTCGGAAGATTCTGCGTGCTATCGTGTTGCGCTCTCAATACTGGAGGAAGGTCGACATCAAATTATCGCATTACCTCGTTTGGTATCTACGCAAGCTTGTCGTTCCCCCTCTCCGATGCGACGCGCTCCAATCTGTACGACTGATTCTTAAAGAGTCTTTCGCAGGAGATTTCGACCCTCGCCCTTTTCACAACACTGAATTGGAGACGCAACACCTCCGCAGCATATGGTCATTTTTCTATACCTCCACATGCCTCCAAGACGTAGCTTGGATTGGCGATACGGATCCGGAGGTGTATTTCCACGAAGGCACCCCACGACGATTAAAGAGGATCGATTCATCAAGCAGTCTGTCGCTCGACCAGGAGCAAATGGTTGAATTTCTAGGATTCTTTCCAGAGTTGACACATTTACGCGCGGAGGTCGCCTCCGCTTCGCGGCAGTACATCCCAAAACTTGGCACGCCATCAAGACCTCTGACCCATCAGCATCTCCATACCCTTCACCTCTACACTTTCATTCCTCTATCACTCGTGTTTTCTCACATCACGCTTCCTTCCTTGTCAGAGTTGCTCATCGCGTCTCTCTTTCACGACGGCACCCTGTTTGATCCGCCTGTGCTCGAAAACTTCTTCCTACGATCGAACTGCCAATTGCAAGTTCTGAAGTATTTGAATAGAGATATGCCGGAGACATGCTTGTTGCGCCTTCTCGAGTTGCCACAACTTCAATCACTCCTCTGGCTTGGGTGCGCAGCGGTAACCACCGATTTAACAATTTCCGCCTTCCTCCAGACCACAGAGCACAACGTACCAAAAGTCTTACCGCGTTTGGAGAATCTCTTCCTCTATTCATCCAACGCAGGATATGTGTTATTGTCGGAGATGATTTCATATCGTGCGTCCCTTGTCAAAGACTTCAATTTCGATACAGAACTTGAATACATGCGAAGTACCAGTCCGTGGTTTTATTGATTTATTTAATTTACTAGGAAAACCAAAGCCATAATTTGCACACTCTCCTCAGGCCTGTGTCTTTTCCTACGCCAAATGAGCTTGCAACTAGATTGACCTACCCCCATTGTTCTACGACAAGCGACTCTTCCCCCAGTCGCATGGTATGTAACAACAAAAGATTTCATTCATGGTCTGCTTTCCTTGTATTTTTGCCAGTGGACCACCTATGGCACCGGCTAAGGCTGTCTTTGTTTTGGATGCCTTAATACTTGTTGCTATTTGTCCAAGTTCTTCCCGTCAGTGTCCCGTCGAGCATGTCTATTCCACAAGCACGCCGCGACGATTACTTCGCTCGAATCCCTTTGGTTCCCAGCGCTACGGTCAACAAGCGCCTCCACCGTAGAATTCCGCCGCGGATTCAGAGTCGCTTAAGCCTGCAGGATTTTCCAGGTATCCCAATGTCTTTTTAGTGTCATCGTCCTTCAATTGACTCGTATCAACACACTACGGCGCCAATATGGGCGCAAAGCATATGGCAAGGAAACGCGGAAAGCTGCTTTATCCTTAATTTCTTGCTCGCTTGCAGGCTATTTCAAGATCTGGTGCTTTGGCATTCTTTTCGCTTTTCTTCCTGGGTGCTTGTCCACCACCTTTCAACAGGGCTTCGGACATTGAATATACCTACATTCAGAATATTTGACGACCAGCGCGGCGCATGTCACGCAACCATCGCGCCCTTATGGCAACCGAACAGACACTTATTCTATTTAAGCACCTTGTTATGCTCCCTCGGAATCTGGATTTCTTCTGTTCGATTCATCCTGGGGCTGTTTGTGGACTTTTTGTGTGCACTAGTGCGACACGAAGTAGAGTGGTTTTAACACCCATGGTCCATCTTCGACCTCAAGAATAGGTCCCCCATTAGAACTTTAGGTCAGGATCGTCGGACGACGCGATATTTTACCGTCTTCGTGATCTCATATATTCTCCCGGCCAGGCTTTCTTTCCGAGTTGTCTGTTTTGTCCGGTTCTTGTTCGGCATACCCTGTCTGGTCGTCTTGCTTGATTGCAAATTTATTGTCTATCGTAGCTGTTCAAGAGCTTCATGTGCTTTTCACTAGCTACCGGTACGGTGGCCCAGAAGTGCAAGCCTGCCCTTTCTGACTTGATGGCTCACGAAAGACACCGAGGGGGGGTCCATGCTAAACACCCTCGAAAGCGAAATCAGCCTTGTCGTCGTCGACGACGACGAGCGCAGCAAGTATATGCTACAAAAATATTTAGGAGTAGTTCTACAATCTTAATAAGCATTATTTAGAGACAAAATTGAGCCCATGAGGCCCAGTGGAGCCAATGCAACACTTCGAAACGGGAAATAGTCTACCTTGCATGCGCGCATGTGGCTGTGCATTTGGGCGCGCACGCGCTAATGGCGTGTCAAGACGCGGGCACGCGGGCACTCTGTGGATCCGAAAATCCATTCGCGTATTCTGCGTATCAAACGTATAGTATGAATATAGATACTCCCGAGGCATTTGGACCTCATGGGGCCATCAGTGGAGGCATGGATTTTCTTTTTTTAAAAAAGGGGAATTGGCAAGTTAAATGATTTATAGGACTATACACTTTATTTCCGCAAAGTTGGCACCGACTGGAGTAGTGAAAGATTATCCCATTACATAGCTGTTTGTAGCCGGGCTCGTTCACTTAATGTGATCCGGACCTTCTGGTACCGCGTTGGCAAAGATCAGCGTGCTCAGTGTGAGATTAGCGTGCCATGGTCATAGATGTACGTTAAGTCAATCACCTTCGGTGTCTATTAGTATTCAAGTCTGAAGCTTGGGCACAATATTCCTGAATTAACTATTGGTGCCCTCCCCGTGAGCTTGTAAGTTTGACTAGATGATCAAGGATGTAGTATGAAATACTTGGCGACCTTGCCAGCCTAAGTATCGAGATTATTCGATATACTTTATATGCAAGGCCTGCGCTGAGGCACTATCCGTGCTTGAACAACAGTGGAGATTCACACAGCTTGTCCTTAGACGCCTGCTTACCACGGGTTTGAGAAAGCTGGGGGATATGACAATTGGCATTAATTTCCCCTCTCGCCATGAAAGATCCGATAGATTTTGGAGAAGCGGACTAAAAGAATAGATTATACCGTCATAAATGCCCGCGTCTTGACACGCCATTAGCGCGTGCGCGCCCAAATGCACAGCCACATGCGCGCATGCAAGGTAGACTATTTCCCGTTTCGAAGTGTTGCATTGGCTCCACTGGGCCTCATGGGCTCAATTTTGTCTCTAAATAATGCTTATTAAGATTGTAGAACTACTCCTAAATATTTTTGTAGCATATACTTGCTGCGCTCGTCGTCGTCGACGACGACAAGGCTGATTTCGCTTTCGAGGGTGTTTAGCATGGACCCCCCCTCGGTGTCTTTCGTGAGCCATCAAGTCAGAAAGGGCAGGCTTGCACTTCTGGGCCACCGTATACCGGGGCAACCTCACTTAGGATCATCGCGTTGTTCTATGAAAGCGGGCTCTTTCGACTTGTCGACAGATGATGCATTTGATTGATCCCTCGAATCTATTTCGAAGCGACGTCTTGAAACGATGGCAACTTAATCACGACCTTGAAGAGATTTGCCAACGTGCCTGCAGAACTATGTACATACAAGAAGAAGCCTTATTACAGGCTAGGAGAGGCGGAAACCTGAATGCTTTAAGTTATGTCTATGTACATGGTGTGTCTCAATGGAACTGAAGAGCGCCCCGTCTAATTTCAGTCGTAGAGGATGAGTTTCACATTTCGAATTCTACAAAGGGGCTATGACGCGTGTGGCGAATGCTTGCACGTGGGGTGACAGATCGCGTTTTGTGGGCCGTCCAAGCCCGGCCGTGCCTGCGCTTTTTCTTCTCCCTCATCACGGTGACACAGTCTGACCTTGAGAAGCATTCGCCACACCTCTATGTTCTGTTACAACCTATTTCTCGTCCATGGAATGTCATGTACAGCCAGGTGAATCCGGTTCTCCGCGACAAAACAGAGTTTGAACCTTTTTTCGACTTATAGGGGCCTGCACAATTTGCAGAAGCACAGCTTCCTTCGACGAGACACCCGATGTCTACTGCAAGACAAATGGCTCGCCGAAGTGCGATGGATGCAGTGCAGTTGACCGACTTGAAGTCAAAATCGCAGAAATTAAAAAAATTTGCTTTCACGACTTGACATGCATGTTGACTCGGAAATCGTGTTTCCACATCTTATCTTATCAGACTCGGGGACGAATCCGGCTTGACTAGCGGAAATTTATAGTAAGATAAGATAAGATAAAATAATCGCGACTGTCACGTCACTTGACTTCTATAACGCTGTCACTCTCGGCCTCCTCCCACTACCACTACTTACGCCACTACCACTACTTACAAACAGCCCCAACGATGGTGAGATCACTTCCAACGACTCCTAGACGGTCGCAAAGATTCCAACCCATGGCAACACCATCAGCAAATACAGCGGACAAGAACGTCCTCGAATGTGTCTGGGCTAGCAAACCTACCTATACACGTCGGACCATTCCTGAACTAGACCTTTTACCTGAGGAACAAGAGCAGAACGGTTTAGAGGACGCCACAGAGGATGTAGGAGATGATAAAGATGCGGAAGAACGCGAGACGGTGTTTTACGAGGCGTTTAGAATGAAGCGCAAGGCGACGGCGTTCAGAGGGTCAAAACGGATGTTGGCTGGCAAAACCGAGCTACATACGTATCGTTTGGGCGACACGGTTATGGTGGAAACCGATACTCTGTATATCATGAAGAAACCACCAAGCGTCGGTGTTATTGTTGCCATGTGGGAGACGAGAGCGAACGATGGGGAGCAGCAGCAAACCGACTCGAGTTCTATGAGGATTCGCGTCCACTGGTTTTTGAGACCGAAGGAAATGGCCAGTATTAGGGCAAAACGGGAACACGAAGAGGTGAGCTCTCACACACAGTTTTTTGCCTTCTCTTCCAATGCGGCGTTCAGAATGAAATCTACTACTCGCTGGCAACAAGAGTGGTCGTTACCCCAGCCGTCATCTTGACTCGTTGCCTTGTGTCCGCCGAGCTCCACCCGACGGGCAAGAAATCAGAACCCAAGAGGACAGCAGGCTGGGACTTGGTCCCAGTTACACCCAGCAAACGCCGACCCAGCTCGCCTCTCAAGAGGTCGACGCGGTTTTCCACCCCCAGCGAAGATGACTCTGAAGAAGATTCCGAGAAGCAGGTTGACGAAACTTCTTTCGTCAACGACCCCGACAAGATGTTCTATTGCCGACTGGCTGTGGACTCGCGACGCGGAATCTTCTACGACTTCAATTGGGAGAAACATCACAGAGACGCGTTGGCGCGGTCGAAGCCACCTACTGAAGACTCTACCCAAGGTCCAAGCAAGGAGCCCTCGCGTCCGTGGGGGGAGGGCAGCTCGTGGGATGTCGTCGAACAGAAGAAACCTAAACGACCAACAACTACAAAGGCAGCAAAGGCACGAGATAGACCAGACGAGGAGATTTCTGAATCGGAGGCAGACGACTCGTCCGATTTCGAAGAAGACGGTTCTCGAGCAGAGTCAGACGAGGAGATGGAAACCGACGAAGAAAACGAGGATTCGCAAGGTGCTGCCACCGATGAGGAAGATATGGACACCATAGACAGTCTCCGGACACCCTCCAAGAAACGTGGGCAGCGTGCCGACGCGACGACGCCGAGAAAGAACAAGAGATCCCGGACACTCGCCCACCCAACACCGCATTCCAAGGCGGCTCTGAAACGTCGGTGGAAGAAGACAATGGACCTCAGCTCTTCGCCGCGCAAGCGGAGGGCGACATTCGCCATTCGTTTCCCGGAGCAGTCCCTGACTTTTCAGGCAAGCATGGCTCATCTGCCGAAAGACCCGTGGCTCCGTTCGATGCATGCTCTGCACGTAGGAAGCAGGCCTGACGCACTGCCCTGTCGCGAGGACGAGTATGAACGTGTGCTGAGATGTGTTGGGGAACTTCTAGAAGAAGGTAGTGGTGGTTGTATTTGTGAGTTTCCCGCCACTATCCTGAATGACACAGAGCTGAACGAGACGCGTATATTCAGATATTTCCGGCGTTCCGGGAACAGGGAAGACAGCCACGGTTCATACCATCGTCCGAGAACTGAAGAGGATGGCGCAGAATAGTGTACACCTCGGTATTTTTCCCTTTCGAAACCCCGTATTCATTTTCTTCTAGGAAATCAATCCGTTTACATACGTTGAAATCAACGGCTTGAAGATCCCAGAACCGTCTGCTGCATACAGCCTTCTCTGGGAAGGCATCTCCGGCCATGACGTGGCAAAGGAAGGACACCTCCGTGTTGGAGCGAAGGAGAGCCTGAAAGCGCTTACGCGGCATTTTACCACTGGCAATCGCGGTCCAGAAGGGCATGCATGGTACGTGATTATGCCGCAGCGCAGCTTCTTTCTTCTGACCTGCTGTTATTTCAGTGTCGTTCTCATGGACGAACTTGATCAGCTGGTTACGCCGAAGCAGGATGTCGTGTATAATTTCTTCAACTGGCCGACCTTGGTGGGCAGCAAACTCGTAGTTATTGCTGTTGCGAACACGATGGACCTTCCGGAGCGTGTTATGACTGGTCGCGTGAGAAGTCGACTAGGTATGCTATCATCCTCCCTGGTCTACTCTTTGTTGAGTCTTGCTATCCAGGGATGATTCGCATCAACTTCCAACCCTACACGCGAGAGCAGCTGGAGAAGATCGTCGAAGCAAGGTTGGCGAGTGCGAAAGAGGGGCTCGAGGATGAAGAAGGCGCGAGCCAAGTCATCATTGCTCCTGACGCCATCAAGTTCGCCTCTATGACCGTTAGTCGGATAACGGGCGACGCTCGGCGGGTATTGGATATCTGCAGGTTTGTCTCAAATCCTCCCATCGCCTTAATCATTGATTTGCTCATTGATATTGACAGACGTGCTGTCGAACTCGTGCAACCAACCAAAGGAACCGTAAAAGCGCCCCACGTCAGAGAGGTTGTCAACATGATGCAGAATAGCCCTACAGCTGCCTATCTGCGCGATCTGAGCTTCCACGAGCGGCTGATGCTCACTTCTTTGATCAAGTGTGTCAAGCGTGAGGGCGTTGAGGAGATCAAATGGAGTGAGGTCAGTTTTGCCTTCACTTTGAAACACATCGTCTGGCCTAACGACGAATCTAATGGCAGGTCGAGTATCAACATTTGACCTACGTGGACGTACTCACTTCGGAAGACGACCCAAAAAGAAAGCCAACGCCGTATGAGTTGATGATTGTACTTGACTCTCTCGTGGCCTCGAGAGCTGTGGTCGTCGAGGATGGAGCAGCTGTGGCAAGGAAGCCTCCCGGCGAAAGGAGGCTGCTTCTCAACCTCGAGCAGGGTGAAGTAGAGAGAGTATTGGGCGACGTGGGTGGACAGAGATGGAAGGCGGTTCTGAGCAATTAATTGACGGCCCACTATTGGAAGGTCGTCAGCGTTGAGTGGTGTTTTGTATCTGGATGCGATTCTTACTTCCTTGTTGTATTCATCGCTATTGTATCATAGGATTATCCATCCACGACCACTCTTTGATGACATTACTTGACAAGGATGTCTCTCAAGACGCAAGTCGTGAGCATTCTACTTAATCCATGACCTCCAGCGTCTACATCTGCCTCGACCTCGACCTCGACCTATTCCGATTCTTTCTTTGGCTACCACGACTGAGTCTGTTAAAAATACTCGTCAGCAAATCAAACCGGTGGTCGCAATTGAATTCACCCACTGGCTCGGGGGCGGCCTTCGAATTCGAGTCGCCCCTCCATTCTGCTGCTTGGATTGGAAGCGACGATTGCGGTTCGCTGTTTTGACGGCCTTCATGATAGGAGAGGTCATGAAACCCTTTGTCTTGCTCGAGGCATTAGGGTTGACGAAAAGGTTCTTGGCGACCTGCTTTACGACATGCCCCACAGCACGCATAACTTCCCCTCGTTCCTCAAGCACATTCCCGTCTTGCTTTTCTCGGGATACTACGAGAGCAGGTCTGTTGTAAGCGAAACGTGCTGTTAATAGCTTCATCAATTATGAAAATGGAGAGGACCTTACCTAACAGGTATGGCAAGTGCTGAAGTGGCACAGGAGAGTGCGACAGCGCAAAAAAAGGCCGAAATAGGGAGCTTGACCATTTTGATCAATGAAGGCTTGGATAATTATGAAGGTTGCAGTGACCAGCACGTCGACGCTTGTATCGCGAAAATCCCCGGCCAGCGGGTCGCTTGGTTAGAGGAACGGACTACAGCTGTCGAATTAATATGGCGTCGATATTGTGGGTCCATTTGCGCTCGTGTGCCCACATTCCAGTGACATTGGAGGCGGGTTATGTCACTGGGTGGGTGACTTAGTTATCACTTAGTCCCAGGGCTGTGCGATGGACGAGCAACAGACCTGCGTGTGTATGCAGGGTGATTTGAGTCTATTGAAACCTCGGTGGTAACCAGCATACCATCAACGCCGCTCATCCACAAGCTCGCGGCCGTCTCAATAGCGATAGCGACTTTGCTGCATGCTCTTGTTTACTTATGTACGTTCTCCCCTACGCCAGTGCTAGTATTATGTAAGAGGTATTGTCTGTGTCAGTGTGTTGGTCTGCCTTCTACTTGTCTTTCAGGAGGTTGAACAAGCCCGATGATCTTGCCTTCGCAGATTCTTCAAAACTTCACCTTCCATTTTTGGAAAGCTCGGTGTGGCGTCAAGATTCAAGTGTTCTGAGTATGAGGAAAGCACACATTATGATGCCTGCACATCAGCTACATATCAAGGAGTATCAGGTTTAGTCCTGCAAATATCCAAGCAACTCATTAGTTGGAGCCAATAGTTTGTTGGGAATGGGCAAATTTTTGATATCAATAGGAACGTTCTTCCGACGAGGCGCAAGTAGGATCATCCGCTCAAGCGAATAAGTTATACTTATTAAGTATATTTTTGAGGTATGGAACTATTCGTTGATTAAAGACCTTTCAATCCAAATCCTCAATATCCCATTCGCGCGCCTCAAGAATATCTTCCCAGTCCTCCCGCGCCTCCAACTCCTCGCTCAACTCGCGCTTCTTCCTGCCTTGCTGTAGCTGTTGGGCACGCGCTGCCTGGATGGTGTCTTTCCACTTGTTCCGCAGGTCATGGTTGGGCTGCTTCCGGTGTTGAGCAGCAACTTGCTGCTTGGCATGATTTGCGGCTTGCCTGTTGGCTTCGAGTTGTTGCTTCGCCTGGTTGTCTTTGTGTGTGTTGACGACGGCGTTGCGGACGGGGGCAGTGACGACCCGGCGAGCACCTCCATTGAGAACTGTATTTCGGACTCCTTGCCATAAGTGACCCAGGACGCGCGCTTCGAGCCTAGAAGAGCGAGCTTTCGTCAGCGGAGCACCTTTGATGCTAGAACAAGGGAGACAACTCACTCCTCCATTTCGCGCGTTTCCAGGTCTTTGTCGAGCTCGCGACGGGTCCCAGCCTTCTTGTGAGCGATCACCTTGCGGGTCGTGTCGTGCCACTGCTTAATGTTCCTGTTTGCCTGAGAGCTGGCATCTGCCTTCTTCTTCGCCTCGTTGTTCTTGTGCGTGGTTTGGATGGCGTTACGAACGGGGGCGGTTACAACACGGCGGGCGCCACCGTTAAGGACGGTATTTCGGAGACCATTCCACAGGTGACCGAAGACCCGAGCTTCGAGACTGCAAGCGGGTAAAGATGAGAACGCGTGTCCGGAGGGAAGGCGGCGCTGGGCTCACTCTTCGTGGTCCTCGAAGCCACGCTCGAGGACAGATTCCTGAGTATCGTCGAAGCGGGCATCGAGCTCCCCGATGCTACCATCAGTGACATCTCTTTCTTCAATAGTGCTATCGGATAACGAAATAATCAGAATTAAACTAACGATGTGACGAACCTCGACTTACTTGATGGGACCAGCAAGTACTGACACCGGGATGGAAAGAGCGATGGCGGCGACGAAAGCAGAAGTGGACAGTTGAACCATTGTGAATTATACGCTATTACTGAAGTTGGAGAAAGCCGCGATTCGAGATGAGGAGAAGAAAGGCTCAAGTGACCAGCACGTTGAGGATGTGTAGTGGGAGTGCACTGCGCTGGGAGCTCTCCTTCGAAATGAGGCCCCTTTTATACCATTCTGTCCTCATTCTTACGTTTCATGTCTCCAGATACGCCTCACCTAATCGACATGCATATGGGAAAGCCGCTCAGGGTGTTGCAGCATTCCAGCGGCGTTTTGGCATTCCTAATGCCAAGAACACTGATCAGCGATTGCCGATCTTTGATCCGAGCGCGAATCGGAGTTGGTGTTTGTCTGAAGCGACGAGGTAACGATAATTCTGCGAGCCCCTTCGTGTAGCCACTTCCCGGCCTCACGTTGTCATGAACAGTCTGGGATCTATGGCCTCAGACGGTGTCTGCTTGAGATGATACAAGCAACAAGATTATTGGCACTGCCCTCTTATTCGATTGACTTGAACTGACAGATTGACGCTATACCTTAAGGATCAAAGATCTGCAGGGTCCGAGCGCTGAGCTCAGACAGCTTCAAGGGAGCGGAGTAAGATAGCAGTGCACTGTGTATGAGACAATCGCATTGCTGAAAAAGCTCTGTCACCGATCTGCCAATGCTTTTGAAGCTCGTGCAATCGCACAGATAACAAGGAGAGACACACAACGTTTGACCATATTCCTTCAGAAGGAAATGCATAGCTGAGCAAGCGGAACGAAGATAACTAGAGCCTAAGCGAAGTCACGATGTCCGAGATAGCCTACGGCGCTAGCGCAGGGACGGGAATACCGTGAGGACTATAATATTTGGACAGATGAAATGTGTTGCAGATGAACAATAAGAGTCCAATTTTGAGGCGTATCAAAGGGTCTCAGCGACGAGAGCAGAGAAATCATCAGACCTCAGGCTCCCTCGCCTCCAGCTCTTCGTTATACTCGCAGACACCATTGTGCCTCTTCGTGAGCGCCTGATACCAATAGAATCCTTCCCCGGTTGCCCCTTTGATTCCTCACCAAAGCCTGAGGCGTAGCGTGCTATTTCCTAATGTTGGTGCCGCGTTTGCAGAAATTTTTCGATTTTGCTTGCTAGTCCTTCACATTTCCTTGTCTGAAGAGCGCAGCTGCAACACGACGTGCGCCGCCGTTCATCACTATACCATTGGGACATCCTCGTGGGTGGCAGACTCTTTGTACCCCCCCCTTTTGCAGTGGGCGGTTATATTTCTGACCGTCGACCGCCACTTGAAAATCTGGGTGTAGGCGATAAGCACATAGCCATGGACTCGAGAGGAGATGAAACCGCGCATTTGTGGGTCATAATGACCAGCATTGATCTGGGAGTAGAGAGGTCTACAGAAACGGGTTCGAAATTCTCGCTTGAAGACTTCTGCTTACCGACGCGTGGGGATTTCTTTGTCGTGCAAAGGGACTTGAAGCATCCAATTTACGACGAAGAGCAAGTGACCAGAGCCAAACATGAATATAGACTCTTCGCAGCACCGGAGCAACGAGATTATTTGAGCGAGATATTTATTTTGTGACCCAAAGATGATGAGCACAGGTATTATCGAGGGGATTTTCCACGTCAAATATTTCATGGGTCAATAGGCCAAGAGCAAATCCCACTCCGTATTTGGGCTATCTGTTCAAGCTCGAGTAAACATGCGATGTTTCACAGCTACGTGTAGAGGGCGAGATTTATGGTGAAGGAGGGCGTCCGTGGGTCTTGAATCGTACTCTGGTCTGGCGATAGGTGGCTCCGCAATCACACCGCAACTAAGAAATCGACGTCAGAAAGTGACGAGTAGTTAGACTGAAAGCCCGAAGGATGGACGGACAGTCCAACTGAAGGAAATCAAGCTGGTGAATGTCGAGAACAAGGAGAACAAATTATTTAGATATCTGCTTATAGGCCTAGGCAGCGGTCGACAGCGTTTAAACAGAAGTGCGAGTGATCTACGACGTGGTGATCTAGGCGAGAAATGAAAGACTTATTCAGGGGGAGGTATTTATGCCTAGAGAAAAGCCGGGAGTTTGAAAGCAAAATCGCATCGTGAGTTGAACATGTGCATGAGGTCGTAACGGGCCGAAAGATCCGGATTTTTTTTAAGGGAATAGGTCACAAGACTTCACCTGGATGGTCCGTGCGTGATTGACGCGTCGTCCTCGATTGACGCGTCACGGTCACCCCGGTTTCCTTATATAGCGGACTTCTGTTTTTTTAGTCTCCTTTCTTCCTTTCCACCAGCCTCTTCTCTTCGCTCTCCCGTATTAGGATATAGGAAGTTCGTGTGGTGCACACACTCTCATATATTTCGGCGCTAAATCGCACGTGGCACTCCATGTCGCGCTCGGCTTATGTCGAGGTGCAGTTACGGTAATGGTTCATGTAAATTATATGCCGTGCGTTCAAGCCTTCCTCAGAAATTCAGTTCATATGGTGCTCACAATGCAGACGCCGTCATCTCGACTTGTCGTGGAACAGTCGCTCCGGACACAGCTAGTCTAATTCCAACTTCCAGGCCGCCCGAATGTTACCTCACCAAGCAATTGCGCTGATTCAGGACGAGGGTTTCGTCTTCTTGGCCTTCCTGCTATCAGTCCCATTCACAATAACCTATGGTCAGATCATAGATGCCCAATTGCGCCGGCGTCTACGGGCTCCTTCGTACGTCATTTTTCCTTATAGCCTATCCATCTAACCCGCATACAGTCAGAAATTTAGAAACTCCGCAGCCAGTTGGCAGGGGTCTACTCGAGTTCGCGGATGATCTACCGAGTGGAGATGCGCATGGATCCCTTTCGCTCGCTCTCCTGATGTTCTCAGGGGGTTCAACGTTCACGAAGGACGAGAAGACATCGCCATAGTTAACGCCATCGTGAAGGACATTGGCCCGGGCCGCGCGGGCTTCCCGTAGCTCGAAGAACTTGCATACACAGTGCATTATCTGATAACTTTTGACAAGTTACTCCTCGTTCTGGATCGTGTCGAGTGTGCGTCATCGTCGATGAACAGGAGCTGAAGTTCAGCATCCTTCTCCCTTTTTCCTGCGCACGCCCCTGTTGTTTCGACGTATGAAACTTGCGACCGGAGTTGAGGAAACGAGGAGCGCCGCTATTACCTTGTAGGTCTACTTTTGTCTTTGGACCCTCGCACGTTGACGATCTTGTACAATTGCTCGGCGTCTATCGGGAAGAAAAAAAAGTTTCCGCTACCTCCAAGCCCCTGTTGGACGCAGATTCATCATCGATGCATCTATCTCATGCAATTCACACGCCGTGTTTTTCAAACATTTTCTCCTCACTCCAGCGGGAAGGAAACTCATCTTCAAGCTCGTACTACCCTAGATGCGATATACACACCACTCATGCTCGGCTCTTGAAAAACTTTAACATCACCACCGCCTAAGATGACGATCCTGAACGTGGGCCCATGACGTCGACTGCAACGCGGCGAGTGACCCTTCGCTCCTGTTGGAGTGGCGAGGAAGACTCTCGTCAAACACCGCGGCCATCGAGTCGAGGATCTTCCACCTGACGGTCTACAATGTGGCCCTGCTCACGGAACTGCGTGGAGCATTGACACCATCGTGAAAGTTTTGTTGTGGAGCTAACTCGTCCTGAGTACCTTCACTTATTTATCCGCGTCGCTCATGACTGATCTTATGAGAATACTAGTTTATGCGTTTATCGACGTTGACTGTCGATGGATCTAGAGCAAGACCTCCGTCTCCTGAGTTCCGAAGTGCACTTGCGCTGGGTTTCAAACATTTCCACCCTGAACTCGGCCATCCAGCTTCACGCGGTGCAGTCTACCTGTTCGATCGCTTGACATTCCAGCGAGTTGTTCAATGTGGGTGGAGGTTCATTTCAGAAAACAATATGGCTTTATAAATCCTTTTCTTTCGTTGCCGGAGGAACGTGCCTAGAGAAGCAACCCTCCCGCGTCACTGAAATTTGTACCCGCCGTGTGTCATAATTGAGAGATAATTCTAGGACACAGTGCGTGTTTTTTGACACCTTCTGCAAGCCGTTGACAACCGTGACGAAATGCAGGATTGGAGGGAAACCGGCCCGGGGCGACGATCATCCCTGTGGGGTGGTGTTGTGCAAAAGCTTTGGAAGGTATTCCAAACAGAGATGCCGAGTCTGAGGGAAAATGCGTTCTTGCCCTCCGCCAACTCTCCGCTGCTCGAGAACCCACTCCTTCCTGCGAAATCGATAGCATTGGCGCTTCGCAGAAAAGTCCCACCCACCTTCTCTGCTACTCCATCCCGACACGACCTACCGTATCGATTGAATCGCCGAGGTCGACACAGCTAACGTGAACGACGACGACGGAGCCGCGGATTCCATTGACTCCATCGTCCAGATTATTTTCGCCTGATTCAACCTCGCCTGCGTTGTTCCGAACCGGTTTGTGCACGAGGCCGTCACGACGTCAACCAGCTCCACCCTAATAGTTCGTGCACGCCGGTTTGCCTCCGCGTTCGGATTTCGGGACTCAGTTCACGTACGGAATCTCTTGCACTCTCTCGACTCTCCCAGCTGCACAGTCAGCCTTCTCTAGTCAGGCCCGTGCATAGTTCGCCTCTGCCCGCGATCCGACTCGTCGTGCCGCGAATCATCCTACCGTCGACCAACGTAAGGCAGCTGCGCCGCCGTTTCGTCTGACCAGGCGGGAGCCTTGCTATCAGCACTCCGATCAACACCCTGCATCAGGGCATCGAGGCCGCTGCCACCACCCATTCCTTCCGCCTCATACGCCATTTTCGACCCCATTTGGCGGATTTCTGATACCCTGACTTGGGTTTCCAAAACCATCACCCGTCTGTGGAGAGCGGTTAATACACAGCGCTCTTCTCCCAGCCAGCGGCACCTATTCATCTCCCCCATCGACGTCCGATCTGTGTACGAACCCTGGCTTGATTCATATAATTGCCTTCGTCTTCTCTTCCTCGTCTTTGGATCCCACACGTTCATGCCAGGCGGCCAGGGTATTGCGCGGTCAATCGTAGGCGTACAGCAACTTCCGCATTGTATTATTAGCTCTGTATTTCAGCGTCCGCATCTCTTCTCTCCTCCCTTCTTCCTTCCTCAAACACACCCTTGGAGCGATTTACGTTCTCCCTGAGCCTACCGCTCAGTCTTCTTTTCGTCATAGCTTTAATTTCGCTTTCTTTCGAAACCACCCTCCGTTTCAAGCCTATTTCATTGACAGCCTGCCCTATTCCTCATCTCCTCGCCTTTTCGCCTACCAATGGCCCCACGGGCGCCACCACCAACACCGGCAACGGGGTTCCCTCCAGCTGCGTCACGATCGCCCAGTAGCGGCTCATCCTCCAGTTCTTATACCCCCGCCGACTTTTCCTACTTCTCACCAAACGCCCCTCTGACGAGCAGCGCACCAACATCGCCGTACGCCTCCGCGCCGGACCACAACCGCCCGATTATCACTGCTTCTGTCACCTCTCGTCCAGGGAACACGATGAACGCTGTAGCAGCGAGCCCACACAACCATTACGCGAATCGGTACCACACCCACCCTCCGCCTCCGCCTTCGGATGTCCTGCAGCAGTTTGCATTGCACATCCCGCCTCCACCTCCTCTATCTCTGTCCCTGTCCTCCAGGCAACACCACGTGTCGCCGTCTTCCTCGAACACGTCCTCGTCGAGTGCATCGCCGGTATCACCAATGCGAGGCGGCGGGGCGTCCCAGCAGCCGGCGCCGACTCCGGAGATGAAGATCCAGAGCGAGCCGCACGTGCATATGCTGAGCGTGTTTCTGCCGCGGACTATCTCGCCCGAGATGGTCACGATCTCTGCGAACAAGGGCGATCGGTTGAGGGTAGTTGCAGATGCATGGCATATGGAGGATGAATGTGAGTGTTCGTTCTTCTATCTTGTCGGTTTTTGCATTTCTCCATCGTGTTGCGTCCCTCGTCTTCCATTTGCCTGCCCTGTACTCCGTCTTCTTCACTCGATTCGCGCCTCCCATTTCCTTCCGCGGTCTTTCTCAATTCCCGACTGACCCCCTCTCACAGGCCACTTCGAATGGCAGATCTCGTTCCCACCATACGACGTCGACATCGCGAAGGTGCAGGCCAAGTTTGACCCCGACGGGCGCCTGACGATCGCTGTAACAAGGAGGCCGAAGGGTGCTGTGGCAATGATGGGGATGGGGATGGGGAGACGGTAGATTTTGGGAGGAAGATGACTGAGCGTGTTTGATGAGGCAGAGCAGAGTCTGCGATGAGGGCGAGGATGGAATCAGAGGGAATATGGCGGAAGGGTGGAGGCTGTGGATGCGAGGAGGGTTATCAAAGGATGGACCGGAACCGCACACACGATCTTCGGTTTCGATACCGGACACACGCTTCCGACACGAGGACGAGGGTGTAGAAAGAAGGGAAGGATGTGGATGGGAGAAGACGAAAATTGAACCCCGCACCGGCCACGCGAGCGTAACAGGAAGCCTCTGCGACGATCTATCTTCGTGTCCTTCGACGAGTGCCGTCAGCCTGATTGGCATCGAGAGATGAGGTGTTTTTAGCATCGCCTGGACCGAAGGTTTTCGCAGATGGTCGATCATCGACGTGTGTAGATGAAGGTATGGAAGGACGAGGGCGATGTCGCAGAAAATAGTGCAGGAAGGAGCGACGAAGAACGAAGAACCAACTTAAGAATGACAAGAACCCAGCATATAACATGTGCTCGAAAATTACCTCCACCCCGTTTGCCTCCCTTGATGCAACTCTTCGACGGGCCAATCCTGTTCTACCTTCGTCCTGCCTATCGGTCCCAATGCCTTATCCGCTATCCGCTATCCGCTATCGACTTTAGCCTGCAGAGACAGGTGTTCTATTGCTATATTATTGGACTACCATGCGTTCTGTCTGCTTGCTTGCTATCTTATTACTTACGATCTCCTTCTTTCTCCTTTCTTCCCGCTTTCGACTCTCTTACTCGACACTTGCCCGCTGCACTCACCCACGTACCACACATCACCCAATATCCCACTTGTTCTTGTTACCCACCTTACACGTTCCACATCCCATGTTTCCTCTCCAAGATTATGCAGAAGTCTTCGATCTCACTCAATTTGCTATCACTGCGCACCCGCACTTCGTTCACCATTGTCTCTCTTAGCTTGACCTCTTCAATCCACCGTATGCACGATCTTGTATTTATTGTACTTAGAGGCCAAGTCCAAGTGTATTTATATAAAGAATAATAAGCCGCTGTATTGGCGAACGAGTTGGTGGGATGAAAATGTGTTAGATAGGGGTATAAATGACGCGACGCGACGCGTTTGATTGGACCAAAAGCAACATGTTGCACGTTTCACACAACTGATGTCGTTGATTGAAAAACCAGTCGTAATTTCTTAATGTCCGTCAATTGACCATATGTAAATCTATCTTTCGGAGCCTAGCGCGCTGTGCATAGAGTATTCCTCTGCCTCCCCATCAAATAGGGGCTGCTCTCCGAAACCGGTCATATCGATCACGTGAGAAATGAACTAACGTTCTTCGCTTTTACAACTCTTTTGCCTGGCAGCCTGACCCATCACCAGTTCTTCGCGATTGCTCTGTGCCTTTTGCTTTCTTCTCTGACTTATTTCAACCCCTATCGTTTCTCTTTCTCTGAGCGCATCACCGTGGCTAGGGTCGCTTCAATCGAATATGCCAACGACGCGTCTTACTCTCGGTGACTACTCTGCGTGGGTTAAAGTTGCAGGCGAGGAAATTGAACACCATTCCATCGGGTGAATGAGGAGGAGAAATCGGCCAGCTGCTGGATTGCTTCGGAAGAAGGCAAGGTGAGAGCTGTCCTGACTTCTCTTATTACCCCTTTACACGATTGCCTACACAGGCCTTTACTGTTGACGTTCATAAGCTCCACAAGAATTTTCCTTGCGCCTCCCATCTTCACGTTGACGGAAATTGGATGTTAGGAAGAGTAATTCCTAACGAGTCCCTCTCACCGGCCTCCTTGACCGGTACTCAAACCGGATTGGAAACTGAGAAGCCGTTTTTGTTCACTTCGATGAAGCTGACAGGTTCATGTCGCCCTTGGTGCTATTTTACGTTCCTTTCTTTTTCTGACCATATTGATTAACAGATGACGATTCATTCCTGTCAAGCTCGCAAACAGTGAGAGACATCGGCGAGATCAAGATTAATGTATACCGTATTTCAAATCTTCAGGACCAGGAAAATCCATTGTACAATGGGACAGTTCTCTCCGATGATAAGAAGGTCCACGAGCGCGCAAAGAAGGCAACAGAACATCGAGTTAAGTAAGTATCCGCCCTTCTCGAGTCAGGGCCTAGTGAAAACGGACCTATGCTCTAGATCAGGCGAAGAAGTGAAAGTAGCAGCCTGTAAGTTGCAGAGCTGCACAAGGCACGAACAAGTAGCGAAATTCGTCTTTCGTTATCGTTCTTCAAGTCAGTAAAGGCTCTCTTCCCTGTATTTTGCGTCCTAAGAAGGCCATTATGGTTCAGGGATGCTCCAAGCAAACGGGTTGATGGTGCGAGAACCTTCACCAGTTGAAGAGTCTACCTCTGGCAAAGGAGACACACGAAAAAGAAAGTCCGAGGTCAAGGAGGAAAGCGAGGAGGAGGAAGAAGATACAGAAGAAATTGAGGCAAGGCAGGAGGAGGCTGAACTTCTGGTGCGATTGTATGCTCTTAGAGCCCTGATGGGAACTAATTATTTGTTTCCAACCCAGGCACGGTTGGAAAGTATTCGAAACGCAAGGAACGCCAGAAGCCAAACGAAACCCCCCAAGAAGAAAATAAAGGAGGAACCTCGGCCTGTGTTTATGCGCGGGGAAGTAATCGACCTTACCTGATCCCTGTTTTGGGCTTCACCCGAGGAATAGTGTCAAGTCAGATGAGGTTGAAGCCCCTTAAGTCCTTGTTTCACGCCAGTTGACACCATGCCTTCGTGCCAACAGTTGTTCATTGCATCTTGATCCAATCCTCTTTTATATCCTCGTAGTAAGTCTTGTCCCATTTCATGTTTTTCTGTTTACGTTTACTGACCTGGTCTAGTTCAATTTTGTATATAAGTTTATTAGCACCCTGTTCTTGGAGTAATCTACGACAGGACGCCCTCTTAAAAACTTCATAAATAAACGAAATACTTCGCTGTCAGTGTTCATGCTAAGTTAGCTAACCCACAATGATCAGGTGGAGCTTCTCAGATACTTCAGCACTGTTTCCCTTGACTCACCTCTAGACTCACCTCTAATATCGCTTTACTGTGAAACGTCAAGTCTGAAAATTTTGCTCTCGTCTAGGAATATTCTGAGGATTCGTTGAAACCTATGGCTTTTCCTCAACGACAACAGTCTGCCTATTGATCACGTGGAATGACGTCGGTAAACGAGACCTGACCAAACGCTGAGCACCTTGCTTTAAGTTTCCACCACCGCTGTTGGCCCTCGTCCTTCCCAAGTTCTTTGCGTTTATTCTGTGTCTTCTTTGTTTGCTCCCTAATCTCCTTTGAAGTTTCATCTCCTCTGAACACGGCGCCACCAGGGCTGCTGCTACCAATGCCAGATATGCCAAAGACACGTCTGGACTTCGGGGATTACTCTGCGCGAGTCAAAATTTCAGGCAGGGAGATTGAACATCACTCAATTAAGGTGGACGAGGAGAAGAAACTGGTCAGCTGCTGGATCGCTTCGGAGGAAGGCAAGGTAAGAAATGTTCTGGCATTTCAAGGAAAGCCGCAACCTGGACTTTGCTGCCCGCCTAGGCCTTTGCCGTCGACATCGAAAAGCTTCAAGCGAACTATCCTTGCTCTTTCTATCTTTTCGTCGATGGAGATTGTGTAACAGGAAGGGTACTCCGTGCCGATTGGATCAAATCGTTTACGATATCTGGCACTGCAACTGGCTCAGAAACTGAGCAGCCTTTTTTATTTTCTCGTTTGGAATTGACAGGTTCTTCCTACTCTCAATTCCATTCTGCATTTTCTTTTGGATTGACCATGTCGCTTGTTAGATGACGACTCGTTTCTGGCAAGCTCGCAATCGGCGAGAGATATAGGCGAAATAAAGGTTGAAGTGCAGCGTGTTTCGAATGTTCAGAAAGCGAAGAATAAGTCATTCACCGGAGTTGTTCTTCCGGGAGATCAGAAAGTCCATGAACGCGTAAAGAAGGCAACGGAGCATCGCGTTAAGTTCGTCCATACTTTTGTTGACGAACCATAAGTTGAAATTAGCAAAGGTTAGGCCAAGAAGTGAGAACGGGAACTCGCCCTGTTAATAAATTCGAAAAGCACGAAAAAGTGGCCACGTTTATCTTTCGCTATTGTTCTTTGGGTCAGCGAAGTCTTCCCCGTTCTGTGACACGGTCTAATCTGGGCGCTACCATCTAGGAATGCTCCAAGCCAACGGGTTAGCTAAGCGAGATCTGGCACCACTCGAGAAATCCAATTCTGCTCCTGATAAGAGGCGAACGCGGAAGAGAAAGTGCACGATCAAGGAGGAAAGCGAAAATGAGCGGGAGGGTCCGGAAGAAGCTGAGGCAAGACGAGAGGAGACTGAACTCTTGGTATGATCACATGCCCATTCCCGGTGGAAGCTAATTAATCGTTATCTATTATGAACTCAGGCGCAGTTGGAAAGTATTCGAGCGCGGTTGAAAAATATTCGGAACGCCAGGGACGCCAGAAATAAAGCAAAACCGCCCGGAAAGAAAATCAAACAGGAACCTAAGCCGGTCTTTTTACGCGGGGAAGGGATTGGCCCCTCCTGATCTCGTTTTTGGCACTTTCCGAGAAATGGCGGTAAGTTAAGCTTTAAAAGGTCGAACCCTTGTAGGCTCTGGTTTGCTCCGGGCTGACATCACGTTTTTGTAGTAGACATTTGTTACATCCCAATTCAATCCCTGTATATCTCATCACAGTAAGTCTCATTCTTTTTTATGTTCCTCTCTTTGCTTACATTACTAGCACTTTGTTCAATAGTTGTTTCTGTAAATTCTTGTAGCATCCCGGTGGAGTAATCTGTAATCAAACACCTCTTAAATTGTATTTAAGTAAAGGAAGCCATCACCTGTTTGTGCTTGCAAATGATAAGCAGCTGGAAAATCTCAACTAGAAATATTTCAGCACAACCAGGCATTGAGATGGTCTTCCTATAGTGTACATAGTCTTCTCATTCACACATTCATCGATAAGTCCATCTTCCTCTCAAATGGATCCAAGGGCTCGGAAAGCTACCAGATCCATGTACCCACATCTATAGGGATATCCATTCACAATGTGCTTTTATTTCCTCTGCCACCTGGCTCAGTCTGATATGTTGCAATTAGCTCATTGAAATGCCAACGAAACGACGTTTTTTTTGCTATCTATCTTTCCGTTGGAGCTTACTTTCGAGACTTGATAAGTTTGACAAAGGGTTCTTCACTCGCTTCCCCTTGCTTAGCCGTGGCTATAAAGTTTCGCAACATGTTCCACCTCTTTGGGAAATTTTGGAAAGAGAACTGGCGACGCCAAAGTTTACCCTTGGCCACATGAGGTGCTCTTCACTAAAGATTCTTTGAGGTATTTCCCTCGCTATTTGCCTAAAGTCGTTCATGCCGAGAACTTCTGGGCCAAGCATCGTCGACTCTTTTGGATGTCTTTTCCTATTTGGGCTATTTAGGATACGAAGGATGCGAAGAACTTCAAGAAGCCCGGAATGTATTTTCTCGGCGAGCATCCTTAACATATCACTGCGTCAGTGAACCATCTATCTCCGTCATCGCAAGATGCGAGGGTGCTTTATGGGCAAAATGCCCGCTTATCGTTTGTCGAGGAGCAGGTGTCTAAGCCGACTGGAATCACCGCTTCGGTGACAAATCGATTACTAAGGTGCTTACATGGTTTCGGACGGCTATCCATGTTTCACAGAGGTCGAAGCGAGTACAAGTAGGACCTGAGGGGGTCCCCATTCTTATCCAGAACTCAACTTCCACTTCGAACGACAAGTTTCGACCGTATAGCAACATGGCTTGCACTCAAAAAGCTCTTCTCCTGGACAAGAAATTTGGCACCTTCGATGTTGGCGAAATCGATGTCTACAAGCCTGGTCCTGGAAAGCTCCTGATCAAGGTGCAATCCGCCGGCCTGAACCCCGTCGACTGGAAAATCCAGCAGTACGGAATATTCATGCAGGAATACCCAGCGGTGGTGGGGACTGACATCGCAGGAGACGTCGAGAGGTCGGCGAGGGAGTTACCGACTTCAAGAAAGGCGATAGGGTGTGAGAGTCCCTCTACTTTTGTCGTTCGAGTAAGAGGTGATGAGAGTTCGTTCTATATTTGTAGGTTTCGCCAGAGTCACTTTGTGAACAAGTTCGGTGCCTTCCAGCAATGCGCTATTGGCCTAGCGTCGACCGCATCAAAGGTTCGCGTCCCTTCTGGAATCCACGGGAGTAGGCGCTGACAGGAAAAGTGTCCAGATCCCAGCTAACGTCTCCTACGACGGGGCAGCTACAATCCCAGTGGCGCTTAATGCAGCGTATGTTGGCTTCTACAACGCTCCTCCGCATGGAATGGGCTTTGCTCCTCCTATAACGCCAGAGGCGCGAGGTAAATATGCCGGAATGCCCATCGTCATCCTCGGAGGCGCCAGCTCCGTCGGTCAAATAAGTTAGTAAATTGAACACTCATCGTATTGTGAGCTGCAATTCATCGGCGACCGCAATGCAGCGATCCAACTCGCCAAGCTCTCTGGCTTCTCCCCCGTCATCACCATTGCCTCGCTCGAGCACACCGACTTCCTCAAATCCCTCGGGGCAACACACGTTGTTGACCGGAATCTCTCCACCTCCGAGGTTGCGGGGTGAAGTAGCCAAAGCCACCTCTACGCCGCTCAAGACCGTCTTCGACTCGATCTCGTTGAAGGAGACGCAAGAGATGGCATTTGAACTCCTCGCACCGGGGGGGGTTCTCTTGGCTGTTGTACTGCCCCCGCTGGTTCCTGTGGATAGTGCCGATGGGAAGCTGGGCGACTATGGAGGTGCCGCACAACAGGCCGCTGGGGAGAGGTGCTTTGGCATGATAATTTGGAAATTTTCGTCGAGACTGGTGCCATCAAGGTATGAGCTGATTTTTGGATTCTTGACAGGGTCTGACACCGTTGTGGCCATGTTTGCAGCCGAATAGGATTGAAATTCTGCCTAATGGGCTCGCTGGAATTCCGGATGGACTGGTTTGCCTGGCAGGTGTCGAGGCTAAAACTCGTTGCCCGTCCACAAGAAACGGCTTGATGTCGTCGATCCTGGTGAAGTTGAGGGCTACCGCCTTTCTTTGCAACACGTTGCGACTGAAGAATGAGAAAGGATTGTACATTCACCGTCAATAGATACATACAGATCAAATAGCCTTCCTCTCCAAGATCCACAGCTTATCGCTCTTCTTGAGGACGAAGGATTGTGTCAACCTCGTCCACAAGTCGGCGGCCTCTTTCCTTCCTTTCAAAAGATTCCAGTCAATCCAATAGCGATCAAAGCCTTGTATTGCTTCCTTCGTCTGCCAAATCTCTCCGAGAGACGAATTCTCAGGAGAGATTTCTGAGATGAGATGTGTGAAGGGGGTCGAAGGAGAAGTGAACGACGTAGGAGAGAGATTTTCTGTTTTGTTGTATATCCATGGAGTGCCCGCCGAAGAGGGGGAGAGGTATGGTGGAGAGTTCAGGTGTAGGAAGAGTGATGCACCGGATTGAGCCGCGAGGTTAGAGATGTGAATGTGTGCAGGCGTTGTTAGATGCCCAAATGTCGATGGTTGTGGGCGGGTGAATAAAATACGTGTGGTGATTGGGGCTGTTGGGATGGCGGTATAGAGCTGGTGGAATCGAACCATGGCATCGCCGCCTGGGTAATTGTTGACTGAGGCTGCAGTCAGGAGGACCTGGTAGGCGAAGTTAACGCCAAGTATGCCAGCGGCGGCGATGAGGAAGACGAAAGGTTTGCGGAGGCGAAGCCTGTATACGCAATGAGCTAAAGCTTCAGTCAGGGAAGTGTATGATCTTACACCCAAGTCATTCCTAGGCTGGCGGCAATGTTGAATATGGGGACAGTGTACACGATAAACCGCCATTCTTTGTGCCCCAAGCAGCTCATCAGGCTGATAAACACTAGAGGAGGAATGATGAGCGATCGAGCTTGTCGATCGACAATGAGGCCGAAGATGGAGAGTGGAAGGCCTGCAGCTAGAAGTTTTGGAAGGGACAACACGAAATAGGTGAGCGGTGGGGATGTCTGAAGGAAGCGGCTTTTATTTTTTGGAAGACGGAAATGATGAAGCTGTACTCACACCCCATTCTGAACTTTTTCCCTCGAAGACGTTGAAATAGATTCCTGAGAACTCAGGCCACAGGAGCTCCTTGCCCCAGAAGTACGAATCGACCAATATTGTTAGAGCTGAAGGATCATTAGTCCGAGCTCGTCGAATATACAAAACAACAATACCGAGAGATAACAGTCCAGAGATTAGGCCAACTTGGACCAACCGCCAGAAAACGATGTGTCGTTTCCGAAGGAGTTGCAGGGACAATGGCGCAAGCAAGAGTGCAACTTCAGCTCTGAACACGACGGCGGTGAAGGTAAGGAGTCCGATCACCGCATTGAGATTTCGACTGGACTGTCGGATCATTCGTGGCGTTCCATTAATGAGGAAGTAGGTAGAAAAGTTGACTAGGTTTGTTATATGAGTTCTCAGTCACAGACTCAGAACATGGCAAGCACACCAGGTATCATCGCGAATGTATTTGGAACGGTCCTCCCCATCCAAAATGGTAGATGAAATTGAGAGCAGGTCAACGCAGTGAAGATGGAGCCTGCTGTCTTCCCGAAACGGCGTGAGGTCGCTCTTCGTATGGTGCAAAGTGACCAGGCACTCAGGCTTGCCAATATTAGACGAACTGTGATCATCGTCAACGTCTAGATGAACGTATCTACTTTCAACGTACCAAGGATTTGAAGATCGAACTTCGTCAACGTAAAGCCCATACTGTCCGCTGCTATAACAAATGGTGTTGCGAGCCACGCCAGGAGGATGCTGCCAATGAATGTTCGAGGAACTGCACCAGGAAAGGTGAAGTGGTCGTACTTTGGATATGTTCAGTGAGGTCTACCCGTCTACCCTCAAGCCGCAAGTGCGCACATTGTAGAGATTGTCGATCCCGACGCCATACATGAGGACGTCATGCGTTGCGTGGAGGTTGAAGCTTTCTTCGACTTTGGAAAACGGCGAGCTGAGAACGTGGAGCCATCCAGTGACGAATATCAGAGCATCCAGCCCTACGCTGAGCATGGTGGCAGCCTCTTTTGTGGATGTCAGCGTGTACTGAGGCTCGAGAACGATGGCCGCTCTTCGCATGGTTCGGGTCTGGGTTCTGTTTGAGGTAACTGTGTCATGTATGTATACGTCTGTATCCGGTAGCCGGGTGACGATCGTCCCCACACCTTGTCCCTGACGTTCACCCTACTGCCAACGATGGCGAAGGCCCCCACAAAATCGCCTACTTGGTTCACCTCGTTTTCAATGCGGGTGCTCCCGGCCTCTCTTTTCCTACTCTCTCTTTCCCCAACATGTACAGCAGCCCGAAGCTCATCACGGCATATGGTATCTACGAACCAGACATACGCCCCGGAGGTCAGTACACCCGCCACATTTCAGGTTTCATCGATGTTGAAACCATCTTCAGAGCTACAACGTCCTTTCCGACCTCGTACCTTGTACGTGCCCAGAAATAACGAAGTCAAGGTGCAATGCTCACTCTAGTTACAGCTAAGTGTCCGCCATGCTTCAATTGCATGCTGCCAGCCTTTACATGCGGCCAATACGCCGAGTGCAACAAATATGATGGGCAATGCAAATGTCCTCCTGGATGGTCAGGAATAGATTGTCTGACTCCACGTACGTTGTCTTGGTCTTCAGGCCTCTCCCTACACTTATCGGTCTTTCGGGTTCAGAGTGCGACTCTTTGGCGGATGGAGAACACCGTAAACCAAGAGGCGAGGGAGAGGCCTGCCAGTGCAAGGACGGTTGGGGAGGGATAAACTGCAACGGTGCGTAATCCAAGGTCATGGCGGAAACTTCGGGTTTCATATCGCCTTAGTGTGCCAGACCGACAATGCTTGCATCGGATTCCCCCTTGCGGGCGGTGTCGTCAACGGCGATGAAGAGGTCGCCAATATGACTTGCTACAAGGGCGGAGAGACTGTATTCAACAACCACCAGATGTGCGATGTTACTAGTAAGCCCGGTTTCTCTCATCCGGATTCGTGTGACCCTCATACGACGACTAGACAAGAAGATCCTCGACATGCTGCCAGACCGCCCGCCTCAAGTTACCTTCAGCTGCGACGGTCCTCAGAAGACCTGCGCGTTTCAATTCTGGACAGGCCAGGTGGAGTCATTCTACTGCGCCTTGGATCAATGCATATCGAAGAAGGAGACGTCCTATAACACCAACACAACAATATACGACTGCGAGAAGATTAAGTGCAGCTGTGTTCCTGGTCGCTTTATCTGCGGAGAAGATGGCAGTGTGGGTGCGTGTTCTGAGAGTGGTTCAGGCTCGGTGCTGTGTTTAGCTGATGCCCTCATGTCTATAGACATCGGAGAGTTCTTGGAGACTCAGATCAAAGGGCCTGCTACATTCAGTTGCAAGACGGGCAATGGTTGCAAGTTCGAGGAGCCTGCTATGAATGAGCTTATCGATAGCATTTTTGGTGATGGGTTCATCTCTCTAAAGTGTGATGGTGGCGAATGTTTGCACTATTCTCAGGTTCCAGGTTACGTGGTAAGTCAAAATCCATGCCCCATGAAGATGCTGCTGAAATTCCCTCAGCCGCCTCCAAAGCCCGATAACACCCGCTGGGTTGCACTGAGCTTTGCTGGGGTGATCTTTGTCGTCCTACTGGCCTTCTTGCGTGAGTCCTTCTCTGACGGAGACGCACTTTTCTCTCTAACATATATGCGCAGTTCTTTGGTATGCAGGACGAGCAAGGCAAGGCGGTGATTTTGGGCAGATCAAACTACCAGAAGCGGAAACTGCAAAGCTAATGGCCGACCACGTACCCGCCTCGTTATACTTCTCCAACATTACCTACATGTTGGGCGAGCGGACCATCCTCGACAACATCTCCGGCTGTATCAAGCCCGGTCAAGTCATGGCCATCATGGGTGCATCCGGTGCTGGCAAGTCGACCTTCCTCGACATACTCGCTCGCAAGGGCAAGATGGGTGCTGTCAGCGGCACGACGCTCGTCAACGGCCGAGAAGTCAGCGATGCACAGTTCAAGAAGGTCATTGGCTTCGTCGACCAGGAAGACACCCTGATGAGCACGTTGACGGTATACGAGACGGTGTTGTACAGTGCCTTGTTAAGGCTGCCTAGGGAAATGAGCATCGAGGCGAAGAAGTTTAGGACGCTGGAGACGATGAATGAGCTAGGGATTTTGCATATAAAGGACATGAGGATCGGCGAAAGTGGTACGTATGCCGGTTGCTTGAAAGACCGATTGTAGCTTAAGTCGTCCTCTAGGTCGTCGATCCATCTCTGGTGGCGAGAAGCGACGTGTGTCTATCGCCTGCGAACTCGTCACGTCACCCTCCATCCTATTCTTGGACGAACCTACCAGTGGTCTTGATGCCTTCAATGCCTTCAACGTCGTTGAAAGCTTGGTCTCGCTGGCTCGCAACTACAACCGGACCGTGGTCTTCACCATCCATCAGCCTCGCAGCAACATCGTTGCTCTCTTCGACCAACTTGTTCTTCTGGCCTCAGGAAAACTTGTCTACTCCGGCGAATTCTCCAAATGTCAAGAGTACTTCACATCGATTGGTCAGCCTTGCCCGCCAGGCTTCAACATCGCGGATTTCTTGAGTACGTTGCTACTTGCTGTACTAGAGATGAAGTTCTGACGTAGTCCCTCTAGTCGACATGACCATGCATGCAAGCGCCGAACCTCGAAGCACCGAATCCACGACGCCTGCCATCGAGGTTCCAACTCCTTCATCTAACGAGGCCGACAACCTCGGAGACCCTGAGCGTGGTGTACCCATCGTGCCGCACAGTGTTCCAATCTCCGTCAGATCCATCGTCTCCAACATACCTGTCGAAGAAACAGAAGTACCACCCGCCCAAGAGTCCTCATCCAGTTCGTCGACCAGCAATTATATCAAGCACAAGACATCCCAGATCTTCGATGCTGTCTTCAACAGATCGAAGCAACACAAGCCAGTGACTCCTGCCCTGGCCAGCCTCGTTCAGTCCTACGCCGATAGCGACATCGCAGCTGAGATCAAGGCTCAGGGCGAGCAGCTCCAGAGGGAAGTCATCCGATCGGATAGGCAGGCGAACGGAAATGGCCAGGGTGTTAATGGAGTCACGAATGAGCTCCCTGATGTGGTTCTAGAGACTTCGATGTTACGCGGAAGGAACCGGGCGAGTTGGGCAACGCAGTTCAGGATTCTCAGCGGAAGGGCGTTCAAGAATTTGTACCGCGACCCCGCTTTGTTGACAGCTCATTATTTGTCCGCGATTGCATTGGCTTGTGGGTTGTTTCCATTATGCTAGGGTAGAAGGCTACTGATCAGTTGGCTCTGCAGTGCTTTGCGGCCTGTTCGTCCACAACGTCACAAACGACATCGCTGGTTTTCAGAACAGACTGGGTTCGTTTCTTCTATTCCTCGCTGCTGCTCTCGCCCCGAATCGTCTGTTTTCAGGTATTTTCTTCTTTACCCTCGCCCTCTTTGGCTTCTCGTGCTTGTCGAGTCTCGGCCTCTTTGCTAATGAACGTGTTCTTTTCATGAGAGAAAGGTCAGTTGCAAATGCTACGAGTGTGGTTCTGTTCTGAGCGCGCCTGCAGGGCAAATGGATATTACTCCTCCTTTACTTATTTCTGCTCGAAGGTTTCCCCGTCCTTTGGTTCACGCCTGATCCCACTTTCTGATCCCGTCATTATAGATTCTCTTTGATATCCTTCCTCTCCGTCTCGTCCCACCCCTCTTGTTTGGAAGCATCGTCTATGGGATTGTCGGTCTTGTCCCTACTGTCGCCGGGTTCTGGAAGTTTATGCTAACCCTCGTGCTCTTCAACCTAACCACCGCGAGTGTGGTTCTCTGGCTGTCAGCCGCCTTTGCCAACGTCAGCGTAGCGAGTCTCGTTGGCACTCTGGTTATGCTCTTCAAGTATGTTCCCTTTTGTTGTGGTTCTAGGCCTCTGACTAACATTGTCCTAGTTTACTTTTCACTGGACTCCTGATCAACCGCAATAGTGTAATGCCGGCTTTGCGGTGGTTACACACCATCTCATTCTTCCATGCTGCTTTCGAGGCTCTTTCTGTCAACGAGCTGAGATACTTACAGCTCAAGGAAGTCAAGGTTTGTCGCCCGTAGCCTTTTTCTGTCCGAGAGCCAACCGTTCCTCTTTAGTATGGTGTAGAGCTCGACGTTCCTGCTGCAACGATTTTATCGACGTTTGGACTGCGCGCGCAGGTCAGTCCGATTCCGTCTTCATAGTCTTCGCCTTTTGCTCATCCTCCGTTCTCTGCAGTCGTTCTGGTGGCCAAACATTACCCTACTCGGAATCTTCTTCGTCACATTTACGACAGGAAGCTTCATCACACTACACTACTTCGTCAAGGAGAAGCGCTAGATCTATGTATTGATGTTGTGGAGATGGGGCAACTGTACATCTTTTCTTGTATCCACGTAAGTAATAGGTTACCCCACATGGTAAATGAAACAGAACAATTGCGAACAGCACTCGTTTGGAAGTTGAGTGATAAAATCACAGACGGGATGCCTCTTCGAAACGGTTCGGCTCTTCGCCAGGTAATAGTTATTGATGCATGGGCAGCGCCTCGAGTGGTTGCATTACGCGGCGTAGGAATTCATCGGCTTCCAGCACTCTTTCGTCTATGTACCTCCGCCTATATCGAGGTGCCCATCTGGATTGGCCTCTACATGAAGGGCTGAGTCGCCGAAGAAACTCTTTCGCCTCCATGAATTGCTGGAACAATCCGATCCGTGGGATAATTAGGCTCGGCACCTCGGCTTCTTGTTGCCCCCCATAAGTTGCAAATTTCTACTCAACTTTCTGCTTTTCAAGATCCCCAGATGCGACATGCTATTTCGACTAAAATTGATATTCAATTACAAAAGGCTCAGCGCTTGGCAACCAGATTCCCATAGTCGTCCATTTCAAAAGTCCTGGAGCTGTAGGGCTCTGTAGGGGATCCTGCTTATGTCGATCTATATCGATCATATTCTACACACATGTGTTCAGACCGTTTCCTGTGGATGGGCCACGAGCTTGACTCCGGAAACCTGGTCATTTTCCATCCTCTTTAAGCCATCTGGAATTCCTGCAAGGCCGTTGGGAAGCACTTCGTATCTGTTGGGCTGCAGTAGTCGTGACACTATTCGTGAGTACTAAATACCCTTGAATTTGAGTGGACAGCTATTCACCTTGAAGGCGCCTCTTTCCAAAAATCCAGTGATCTTGTCTTTATACAATGTTTCCAGTAATTCGATATTGGGTAGTATCCTGAGCGACGCCAGGACTCTGAGGATACTCTTGCCTTCACCCTTCACTACCTGGTTAGTGGTGATAACCATCTGTCCACCGGGGGCCAGAAGAGAGAGCCCCATCCTTTGCGTATCCTCAACGGCTATCGCGTCGTAGACGATCTTAACCGTTTTCCTATTTGTCGCCTTGTCGACGTGAAGCTTCAGCCCGTCTAGAGGGAGGTTCCTGTCTAGGACGTGCGTTGCTCCGAGAGACTGCAGGTACTCCGTATGCTTCAACGATGCGGATGTAATAATTGGGGAAAAGCCAGAGAGCTTCGCGAGTTGGATGACTGCCTGCCCGACGGAACTCGCGCCGCCAAGAATGACGATGGGGTCGCCTGTGTATTTCCCTTCTTCTGCTGGGGAAATCGGAGCTGAGAAACCTGCGCCATATGGGTTCTTGTTGTACAGTCCTACCCAAGCGGTGGAGAGCCCGACGGGGATCGTGGCAACTTCGTCGTAGGAAAGATGGGTTGGGATCTGGGGATCATGAGCAATCCAGCCAAATCCAAAGGGACCGAGGGGGCTTACCCTCGCTGTAGTCGAAGCAAGTGCGAGCGTGTACTGCTGGAAGGCGCTCTTGTTCTTGTCCCATTGGCTGGCGCAAAACCTATGCATGTTGTAAGTCTAGCAACGTTTCTATGAAAAACTTGTCAAAAGCGCTCACACTCTATCACCTTTCCTGAAGTCAGTAACGCCCTCACCAAGTTCTTCGACGTCGCCTGCAATATCTAAGCCCAAGACGGCTGGGTATTCTTCAACAATCACCCCGTATTTACGAATTTTCCAGTCCGCAGGATTAAGCGCCGCCGACTGGACCTTAATCAAGATCTCGCCAGGGCCTGGCTTGTACTTTTCGGTGTCGCCCACGACGAAGTCGGAAAACTTCTTGGGGACAAGGAGTGCTTTCTGGATAGCCATTGCAGCGTTGAAGGAATCGGATAATTAGGAGTCGTTCGTGAGCACCTGCTCTTTTAACCCCTCTCAAGTAGCTAATAGAGATGACTCAGTTATCTGTCAGATATTGATGATATTCGAAGGGTGGTGCCCTAATGGAGGAGCGATTAAACCATAAGTTCTTATTGTCATTTCACAGACAGGTTAAGTCGTAAACAACGCAGTGGTTCAGGCTTACTACGGGCAAGATGGTCAGTGACACCGCCATGACTGATGCAGATATCTAAAATAGGACGCATGCCGGATTGCGCAAGCTCCATGGCACGCAAGATGCAGGATTTTAAGCAGTCTCCTATGGGCGACCAACGAGCTTCAAACGCGAGATGTCTTCCGTCTCTAATTTCTTCAAGCCCGCGATGATCCCCGGGAGGCCGTTTGGTAAGACCTCAACTCTGTTCGGCTATGCAGCCAGGCAATGGGTCAGATTTCGGACGCTGCTTTCTTAAGGAGGACCGCACCTTGATTAGACCTTTTTCCAGGAATGACTCGAGGTGGTCGTGGTAGAAGATCTCCAGCAACTCAATATTTTCTGGCTTCCTCAGCATGCCAAGAACAACTATGCTTCTCTTGTTGGCGTCCAGCTTCAAACTCTCAGGAGGAGGCAGCACGGTAGCGAGTCGTCCAGAAGGTGAAAGGAGGTCTGCACCGATCTGCTGAGTGGCAGGCAGGGAGATGGAGTCGTACACAGCATCGATAGAAGAGCTTGTGAGCTTAGATATTTCGGCCTTCAGTTCAATGGATGAGAGGTTCCTGTCAAGAATAGCGGTGGCGCCGAGAGACTTCAGGAAGTCGGCGTGTTTGAGAGAAGCTGTGGTGATAATCGGGGAGAATCCTGATAACTTAGCGAGCTGGATTGCTAATTACAGGAAGGCATGTTAGTTCTTATCTTCGAGGAAGACGTTGTGAGAGAAAGAAACATACCAAATTGACCGACAGAGCTTGCGCCTCCGAGAATAACGACGGGTTTCCCAGCATATTTTCCTTGAGCATGAGGTGTGATTGGAGGTTCGAATCCAAGTCCATTTGGCTCTGTGTTGTAGAAGGCGACATATGAACAGGTGAGGGCGACGGGGAGAGTGGAGGCTTCGTCCACTGTGACATTAGCAGGAATCTGGATGGGTTGAAACAAGAAATAAGCAGAGGTCCAATGCCGGGCATATTTTTTACCTTCGACACCGTCGATGAAAGAGCTAAAGCGTACTGCTGGAAACCGGCCTTGTCGTTCGCATTGTACTGGCCTTGGGTTACACTATTTACAGATTAGAAAATAGGGGCTTCCAGCAAAATTTCAATTACTCACACTTGATCGCCCTTTTTGAACTCCTTAACTCCATCGCCAACCTCCTCCACTTCGCCAGCGAGGTCAGTTCCCAGAATCGCCGGGTAGGCGTCGACGAACACCCCATATTTCTGGATCTTCCAGTCAACTGGGTTCAGTGCGGCTGCTTGAACTTTGATGAGGATCTCGCCCGGCCCGGGTTTGTACTTGATCGTCTCGCCGACCACGAAGTCGCCGAATTTCTGAGTGAGGAAGATAGCTTTTTGAGTAGCCATAATGTCGTATTGGTCGCAGGCGGCGCTAGTTAGAGTTGGGAAGGGGGAAGAGGAGGGGATTTTGAATGTTCGAGATGATCTCCCAATCCGCGTGGTATTTATAGGACCCATCTTGTATGCTGTGATGTCATGGGACTAATAATCTTATCGCAATTGGAAAACTGTATGAGCAAGCGGATGACAAAGAATTCGACGATAAGAGCCAAGCAGCTTCTTCAGGATGTACAACAAGCTTCAGACATGATGCATAAGACTTGATTGTTTTCTATTCTGCGCTGGCTACGGACGGAGGGTCATCAATCCTCATCTAGATCGTCGAACTCCAACAGAAAAACCACCTTCAAGATGTGGCCATCTTCCAAGAAAGACGAGGCACAATCATGGTATAGGGATTCGTATTATGCGGAATTGACAGTAACCCCAGCACTTGGGAGATCCTCCTATTCCCAGTGATCTCCAAGCTCACATCGGAGCGAGGAGCGATGGGACGGTGCCTCCAGGAGCGACGATCTCCAGCGCAGCCTGCTGCATGGCCAGCGAGTCGACGGCGTCGAACACGACGTCAAGCGACTGCCCGTCTGTGACCTTCGCGATTTCGGCGGACAACTCAAGGGCAGGGAGGTTGCGATCTAGGATAGCAGTGGCATCGAGGGAGGCAATTGCGTCGGCGTTCTTCGGCGATGCTGTGGTGATAATGTGCGTGAAGCCTGAGAGCTTCGCGAGTTGTACGGCTGAAGCTTGGCATGGCTGTGAGAAGAGGGATTCAATAGTGATCAGGAGGTACCAGTTTGCCCGACCGAGCCCGCACCACCGAGGATCGCGATAGCTTGCCCAGCACACCTACCCCGACCTTCAAGTTCTGCTGTTGTTGGTGGGTTCAGACCCACGCCGTACGGTGAGGCGTTGTCAAGGCCGACATACGGCGTGCTGAGTGTTACGGGACGCGGGTTCGTCGAACGAAATATTCGAGGGATTCTATAGAATTAATACGTATCTGGCGATCAGCCCACATTCGTCAAGTTGGTGTGGCAAAAATACCTTCGTAGTCCAAGGCGACGCTGCAGGGCAATAGAATACTGCTGGAGGGACTTTGTGTGGCTGGCGAATAAGCTTCGTCCAAAACTGTCGAGGAACGCGTTCAGTCAAATCTAGAGGGTCGTCGAGTCTAAGATACGCACACTCTATTCCCCTTCTTGAAGTCAGTGACACCCTCGCCGACCTCCTCAACTTCTCCAGCAATATCTGATCCCAGTACAGCTGGGGACTCTTGAACATAGATCCCGTATTTCCTGATCTTCCAATTGAGGGCTGCGGCAGCTGGAACTTTGATGAGGACTCCCCAAGTCCAGGAGCGTACTTTGGGATCTCGGAGACGCCAAAATCACCTTGGTTTTTGTCCAGGAGCAGTGCCTTCTGTGTTACGGTGGACATTTAGTGCTTGGTGATGGCATTGTCAGCAACGATATTTAGAGCTTGCTCTGAGCTCTCGTGGGCGTCATTTTAATGGTATTCTTCAATGAGTGCCCATTCTTATCTTTAGTGCCTGGACATCGGTGGCGGTTCAGAAGAAAGAACATGAACGGGTATAGATTGTGCACTTCCTGATGGCCAGCGAACGCCGACGTCTTATCTGATCGAGGAAGGATCCGCCGGCATAAAGAAAATACTAAACGCGAGACCGAGAAATGACATTGATAGTGAGAGCATAAAAAATTGGGTGACTATCGTACAAATATGCGCAGTGTTCAATGGAAACAGCGGGAGAACTCGCGGACCTATGGATGTCTTAGTGACATCGGGATTCATGCATCATGCCTTCCTATGGCGTAAGAGTGAGGCGACCTCGCCGTCAGTGTGTGGAAGCGATTCAAGCAACTGACTTAGCAGCAGCCGGAACCTCAACATTCAATAGTTGTCAAGACATTATCGACCTTGCTGTTCGCAAGTGTGGCGCAGTGTTTCAAATATTGCTTAATCTGGAAGGCCAAGTAAACTGCCAGGAGAGCGGGTCGCCGGGTGCCGTAGCCGGATGATCTTATTCACGAGGCAAGCTTTGTCCGAGAAAAATATCAGGGATATATTCACTTCTGACTTCCTATGTAAGTTTCAGGAAATACCCGGTCATGCAGTCCCATTCACCTCGTCTTTGACCACCTGTGGCCATCACGTCGTGAATTTTCGATTCGTGTCTTCAAACAAAGAATTCACACCAACCTGAGTACATTGGATTTATTTTCAAACGCATTTGCCCCTGCAATAGGAAGCATCGCGGCAACAGGAAGCTGGTATAGATCGGCCAAAGTCAGATTTTGTTGACGCAAGCCACAATGAGCAAGCATGTCCACTTCATGAAAGACGGCGATTCACATCTCCGGCCAAATACTTCTGCTTGCTCATATCTGCATCTTGGAATCGAGGGTGGCCACGAGACTGTCGAATAGAGCTTGGTCTGTGACTCCGCCGTGGAAGTATTCAGTCATAGGTCAGCAACTAAATTGAATGCAATAAGTCAGCGAGAAGACACACCGCTTTACCAGTTTCTCGAAGACCAATTTGGCCGTTGTGTCATTGAAGTTGGACATCTCGCCCGAAACGGCTTGCTGGAAGAGAGCGTTCCCCTTCAGATCAGTAGGGATCAGACCCTTCGTGCCCTGATTCGGGTACTTTGAAGAGATGTAGCAGCAGATCGCACGGCTTTCGTACAGAATGAAGCCATCGTCGTCCTATGAATGAGAGTCAATTAAGATAGGAAGTGGAGACTTCTGTTCCTGCTTGAAGAGATCAATCGTGACGAAGTTGAAGGGTACCTGCTTCTCGTGGAGCAGAAGTGCGACACATTTCGTGCAAGCTGATGAAGGGTAACCGCAGAGCTTGAGGACCATATTGTTTAGAGAATTTGAGTTCAGAAGAAATTCAGTTGAGTGAGTGAAAGTTGAGTGATACCCTTCACGATAGAGCGTCCTGGTATTTATGCAATCGCAAGGTTGCCGTCATCGCTATGAAGCACGTAGCGATAGTCGTTTGCGGAGGCGTCGCGTTCTATGTTCGCAGGTATTAGTAACACCATCAGTGCCATATTGATTATACGTCGGGTGTCTTTCATCCGTTCAACGAGATTTTCTGGTTAGACACGCATTAGCGTTACGAGATATAATGACCAAATATTTGGCGTATGTACTTACCATTGCAGGGAGAGCGTGCTTCGTAGTATGTGAATACTAGCCAACGCCTTCGCGTGAGAGGATCGCGCACCGTGAGTGGATACTATGACTCGAGGCGCGAAAGTGAACAGGATTCAACACAATGTCGGGTTTGATATGAATGTTGGGGCACACAGAAAGGGATCTTGTGCTCAGCTCGACCTAGATCGGGTGTCAAGGATAGACAGAGGTTGGTAAGCATCTGGGGGAAAGTACATAAGGGAGCCAACTAGGTCTATAAAAAGGCGAAGAGGAATGACAGTCCTCTATCCCAGAAGGCGAGTCGTCTCATTGATTAGTGCGTCTCGTCCGTTGTTTCGGGCACCATCCTTCCATCTCCAGCTGAGGAGATAACGCCTCACCGACTGGTGAGACTTCTTCCAGCTCGACTGGGTGACTCTAAGCCAACCACGGTCGCGTTGTTCGATTCTATCGGTTCGGATGCGGTGATGATGGTCGACGGTGACCGCAAAAGCCGCGAAGGTGGTGAACACCGACGCTAGTGTCGTACTCGCCGTGATCATGAACATGATGATCATTTGCAGGCGTGCCGCCTGCTGGACGGACGAACCTCCAAGGATCGCACCTGTCATCATGCCCGGGATCGCGATGATCCCAAGAACACTCATACTGTTTATCGGCGGCATTAGGGCAAGCCGTAGAGCCTGTACGGCGAGAGGACGGCACGCTTCCATCCGCGATGCGCCAAATGCGAGGCAGATCTCGACCTTGTCCTTATTCACCCTGGTGAATAGTTGGTTGTGTCCTGGGGCAATCCAACATCAACAGCACTCACTGAAGCTCTTTGAGGATATAGCTGACAGCTACAACGATGCCCGATATAGTAGCCCCACAAAGCATGCCAACGATGGGAACTATCGATCGAGTTTAGGTTTATGAGGGCACGATGATAGAGTAAATGAAATCGCACTGTATTGGATAGGTGACCAGAAGGGTTCGACCGACATAGCATATTTGGCGCCGAGGATCGAGATCGGAATCGTCGATCCAAGCATACCTACGAGTACAGAAGGAAACTAGACCAAGTGATTAGGATGATGGTGGGGGAGGGGCGATAGTCCGCACCATGTAATGAAAACGTAGCGGAGATTTGTTGATAACTAGACGATGGAGGGGTCAAATTTTAGGAACGGGAGAGAACGGTCGCCTCAGTAAGTTTGTACCCGTTTCAAATGTACCCAGGAAGTTCAGCACAACTGCGGAAAAGTATCAGCAGTCGGCAGAACTGATGAGAAAAGATATTGTCAACTTACAAGAGATAAGCGCCACATTCCATGGATTCTGATTCTCAAAAACCTGCTGTAATAACGTCGCGACTATTGCAAGCTGTCCAATGCACCGCAACGCTGCAACCAGAAGCGAAGTGCCAATGCCGAGACGAAAGACGGTGGATACACCGACATCGAAAAGGATGAACGTAAGGCCGATATGTACCGACGTGAACCCAGGCCAAGTCGGGCGTTTGCGGCTCCTCAAAGGAATAGATATAGACATTATCAGACATGGATCTATCCCAAGTTCCTGGCAAGGGAGCCAGGAAGGTGCAGGTAAGAGACAAGGGTGGACCGGAAAAACCCGGATTAGTGTCGTCAACATGTGACGCATTCGTCCTCTTATGGGCCTCAGCTTCCCACTGCTCGCCATCTGCAAAGATTCGGCGTTGCCTAACCAAACTCATGGACGGGATGATTTTACGCCCACTAAAAGAGACCGCTGACAATAAAGAGGAGTCTTTGTTCAAAGACTTAAAGCTGTCTTGTAGCCTTGAACAAGTCCCTGAGAAGAACGTCCCTCAGGCTCTGGACGGTGATGCGCCGACGTCGACGTCGTACAGGCCAAAAAAGGCACATATTGAATCGGTCTGATACACAGGTATTGAACCACAGAAGGTTCCCAGCTGGCCAGTGAGGCGGTCACCCGATTGCTCTAGTAGTACGTCATAGCGCCTGAGGCAAGCAGGGATGCCAGAAATCTCTACTTCACTTACGGGTTTCTCTTATGGATACCCTTCGACGGTTTATAAGTAATGGAAATGGGGAACCGGAACCGGAAGGTTCAACGCATGAAGTACATGTTTGAAAAGGGTGAGGTACGAACTATCAAACACCTTTGCAGCCCCTTTTGTCGGACGCGCCATAGATTCGCCTTCATTCAGAAATACATGAAGTGTGTTCGTACTCTACTGGCGAATTGGACTCTACTGGCGAATTGGTTGAGAAGTCCGTCGGACCGAATGATGCGTCATGCCATTGTCACGTTGAATCTCGAGGAACGTTCCTTTTCGCTGTCTCCGACCTGCTTAATCAGGAAAGATGTATTCAACGTACTGCATTGGTCTCGACGGTCCGGGCTCACAACGACTGCGATTCCCTTCAAGCTTCATGTCTAAGCAGCTTCCATTTTCGCCCGCTTGAAAACACATGGCAACATCAAATCGACCCCTCGCTATTGGCTGGCGGTAGTCCGGTGGCTATGCCAATGCTTGCCAGCGCCAAATACGAAATATGACGTCTAAATCTCAGGGAAGCCTGAACGCAGCCGGCCAATAGGTAATTTTTACCAACAACCCCCATCTCACTTTCTTTATCGTTCAATCTGCGTACGTGTCAACTTACTGCGTTCTTCACAATATAAATACTAAGCCGACTGCAGATATGGGACTTCCTGCCCCTTGACCTCTCCTTTAACCCGTAAATCACGACCCCTATGTCTTATGTTGAACATGTCTACGCCATAGAGGCGGCAGGAACGGCCCAACTGACCTGGGTCAATGTGGGCATTGGTCTTGCCTTCATCCTCTTCGATGTCGGCGTATCTACTGTCTTTCGTCTGGGAATCGGATTGTCGCTCCTAATCGCGGCCTTCCGGTGTATTGGCCAGCTCGCCGTGGTGGCGACCCTGCTTCAGCGGGTATTTGAAAACAAAAACCCGTGGTTGGTTATCCTCATTTCCTGTGAGTGACATCTTCGACATGCTTCTTATCTCACTAACTCTTCCCCAGTCATCTTAAACCTCCTGGGTACGATTGAAACTGGTGAGTCGGTTCAACTTTAGACCTGGGCAAGGGAAAAGAGGGGCAGTGGACGACGCCGGTCTATAAGTTGGAAGGGGTATGGGCCGATGCAACATTTTCGTTTGGATGCTTCGTTTACTGGGCCGCTTTCCCGGGGATCCGGAATCTTCGAAGAGAGGTACGTAAATTGTCTCCGAAACCGTCATCTAGATGGGATACCGACCATTCCACGTCGTTTGGCTAACCCTCCACATCTTTGCCCAAGATCACTTTCTTCGAGTTCAAGGCGGCAACATCTCTGGTCATTCACGCGTTCATGCGTCTAACAACGCTCTGGAACGCTCTCTTCATCGACTCTTAGCTCGAATTGCAAGGTTTCGGATGTTGTAACCGACAAACCCTGGATCACACGCCCTTCAAAATTCGCTCCTCTTATGGAGCACGTTGGACTATTCGAATGTTCTTCCTCAACACGTTTCAATGCTCGCGCCGCGTAGTTCGCTCAACCTTCACACAACCTTCCATCAAAGGTTCAGCATGACCGCACCTGTCGGAGATAATTTTGGTCTCCTGCCCACTCGGACGGGGTTCAAGCTTTTCATTTCTTCGTCATCAACACGTTTTGGCCGCTTTCGCGGAGACAACATACGAACATCCAGTCCTTCCACCTGCCCTTGCCTAGGCTTTTCTACTCATTCTCGCCGAGCTAACGTGTTTTGCACAGTCATCAACAAGTCGCCGCGGCGATTCCGGTACATGGTGTGGCGCATCTCCTTGATGTCATCGTTGATACTAATTCTGGCCTAGTTTCCCACCGTGCTCGTAGCCATGCTCGGCTCAACGATCCCGATCTCCGTCCTCGGTGCCAAACACGCCATGTCTATCGAACCCTTCTGGACACCGATCCAATACAGTGAGTCCTTCATTTGCGCTATCACCGTTTCATCATTAAGTCTCGATGTCGATAGTTCCTATCGTTGGCATGCTCTGTGGGGCAACTATATCCGGCATCGTCGTTGCCGTGAGTTACATCCTCAAGGAACTTCAGTAAGTGAAAAGAACTATTCTCGTCGATACAAAGCTAATTCACCGGCAGAGAGAACCGTGACAAGGTCGAGATCTACCTCGCCTTTGGCGCGTCGAGAATAGAAGCCTGTCGGCCGCTCGCCATACAAGCACTCCGACTCGCGCTGACGCCGCCCATCAACAACATGAGCGTACTCGGTATCATAGCGATTCCGGGCATGATGACGGGAGCGATCCTCGGAGGGTCTTCTGTAGAGCAAGCCGCACGCCTGCAAATGATCATCATGTTCATGATCACAGCGAGTACGACGCTCGCGTCCGTCTTCACCACTTTCGCGGCGATCTCTGTCACTATCGACGATGAGCATCGGATAAGAGGGGATAGGATCGAGAAGAACGGGAAGAGCTGGTTTAATGTCAGCGAATGGAGCTGGAAGAAGACGGTGAAGGCGTTGAAGGTGACACTACCTTGGAGACGGAGGGAGGATGCTGAAAAGGATGGACGAAGCCGCGAGGGATCTGTTAACGAAAGATCACCACTTTTGGTGTAATGGGGTGTGGATGTGCAAGAGTGACGACTATCCTACTTGTACACTGTTGTCCTATCATTAATACTGCTCATCTGTAGTAATCTAGAATTCACCCAAAGATTGTCCTCGCTAGCGTGTTAAACGATGAAGCACCATTTGGTTTAGTCATGGTCTTAAGGTTATCCCAAAACAATCACAGTATAAGTATAAAGAATTAAATTCGTACCTTTCTCCTCTGCCGATTATGAGAATGGTTTACGACCAGCGCACATCGCCCGTAGATCCAGAAGTCCGTTGATGGGTAATCTAGGCGCCCGTGTACGTAATAGTAATTAGCCCAGCTGATGCAAATTGTACACTTCGATACCAAATTCAAGTTGGGACATCCATGCCATCGTCAACGAATTCACGCATCGGCAGCCATCGCTTCGACATGGAACTGCGATTAAGAGCAACGTTGTGCGCGGCTCTTACCAATCGATGTCTCACCAACGACGATCTCAGAACATTAGAGGATGACGACGGGTCAGCTGTATAAAGGGACAGACGCGTCATTTCAACTTCATAAAAAATATCTTCTTCCTTCCATCTACCTCTTTCTCGTACTTGACTGCAGCAGTAGCAGCCCACAAATATGCCCGCCACTCAGAAAGCCCTCCTTCTGCCCCAGAAGCATGGCGAGTTTGTCGTCGGTAATACTCCCAGTTATACGCCAGGACCCGGAGAGCTCCTCATCAAAGTCCATGCCGCGGCTCTGAACCCACTTGACTGGAAGATCCAGAAATATGGGATTTATGTCGAAGAGTTCCCCGCCATCCTCGGTCAGGACATCGCTGGAGAGGTAGAGGAGGTCGGTGAAGGCGTTACGGATTTCAAGAAGGGCGATAGAGTGTGCGTTTTGTCCTTCGTCTGCCAGATCATCTCCTGACTTCGTGTTCGGGAGACATGTAGTTTCAGACAGGCCCTCTTCTCAAGCCGTACGAACGGTTTCCAGCAGTATACGATTGGTCCTGCGTCTTCAACCGCAAAGGTGTGTTTGACCTAGGAAGTGCAGATCTTGGATACGGATTTACGTATCGTTCTACGCCGTAGATCCCTGCGAACATTTCGTTCGACGAAGCAGCGACACTTCCCGTGGTTCTGAGTGCCGCCTACGTCGGGCTGTATGGCGGGCCAACATTCGGGCAGGGTAAAACACCGCCAGTCACCCAAGAGGGTCAAGGAGAGTACGCCGGGCAGCCCATTGCTATACTCGGCGGTGGAACTTCTGTTGGGCAAGTCGGTACGTTAACCTCGACCATGAGCGCCTAATAACAATTTAATTGACACTCTTCAGCTATTCAACTGGCGAGGCTATCTGGCTTTTCGCCCATCATTGCGACTGCATCGCTCAAGCACGCCGAGGCGCTCAAGTCTCTGGGTGCCACAGCAGTTTTCGACCGCAAACTTTCCAGTGCCGAACTTTCCGCCGAGATTGCGAAGGTCACAACTGGAAAGTCGTTGAACGTCGTCTTTGACACTGTCGGCTTGCCAGTCACTCAGCAAACTGCGGTCGACATCGTCGCCCCTGGTGGCGCCGTTTCAGTTGTGCTTCCTCCCGACGCGAGTGTGAAGATCCCGGACGACAAGACAGTATACCAAGTTCTTAGCCTTTTGACGCTCCCACCGAACACAAAGCTGCTGGAGGCGCTTTATCACGATCATGTCACGACTTGGTTGGAGAAGGGTATTCTCAAGGTAAGCGCCCTCGCCCTACCAACGCCTCTATGCGATTCATGGGTGTTTGCAGCCCAATAGGGTCGAAATCCTGCCGAACGGGCTTGCGGGGATTCCGGACGGTTTCAAGAAGCTCGAGAATGACCAGGTCTCTCGCGCTAAACTTGTCGCTCGTCCACAGGAGACTGTTTAGAGCGTGAAGCTTGAAGGGTTGAAGCGCGAGCGGGGCGGATGAAGTGGTGATGTGACTGACATCCAAAAAATCTCACTGGTCGCCCTCAACGCCCCCACTCAGCATCTCCTCTATTCCAGCTGTCTTTTTCGAGTAGCAGACAGGGACAAAGACGACATGGACGTTGGATGGACGTGTGGACCAAGCAACTCAAGTCTCTCCGTCCGCGAACGTTTTCACAACTCTCCAGCATTCGCATGATATCCAAGGAGCGACACCACCCCTCCGTCCAGTTATCTCGTGACGAGCGCCGCAGGTACCAGCTGGACCTCCTTCATCTTGAACGACCACCTAGCCATCTATTGGAACCTCTACGCCCTCGTGGCCGCTGCCTCCTGTGATAACGTGTCCAGCGAGCAAGCAATCTCGGCCTATGTCTGGAAGAACACGGGAATAGGGAGAACATATAAAAGAGGGGAGGAGATGCGTTATCAAGGTCCTCGGAAAGGACATCACTCCTGTCTTTGCCTCAGGTGAGTTATCCAGTTTCTCCTGGACTTCTCCTGGATCAGAGGGATGTTGACGATTGCACGTAGGTCTTTGAGAGGCCTCCAACAGGAACGAATAGTAGAATGCCGTCCCGACACCTCGGAGAGGTCTTGTTCTGCCATCCCACCCCTCCCATCCGATATCAGCAGCAGCAATGGACCTTATTCGCATCGACCGGCAACAGGCCTTGCTCCTGCTCGTGTTGACCTTCAAATGCAGGTGTTCAAGCGCATATACCCACCCAAACGTGTTCTTCGCGGCTTCTATGTACCTTGTTCGGCGACTGACCAACCTCTTTCGTGTTCCTTGAAGTCCATTTATTGGTCTGATGCCTTCAGCCTCTTCGACTACTGCCCCATCGTGTCCTCTTTGTGGCTTTTCCCCCGCACCTCAGTCAACTTCGCTATCCGCCTGATCACTAGGTACGCACCCTGCAGTCGCCAACGCTCAATGTTCGATTTTTGGCTTCCTCCACACGCGCCGTCATCATTGGGTGCTCTTGATCCACTGCTTCTGTACACCCAAATACCGTCAATAACCCGGACTGAAACACCGTCTGAGCAAAGATTTATCTTGGTTCTCGCCGGAAATTCATAATGTGTGTCAAGTCTACCCGACATGTACGGAAAAGAATGGTAGGGACGAGAAGAACGCATCACTAGCCTTCTGCGGCAGAACCTTGAGGTAAATTCCTCCGGCTCTTCACTAAACATTGCTGACCGCACGCCCTTCGTTAGACATTCCTCTCGCTGGCGTTTCTTTGCTCGACAGCCAATGTCCTTTCAGGAAACCAATCTTCGTCGATGGTAGAAGGCCCTCAACTCAAGTTCTGCATCGCATTCTCCGTGCACCCGGCTCGTACATTTTCACTCCGCTCTCGTATGACACCCAGTTCTAACTTTCGAGCTCTTCCGTGGTCAGCTCACGATGTCCGCTGCTGGAAGTCGTGCAACGGTACTGTCTCATGGATATATGTACACCAGCAGTTCCATGATCCATCCTTCATCGTGAATGTCGTGCGGTTACCATTCAGCAATAAATATCGCAAAGTAAACCAGGAGAAAATAGTTCAAAATCTCGCATACAAACTACAAAGATTCAGGACAAGAAAGATATTCCTCATCCTCATCCGAGAGTTCCTCGAAACGGTCTCCATTCTCTTCGTACTGCAAATCGGCCTCCAAGCCTGCTTCGTTATCCTCGGGGATCCCGGTTTGTGGACCAAACTACACCGAGTACTTTCGTCAGCTCGTGTGTTCGAGTAAACTCGAGAACTGGGGATCTGGCGCACGTACCTTGTCCATGTAAGTGGCGATTGCTCTCTTAATGCGTCGTACGCGCCCGGGGAAGAATACAGAAAGTGGCCAGAAGTCAATCGGCTTCAAGAGGGCATTCGTGAGTTCGTCTGATTTCCCACCTTTGCGCAGAGCCCCGTCGAGGATTTCAAGGGTCCAACAACACATTTTCCGCAGTCCCCTGGGTTGTGTGTGGTGTATCTTGAAGCATAATTTTTCTTGTATCCTGTATTCAGGGAAGTTATAGTACGACCCTCGGAAATTTCGCCACCTTTGAAGAGGGGTAGCAGCCTGTGTCCGCCATCTCCACAACCAGGGTGAGTATCTTGACTTTCTGGCAAAGACTGTAAGGCGGCGTAGGGTTTGGCGTGTCTTCCTTCTGGAACAACATTGATACAGATATTGTATACACGCAATTGCAACACGTGCGAGCCGGTCAGACAATATAGGATCAGGGGCAAGTTGGTTCATAAATGCAGTGATGCCCCCATGCAGCATATTAACAGCAGGTCTGATATCCTGGCCCGAAAATAAGAAGTAGGAATGCAAGGTTCTGTAGTAATTGTCTTCCCAGTTGAGATTAGAGGGGTTAAAACCAAAAAGGGAGGCACATAGCTTCTTCCATAGATAGTCACTGTGGGAAGCGTTGGCGGTTTTTAAAACTGCATCGGCCAAAACTGCCCGGGAATGGCGGTTCCTTTAACCGTTTGAGGAAATGTAAAATTAAACGTGTCTAAAAATAGCGAAATAGCTGCCAATCGGGAGTTAAATTCCCCATCATCATGACGTCGTGACACTTTTACACGCGCAGGCCGCGGCCTTTCATGACCACGCCAATCGATCGCGCACAACTTCGTGTTGAAGTCACTTACTCAACGGACTTACAGGTTTCTCCCAACATTGTTTGGCAGCAGCCTGTTTGTTCCAATAGGCAACCAAACAAAATGAGCAAAAAATCCTCATTTTGTTTGGTTGCCTATTGGAACAAACAAGCCGCTGCCAAACATAAGGCGACCACGTGATGCTGCCATCGTCACTCCTGCCTCCGACATGTTCCTTCTTCCCTCCTACCACCATCTCCTACCTCCGTGTCTACCACATCTCTGTCCCGATCCCCCATCTGAGGCTCAAGATGGGCATCCGTTTGCTGAAAACTTGACTAGCTCACCTGTAGAACTGAACTATGTGTTCCGATCTGGCTGATCTGGACTCCGATGGGCTGATCGCAGCCAATTGGGAACGTGAGTTCCAATTTTGTTGAGTGTATGCGCTCATTCCCATTCGACTTCACATATATATGCTCCTCGTCAACTGCGTCCACCTATCGGGCGGGAGGCAGCTCCCAATTGTTTACAAAGGTGCGATCTGCGCCATCTCTTTTCCATGCGGCTCCTGTCCCTGAGCTACCAGGGCAGGTTTTGTGACATGCCCGTTGCCCCTCTGCATCAGCGATGTTGCTCTCCGCCCTACGCCTCGTCTACTCTACTACCTTCATTTCACCCGCATGATACCTGGTCGTCCATCTCGTGTGCATACACACCTCTCCACCACCTGCATCCTCGGTGTCGACCTTCAGCTCAGGTCCAGGGTGGGCATTTGGGAGTTTGACGTGGAAAAGGCGCAGTACACGGTTCCTAAATCGCCCCCTGACACCTGCACCGCAACTGTACGGGCCTCTTTTCATGTTTCGGCATTCCCTTCAGCATAGCATGTTGCTGCTGTTGGCTTCATGAACTCTCGCGCTCAATATTTCGGTGCGTATATATTCTTGAGCAGGAGATAAATGATTTATCACTGTGTTCCTCCCACAGCCCACCGCTGCTGCTATCCCACAATTCCCGATGCTGGGCCATGAAATACCACCCGGAATGTGAAACCTAACGCTGCTCGTTGAAGGAGGGGTTCTGAGGATTATCCACCTTGTCAGGCTTGGCAACACAGTGAAGGACTGCAACGAGCGTAAGTGCCCATTTCTACACGAGCGTATCATGCACTTGCCTTCTGTTGATTTGTTGCAGCCCTGCCTGTGCATTAGAATGAATGCCTCCTGATGTTGAGATGTAAGTGAGCGGCCAAGAGCAGGAAAGGCTGAAGATACGGTGAGTCATCTCTATGCACAAAAGGTCCCCCACTCAGTGCATCCGCCGGAATACAGTCCACCGCTGGCGCTGTAACGGTCTCAGGAGTCCAACGCACAATCGATGGAGATCCGACGCAAGAGACCACGCCTATGCAAGATTGACGGCCGGAGAAGATAGGGAGGGCAAGGGTCGATACAGGTATGAGGCGCAAGACCTAGCACAAGCCATGTAATTACCTCGGGCAATGAAATTTACTATGAATGTCGGCAGAAAATCATACACCCAGAAACAACGTAAATAAAACCTAGCTCAGTCAAGGCAGACAAACCGCCAGAGCTTAGTTGTATTAACCGCCAAAAGAGTCCTTTCAGCGGTTATTTTCACTTTCTTCTGGCAGGGCATAAAACCACCAGGTGTAGTTTTATATATTGCCATACAGGTGGTTATTTCAAACACTTATGCGGGCTATGAGAATTAACTGCATCCTGGCGTAGTTTTTAAAAATGCCCTGGCTTCCCACAGTGTAGTCTGGAGCTAGGTGGTCAAGTATTGAACATTCATGAAGTGACCAGGAGTGTGAACTTGGGTCTGTATAACAAGCAAACCACACAGCACTCAGGAGATGAAATCTCTCTGGACATGAGTGGCCTTCAAACCAGGAAATAATATGATTTCTGAAGTCCTCTGACTGGTGGAGATAGAGATCAGGTTTGTTCTAGGTACAGTGGTTAGTGAGGAACTGTTTGAGCAAGAGGAGACTCACATTGTTTTTCAGATACAGTAGGGAGCTAAGTGAATTGTGCACCCAGTGCAGAAGCCCAGTATTGTTGTCTGTGTCAATTGAACTAGCAACTGTGAGTGAATATGCCCCAAAGGAAAACTCTTCAAGGTTGGATTCCAGTTCAGCTGAGGTGTACGAGGATGCCAGGTGGTAACCCAGATCAACCCAGGAGAGGACTCTCAACTTCTGGGGATCCAGAATTGGTGCTATAAGATTAACCCTATGTGGTGACAAATCTTGCCCAAATGAGGCTACTCACTGGCACTGGTTCTGCAAAAAATTTGAAGGACCTTTTGGGCAATGTCTGTATGGCTTCTACTAACATCAATGCAGTAGTCCTTTGACCGCTGGGGACTAAGAAGGAAATCTTCAAAGGAACTGTGGTGGAATTTGATCATGTCATTGCACTGAAGAACTGATCCAAGATCAGTGAGGGCAACACTTAGTCCCCCATCCTCCAAGCCCAATAGATGCTCTATGGAATGAATGCTGATGAAATGTGAGCCCCATTTGAGAACGAAGTAGACCCCCAGGATCTGCAAAACCAAGGGCAGATCCTCGACACGCGAAAGAAGCCACGTGTAGAGGTTGTCGAGTTCTGCAAAAGGAAGGTTGTGATCAGTTGGTGGATGAATGTCAAGGAGGATCTCGAGACGCTTGGTGGGTAAATGCCGAGGCGAGTCAATGAAGCGTGCAGCGAGCGACGCATATATAAATTGGCCAGAGGCCTATCAGACTAGAGTGTGCAGAGTGCAGTTGTCAGGCCAGTCTGAAGGAATGCGTGAGCAAAGGGGGTGATGAGCCTTGATGTCTCGAAATTTATCTTGAAGAAAGAGGCGGATGTCGTCGTCAGGGCGAAAGTTGTCATTGAGTTCGAGGTGGGAGATAGGTAAGTCATGGGAGAAGGCAGCTTTTATTTGTGGCTCAGGATGGCTTGCAATTAAGAACTTGAATGGGAGCTGGTAGCAGGATGCTAAGGAGAAGAGAAGTCAAATGAGGGTGGCCTGCGCGCCTTCATCCGTGCATTCGTCAAGGCCATCAATGATGATTAATGGAGGTAAGGCAAATTGAGAGAAGCTGCCTTGTTCTGATAGTAGTTGGAGAGGCTCGAATACGAGTCTGACGAACTGGTCTTCAAGGGAATAGGAGAAGAGAAGCGGATCTGCTTCGACGGCTGCTTCGATGAGCGCCCATGCAGCTGGAATAACACAGGTGATTCGATACGCGAGGTTGGCTACAAGAGGCTTCATGGTGTTGCAGCGCGAATCCGTGTGGAAGAACAAGAAGCTGGCGAGGAGAAGGTTTTGCGTCTCGCATAGCTGGGCCACTGTACGGGCGATGGCCGACTTGCCTGCGCTGGTGGGTCTGTAAAGCCAGAGCATGAAGGCTTCTGTGTCGATCTTGCCCGTCACCCAGTCCATTATCTTGTTGATGACTGCTACTCTTGTGTTCTCGTGACATTTTGGCGGATTGGGTCAGTCGTCTGAGTCGTGGAAGGCATTGGGAGAGACGGCCTTCATGAGGATGTCGAAGCCTTTGCACCAGTCAGTGTCCGCAATCGAACAGAAAGATGTCCCCTCAAACTCACCTCTGGATCTAGCAACCTGATACGTGTTAACAGCGATAATCGAGTCGTTGATTGTAGTTCTATGACTTCCTGCAAATAGATGGGCCATGCTGTTCGGAGCTGGGAAGAGTCAAGATGGTGAAGGTCGTGGTTCAAGTTGATCACCGCTCGGTGTTTGGTGCCCACGGTTCAGCGAAGTTTGCACTGCTTTGCAAGTACATGTCACTGCCCTTTGTGGTGTCCATTGCCCGGCTTCTGATATGGTGGTCCGTGCTGGACAAAAATACAATGTAAATGAAATTCAGTGACGATTGTGGCAGAACATGGGAGAAAGTCAGGGAACGGTCACGATAGCCAAGGAACAGTCACGATTGTCAAAGAATGTTGACGTTCTTTGACGATCGGCACAGAAAGTTACCTTTTTTGGCAGGATGTTAACAATAATCAAAGAATGACACCCTGCAGAATGACACCGTTCATCACCGATCCGTTGACAGAGGCCAAAACAAATGAGAATTTGCCTTGACACAGACTGGCCTATTCTCCCAGTTTCTTCAAGAATCTCTGAGACCCCGAACTGCCTCCATGATGCCACACCAATTTTTCTTCAGGAATGTGTTGGACCCCAGGACTTCGCGAGGGGCTTGGCACACTCAACTCATGTGCCGGGCCTATGCCAGCTGCTCTGCTTGCATGCTGACTAACAGTTGGGCCATGGGGACCCACCAATCTTAGTCAGCGAGGTATTTCTGCCCTGCTGACTAAGATTGGCAGGGTCCCATGGCGCGCTGACTAAGTCGTTGCTCCCACCCTTCTCATCACTGTTGTGGACAGCAAGCTTGCTGTTCACACCATTTCCAGTCCATTTCCCTCCATTTTTTTTGCTAGTATCAATGTATGTAGTTATTAATAAAGTTATGTAACATATATACTGTTGTAAACCCCCATAAGCTGTATAAAATGCGAAAACAATAATATGAATAACAGTCCCTCATCCATACCCAGCCCTAGGCATATTCCCCAGCCCAGTAAGCATCTGGAGTATTTAATATAGACACATGTATGAATGGGAAGGCCACCATCCAGGTTATGGGAGTGGCAGGATATACAGTATCATGGTGATTAATGTACCTCTCCTCCTACCCCTCTTCCACACACCAATAATGCAACTATTACTATGGTTAGTAGCTCAATTTAATGGTACTACAATAGCACATTTTTAGGGCCCTCTATTTGAGCCATTTGTGATTTGAAGGGAGAGGGTAAGACCCATGACCCTCAACAGTAGATATTTTATTAAAGAACCATACACACATTTATGGCCAATTTGACTCAGTAGATACTTAATAGTATTATGCTTGAGTATATATATGTATTTAAATATGGAGCGCCGCACATGTGGGCAAAGATATGAGGAGGGGGAGGAGGAGCACATACCTCATCAGTCACCATGTCCTTCTGTCATGAATAACACATATCGCATGCTCTAGGTAGACTCTACGGGTGTGTAATATGTATACCTTAATATTTTAGTAGTCACAGTTAGAGAATAGATGCTTGGGTGAGATGGTATTAAAGCAAGGAGGATATCTGCATAAAAAGCATGAAAATCATCCACTGTCACATAAATACATCAAGTAAAAATAATATATATACCTAGGCATGTACTCATACATTCTAAGAGCTAGCTGAAAAAGAGTTTACGAAATTAGAGCAAGATTGAGGTGAGATATGGATGAGACAGTGAATTTTGAAGGGCAGAAACTCGGTCACTACATGTGACTGTAATTTGCATCTTACTATCTACCCTTCTTTGGGAGTTCCTTTACCATATCTCACCTCTAATTTCGTAAACTCTTTTTCAGCTAGCTCTTAGAATGTATGAGTACATGCCTAGGTATATATATTATTTTTACTTGATGTATTTATGTGACAGTGGACGATTTTCATGCTTTTTATGCAGATATCCTCCTTGCTTTAATACCATCTCACCCAAGCATCTATTCTCTAACTGTGACTACTAAAATATTAAGGTATACATATTACACATCCGTAGAGTCTACCTAGAGCATGCGATATGCGTTATTCATGACAGAAGGACATGGTGACTGATGAGGTATGTGCTCCTCCTCCCCCTCCTCATATCTTTGCCCACATGTGCGGCGCTCCATATTTAAATACATATATATACTCAAGCATAATACTATTAAGTATCTACTGAGTCAAATTGGCCATAAATGTGTGTATGGTTCTTTAATAAAATATCTACTGCTGAGGGTCATGGGTCTTACCCTCTCCCTTCAAATCACAAATGGCTCAAATAGAGGGCCCTAAAAATGTGCTATTGTAGTACCATTAAATTGAGCTACTAACCATAGTAATAGTTGCATTATTGGTGTGTGGAAGAGGGGTAGGAGGAGAGGTACATTACTCACCATGATACTGTATATCCTGCCACTCCCATAACCTGGATGGTGGCCTTCCCATTCATACATGTGTCTATATTAAATACTCCAGATGCTTACTGGGCTGGGGAATATGCCTAGGGCTGGGTATGGATGAGGGACTGTTATTCATATTATTGTTTTCGCATTTTATACAGCTTATGGGGGTTTACAACAGTATATATGTTACATAACTTTATTAATAACTACATACATTGATACTAGCAAAAAAAATGGAGGGAAATGGACTGGAAATGGTGTGAACAGCAAGCTTGCTGTCCACAACAGTGATGAGAAGGGTGGGAGCAACGACTTAGTCAGCGCGCCATGGGACCCTGCCAATCTTAGTCAGCAGGGCAGAAATACCTCGCTGACTAAGATTGGTGGGTCCCCATGGCCCAACTGTTAGTCAGCATGCAAGCAGAGCAGCTGGCATAGGCCCGGCACATGAGTTGAGTGTGCCAAGCCCCTCGCGAAGTCCTGGGGTCCAACACATTCCTGAAGAAAAATACATGGTGTGGCGTCATGGAGGCAGTTCGG